GTGCGTGGGCTGTTGCTGCGGGAACGTGTCCTCGATGGTATCTCCCTCTCCGCAGGCGTTTCCCTCAAACGTGTGCAGCAAGCCCAGCCAGTGACCGACCTCGTGGGTGGTGGTCATGTCGCTCGGGTACCGCGGGTGGGCAGTCTCGGCAAGCATCAGGCAACCATCTTGGATCAAGAGTTCCTCAGAAATGCGGCCGTTGGGAATGGGGAGCCAGCAGATACCGGCGCTGGGTGACCCGTCGGCGGCAGGGCCCGGGATGAATGCCACGTAGTAGAGGTTCAAGTCTGCATAGGTACCCCGGCGCAGCTTGGCCTTCATCCCCATTTGATCTTGGCCCTTGGACCAAACCTGATGTTGTGTGTAGTCGTTGGAAACATGGGTGAAGGAGATTCCAGACCTGCTGAAATACTTGTTCATCACATCCATGTCCTTCTTGATAATGTCTTCCTACGAGCCAAGGCTTAGTATAAACCGCATCGTGACGCGAGGGGGGGCAGCTTGCAACTTACGGTCAGATAGCCGCCCTTGACACTCTGCTCAGAATACACAACGTGAGTGTGAACTTGAAAGTTGTAGTTGTTCTGCTGCTGGCGGGCAATCAGAGGCGCAGAAGAATTCAGCAGCTGCTGGGAAATCTTCAAGAAGTCCTCGCTGGGAGGAGCCTCTGCGCAGTCCTTGAGATCATCTCGTGCGTGTAAGACGCCGGCGTTGATAACATTTGCCATGGAAATGGCGAGCACACAGGAAAGAAACTTCATTGTACAAGACCAGCCAGTCACCTTGGGACTGGAGAAAAGTTTCGAGAAAGATGAAGAAATGAATGAAGGTAAAACAAAAATGAACGAATGTGAAGATGTAAATGAATGTAGAGATGAAGGTGAAGGTGAAGAGGCAGCAAGACGGACATGTACAGACAGAAGCCTTCATATTTATATCCCGCAAAGGAAGCCTCCGGCCAAGTAGAATCCCAAGCATGCCGCACGATCATCTCGATTCTCAGCTCAGCGAGCCACGCATAATGTTGCAGGTGGGCAAGAACCAGGGATAACTGCTCTGACTAACCGACAACAAGCTCGGGGCGTGAAGAAGCAGGACCAGTGACAAGGCGGGAAGCTGATGGTCCAGCCGGATGTATTCCCGAATTTTTGGGCCTCTGGGATCTGCAAAACACAGCTTCCTATTCCAGCAACCGACCGAGTAAGGGGAGCCAAGTTCATTCCAGCCAACAGGCCCAACAGAGCAAGGCGCGATGGAGCCGACTATGTGCGCCAGAGTGAACTGCTTCCAGGTTCGGCTTGTTTCACAAGTTGGCTAACCTCCTGACGAATATCCAGTCCGACAATGCAAAAGGTCCTCGGGGAGACTTGGCGACGTCTACACTCGGTCAACTCGTTGCCATTGCCGCGATGCGTACATGCATGAATTTGTAAACAAACAGAAGAGAGAGAGAAAACTCGTGCTTGAGCTGTACTTGGCCATGGTGCCGATGAGATGCACCAGTTGACGCCTTTTTTCACGATTTCCAAGGAGGGGCCAGGCGTTGGCAATCGGCCTCGTTGGCCTACTTACACACCAGACCGCACTCGCGACATGGTTCGCATAACATGGGGAGCTTTAAGATTGATGTGAACAAGTTAATTAAGGGGTTACATTGTTCTCGGCCCGCTCTTGTCCCAAGGGAACGTGTGGGACTCGGCCCAAAGTTCTCACAGGCTACAGCCCATGACCCTCCACGTCTCGTGTTGCACGCCGGCCTGCAAAGGACCCCAGATATAGGGCAAACCAGTGGACATGCAACGTTGAAGCTTATCTGGCGCACTCAGCGCTTAATTTTGTGCCGCGGGTGGCTGAAACACCCAGCGAGCCCAACTTGGCCCGCACCAGGCATGCGCCGGACGGATATAGTAGGTGGCTTGCGACAGTCCGATCAATTCACAGCCTTGCGTGTTGAAGTCGTCCCGAGTTGCGCGTCACTTTAGACGATCAACGCCACTGTGCCGGCAGCTCGGATGGCATAAACTAGAGTCGACTCGCTGCCTCGTCGAGTCGACGACACGATCCTCCGAGGTGAACAGGCGGTGTGTTGGTGCGAAAACTGGTGCATGCCCGGTAGAATCTCCTTTTATGGACTGCGAGAGAGGGACTTGATCTATGGTGGCCATGTTGCGTAAATGAGAGGGTAGATGGATCCATCTGCTCAAGCGCGGAAACGACGCGTGAAGGGTTGTATTCGTGAGTGTCTGGTAATACGAGTGTTGTTCTTGAAAGATGACATCTAATATTTTAGTCAGCTGTTTCTCTTCAATTGGGGTCTGGTTAGATTGAACCGTCGACGGTCGATTGACATTTCAAAGGGCGTATTGTCACGTGGTCGGCTTGTCTCGGCCAGGTCCCAAATAGTGCTTGCAAGGCTTCAATGTTGCATTGTGCGGTGGTCCTGGACTCCTGGTAGTTGATTGTAAGCAAGCAAGAGCATTGGAAAGCTTTTGAACCTGCCAAGAGATGCCAGCTATGGTTCTCGAATGTTTTGTTGCGCGCCACGACCCCGGCGTTTGATGATTCGCAAGAGTGTAGTGAGGTCATTTAAAGACATGTATTTACTATTGATTAAATCTGCCTCCTTTCTTTTCCATGTCTGCTCGTCTTGACTGCAACACGCAATGCAGCTTCTGCAATTAGATGGCTTACCTTGGCGTGTCGGCCCGGGGCCCTACTTGTGCTACCTCAACATTGAATTATTACATGGCGAGTTCTGCCCATGGCTGTGGTATCTGATGATGCTAGAATAGGGCCGTTGAGCCCTGTTTGTATGACAGGTATTTTGACAGCGAAATTTATGTGGAGATGCCTGGCCTGACTGGGGCGACTGACGGCTGCCTCCGTTTTTGGGCAAATTGACTTGACTAATGTCCGGTTCAGTGCCTTACTCATTCATCGCTGCGCGTGATAAATTCCGACCGACAGGGGCCACCCCCGTTGCATGTTGGGGCATCGTCTGGTAGTGTGCGGGTTACTCCATATGAGATTTGATTAATGACTGGTATTAAAAAAAGGGCGTTTCAATAATAGTTTAGATTATCATCAAGTACCGGACATATTAAGGAGTAGCCCCCCAGCGACCACGGGGAGTGTCGGCGCAAACCTGACCCAACATTGAATGCCGGAGAGGCAAAAGTGCCAGCATCTCCAGAGTCAATCGACTTGAAACCAAGGTTGGGCAAATCGCAAACCATGACAGTATACTCGCAACTAGCCATGCGATTATTGTCGGCATTTATATGCCAAAGTAAAAAGTCAAGTAAAATAAGAAAAGGACAGCCCACAAGCTCTCGGGTCCGCGGATCAGCTTTTTCCCAGGGCCACGGTCGCCAGGTTTTTCCGCCGGCAGCCCCACAGGCACCAGACATTGGCATAGGAACTTTAGGGTAGCGAGTGAAGACCAAAAGCTTGGTTAAAATCAGCGGACTGTTCAACAAGACTGTAGCCGGGAAATTAACGGCTCGGACTGCCACTGAAAAAGATTGACATAACAAGGAAATGTAGGCGTTGTCACAAGGCTTAAGCCTGTCCGGTTTGATTCCAAAGTAAACCGCTGCGTTGGTACTAATGAATTTGATCGATTTATTATATAAACCTGTGTAGCCGGAGGTGTGTGTACTATCATTTGTTCACATGTGTAGCGCGGTACATGTACCGTACCGAGTACTCACTCGGTGCTGTTCATGCACCCACCCAAGGTACCAAGTACGCACAGTGTGACGGCTGCCCGCTAGCCCAAATGGGCGCGTCGTCGGTTCTCGACCCCTGCCCCGAAGAGTTTCAAACCAGACCAGTCTTTTTGTCTCGCAATGCATACATTCGTTCCCAAGTAGCAACCAACGCGCTTCCACCTTGAGCCCTTCAACTGCCCAACGACCCTTTGAACATGTCGATGCCAGAAATCATTCATGGTACCGAGTACTCAGGCAATTTCTATGCCCGTCTCCTCCGAGCCGCCGCTCAATGAAATCCCAGGATCCCCACTCGGTCAATCACACCATTTCTGACGACCTTTTCGAATCTTCCAAACCCTCCAGAAACAGGACGACATTTCCCCAACGCCCCATTTCCAGTATGCAAAAGTTCCGTCAAACGGTTGACCATTCAAAAGTCGGCTGTTTTTCGCGACCGGGCCAGCTCAAGGAGAAACACCGGTGACGGGCCAAAGCCAAACATTGAACATGTCAAGCCACAATGCCCTTGGACCATTCCATGGAATGACGGTCACAAGGCCTCGAGCCAACGCCGGGAAGGAGAATCAAGATGGGCGGGCTGGCATCAGAAAGCCCTTCCCGAAGCGCCGCCGACGCCCGTAAGCCGCCAATCTATAACCCATCCGTGGCGTCCGTCTTGGATCCGATCACATCTCTTGGTCCTTTCTTGGGTGTGGACCAGAGGGGATCGGGCCGGCTTGGCTGACCGACCAATGTGGCATGCAGTACCCAAATGCAGCAGGCTTCTTCACAACCACAACCACAGAGCATGTCGTTCGTGAGACGGCCCAACTTGGAGTTGGGTGACTGCAAACCCTTGCATCATTGCCGATTGCGTGCTGAGCTTACCCTCCACCCGGGAGAGCTTATTGGTGACACCACCCTTTGCGAGGCATGTTTCTGCGGGGTTGACACGAGCCGCCTGAGCCGAATCGTCGAGGTCGTGCTCGACCAGACATGATATATTGACCATCCATCGGTGGGCTCTAGCGCAGGAGCCAACTCGATAAGCGTCAATTCAAATGTTGCCATCGGCAATGGGGCATGGGGCCGTTCCGGAGCCACCTCGTGCTCCTACACGCGAGCCTAACGAAAAGAATGTAACCCAGACAGAGTCGTGGTCAATAAATAGGCACGTCCTGGCCCAGCAGGATCAGCCAGCCAAGAAAGTTCAAGTTGATCGACCTTTCCCGACGCCCCCCTCCCGCGACTCCCTCCAAGGATCTGTCCAAAACGCCATTGACAATGGCACCAGGCCAGCTAGACGAGCCGCTGTCCGAGGCCGTGACGGCCCAGCCCACCGTCGTCACAGAAGACGCAGCCGCCGCCGTGGGCGTCGACGAGAAGGCAGGGCCCCAGATCGCCGCCGACCAGCACAGCGACTCGCTCAGCAAGGACGCCGAGAACAACGGCGCCCGCGTCTTGTACAATGTAGTCAACGCCAACGGCGAGGAAGAGGCCGTCTCGGAGGACGACCCGCGGGTCCGCGACATCCCGCCCTACGTGCGGCGCATCGTCAGCTTCAAGGACGACACGACGGAGCCGACGCTCACGTTCCGCTACTTCCTGCTGACGATTCTCTTCGTCGCCCCCGGCGCGTTCCTCTCGCAGATGGCGCACTTTCGCACCACGTACGCGCCCTACTCCGTCTTCTTCGTCCAGATCGCCTCCAACTACGTGGGCGTGTGGCTGGCAAAGGTGCTGCCGGCGTGGCGCGTCCGCATCCCCCTGACGCGGTACGGCTTCAGCCTGAACCCGGGCCCCTTCAGCACAAAGGAGCATGTGCTGGTGACCATTTCCGCCGCCTCGGGCGCCACCTACAACCTGGGCTACACGCCCATCTCCATGTCGGAGCTGTACTTTGGCGAGCGGGTCAACGGCGCCGTGGCCGTCTTCTTCATGCTGGCCATTACCTGGACAGGGTACTCGTACGCGGCGCTGGCGAGGCAGTTTCTCATCTACGATCCGCAGTACCCTTGGTTTCAAGCGTAAGAGCCCCCCTCCAAAAACGTCCCGGCTTCCCGCAGTGGCTTACACAAAAGACGTAAACTACAGTCTCTGCCAGACGGCGCTCTTTGAGACGCAAAAGAAGCAGCGCGAGAACCCGTCGCCCCTATCGAGCAAGCAGATGCGCGTCTTCTTCGGCGTGCTCGTGGCCGTCATCCTGTGGCAGTTCCTCCCCGAGTTCGTCTTCCCCATGCTGGGGTCGCTGGCGTTCCTGTGCTGGGTGGCGCCGCGCAGCCCCGTCGCCAACTTTATCGGCGCGGGCTTCGGCGGCATGGGCTTCCTCAACCTGTCGCTGGACTGGTCCAGCATCGCCTCGGGCGCGAGCCTGTTCCTGACGCCGTGGTGGACGCAGGTCATCATGTTTGTCGCCTTTGCCGTCAACTGCTGGGTGCTGCTGCCGGCGGCCAAGTGGGGGAACCTGGCGAGCTGGAACCACGGCCTGATGTCGAACCGCGTCTTTCTGGGTGAGTCTATTAATTTAATTAATTAATTTATTTTTTCCCGTGGTGGTTGGCTAAATGCTTGTAGAAAACGGCACCAGGTACCCCCTTTCGGAACTGCTCACGCCCGACATGCGCCTCAACACGACCGCGTACGCGCAACACGGGGACCTCTACGTCGGCGCGCAGTACCTGTGGAACATGTTCTTCGACTACGCGGCCTACGCGTCGGCGCTGGTGTGGATGGCGCTCTTCGGCTTCAGGCAGATCCGGGCCAGCGTGGAAAAGTTCCTGGAGCGGCGGACGGCCAGGGACGGCCGCAAGGTGACGGAGCAGTACGACGACCAGATCAACGTGCTGCAGCGGCCGTACGACGAGATACCCTTCTGGTGGTTCGCGGCGCTGTTTGCCGTGTCGCTCGTCATCATGGTGGTCATTTGCGCGCGGGGGCTCATCTTCATCCCCGTGTGGACGTACTTTGTGGGCATCGCGACGGGGGCCGTGGTGGTGGTGCCGCTGGGCTGGCTGTACGCGCTGTCCAACTTCCAGCTCGCCATCGGGTCGACCAACGAGCTGCTGTACGGGCTCATGATCAACGCCGTGTCCGGGTGGAAGAACCCGTGCGGCGCGTCGGCCTACGGCTCCGTCGCCGGCGACGCCTGGTACCGCGCCCAGCTCAACCTGCAGGACATGAAGATCGGCCACTACATGCACGTCCCGCCCAAGGCCGTCTTCTTCTCCCAAATCTTCGGCTCGCTCATCGGCATCCCCATCGACTACGCCGTCATCCGCTGGGTCCTCGACACCAAGTTCGACTACCTCGCCGGCGTCAAGGAGGACCCCACGCACCAGTGGACGGGGCAGTCGCTCGCGTCCAGCCTCACCCTGGGCGTGCAGTACGTGCTCGTCGGGCCCCGGCGCCTGTTTCAGCAGCATCTCTTCAAGGTGGTTCCCTACGGGTTCCTCGTCGGCGCCGCGGCGCCCGTCGTCCTGTTCCTCCTGCATAAAAAGTTCCCGCGGGCCAAGTTCAACCTCTTCAACACAACCATATTCTTCTCCAGCATGTCCACCTTTTACGGAAACATTAGCACGGGCTACTTCTCCAGCTTCCTGGGCGGCTTCGTCGTCATGTTCTGGTGCTACAGGTACAAGTACGAGTTGTGGGCGAGGTGGAACTACATGCTGGCGGCGGCGTTTGACGCAGGCTTCAACTTTAACATGCTGCTCATCTTTCTGTGCTTCGGGGCCGGCAAGATTGTGAACATGCCACACTGGTGGGGGAACAACGCAGACAGCAGCGAGAGGTGTTTTGCACTAGATAGTTAGAGCCGTAACGGAGTTGATAATAAGCCATTGAAATGACGTCTTTTTATACACATATCTCACTAAGCCCGTCGTGAAAAATACATAATCAGACATGAAATGAATAAAAAAACAGTCCATCGCTACATTTTGCGTAAAATACAAGAGGGGGTCATATACAACATTGAAGGAAATACATTATGCTACACCGTCTCCTCGTGATGCGGCGCCTCGTCGCCAGTCTCCTTCCCCTCCGTGCGCGCGCCACCCGCACCACCGTCCCTTGGGCCGGGCGCCGCCGCCGCCGCCGCCGTCTCCAAATCAGCACCGGCCTCCCTCCGAATGCGGGCCATGTGCTCGGCCGGGGGCGGCACCCAGGCCGCGCTCTTCCAGGGCGTCACGCCCTCGAGGTACATGGTGTCAATCTCCTCGAGGGTGCGGCCCTGGCCCTCGACGACGAAGAAGAAGACGATCAGGCCGCCGACGACGTTGCAGGCGGCAAAGACGTAGCCGTACTGGAAGTCGATGGCGTTGAAGATGAAGGTGGAGAAGAAGCCGATGCAAAAGTTCCAGATCCAGTTGGAGGCGGTGCCGAGGGCCATGGCCTTGGCGCGGAAGCGCGAGGGGAACAGCTCGGCCTGGATGGCCCAGACCATGGGGCCCCAGGTGGTGGCGAAGCCGAGGATGAAGAGGCAGGCAAAGACGATGAGAACAATACCCTCGGCGGGCGTGCGCTGGGGGTCCTCGCGGTCGAAGCGGAAGTGGCCGACGGTAGCGAAGACGATGAAGCAGGCAAACATCCAGGCGGACCCGGCCATGAGCGACTTGCGGCGGCCAAAGTGCTCGACGATGTAGAGCCCGATGAAGGTGACGAGGAAGTTGATGGTGTTGAGGATGATTTGCGTCACGAAGCTGTTGATCTGGACGGAGCGGAAGACGGTGGTGCCGTAGTAGAAGAAGTAGTTGGCGCCCGTGAGCTGCTGGAACATCTGGAGCGCGACGCCGAGCGCGATGCGGCGCGCCATCTTGGGCGCGGCGAACATGGCGGCGAACTCGCGCACGGGGCCGAGCTTGACCGTGTCCTCGGCGCGCAGCTTGGCCTCGATCTCCTCGAGCTGCGTGTAGACGGCCCAGTGGTTCGTCCCGGCGCCGTACACTTTGCATATGGTGTCGGCGGCGCGGTCGGCGCGGCCGTGGCGGAAGTCGAAGCGCGGCGTCTCGGGGAAGCCCAGGATGCCCAGGCCCAGGACCAGCGTCCACACCCAGCCCAGGCCGATGACGACGCGCCAGCTGGCCGAGTCGCCGCCGTGGTGCGTGACGGTGCCGTAGTTGAAGGTGGCCGCGAGGAAGATGCCCATGGTGATGAAGAGCTGGTAGGCGCACACCATGGCGCCGCGGATCCAGGGCGGCGCCGTCTCGGCCTGGTACATGGGCACCAGGAGGCTCAGCGCGCCGACGCCCAGCCCGGCGATGAAGCGCCCAATCATGACCTGGTACCACGCCGTCACGGCCGCAATCTGCACCACGAACCCGACCGACGTCACCAGGCACCATATCGACACCGACGGCTTGCGCCCGATGCGGTCCGCCACGGGCGCCGCCGCCAGCGCCCCGATGAGCGTGCCGATGGACAGCAGCGACACGATGAGCCCCGAGCGCACCGCCGAAAAGTACTTTTGCCCGTTGTCGGGGTTGGTCATGCCGAACCGCTCCAGGAAGTCGGGCATCTCGAGGAATCCCGAAATCTGGCCCGTGTCGTAGCCGAAACTGACGTGTATAAGCCGCCTGAACAAACGAAAAAAAAAAGCAATACACTTACATCAGCCCCCCCATGCTGACCAGACAGCCCATGGCCAGAGACCGCATCGTCAGCCTCGGCAGCGGCGAGTAATCCAGCCCGGCCAACGAGCTGCGCACGTCATTCTGGTTGGATTTCTCAGACGCAGGATTGACATGGTCGAATCGGACCGTCATGAAGCCCTTCATGGCGGGTGAGAGCAAGATTTGTCGTGCGGTGCGTGTATATATATATATAAAATGTCCCTGTACGGTATAGAACAATGGGAAACCAGCACAAAAAGAGCGCAATGAACCAGGCACAAAACCCCCTTTATACGCACGTCGCATCGTCAGTGGCAACGGGGCCCCAAGTCGACAACCACGTTCTCCTCCACACCGTCAGTCACCTCACGGAGGACCCGGCCACGGGGAAACCACGGGGCACCACGGGGGACCGGGGTGGTGCCCCAGAAACAAGAGGGATCCGCCGACTCAATCGGTCCGTCTCTGTTGAGCAAAGCGTGCCGTAAGCATCAATGCTTCTTCCCAGGACCGGCCATCGTGCCCGTCTGCCCTGCCCCCCCCGCCAATCGACTCGCCGCTGAGACAAGACGCGTTCGTCCTCGACAAGGGCATTGTGCCATTGCGGACAGTGCCAGCCCAGCATTCCCAGCATTCCCTAGAGGCGCGTGTATCGGCCTTTCCCCATCGTGACGTCTTAAGCCGCCGCCGAAGCACCGAGTCTCCACCGTCGCCGAAGAGGTCAAGTGCTTTTTTCGAGACCCCGCCGCCCCAGGTACACGTCTCAAGATCTTCCGAGTGTAGAAAAAAATTGCGCAACTGTCCCCGTGACCAAGTGTGTGGAAATAGATGCGATTCTGGACCCCTTTCCGAAAAGTCGCATGCTCATTTTTTTTTCATCTTGTTTCTTGACTCGCACACTCGGTCCGGCAGTGGCGGGGTTGAGCGGGCGACGCCACGCCGGCCGGCAACTTCGGGCGGAAAAAAAGCATGACGTCGTTGGTTCAATGCCGGTGGGACGCTTTTGCCGGGAATAATAAAAACTGGCACTGGGGCTAACCGCTTCCGCCGCAACCACTGCTGAACTGCCGCTTTGTCAGTCTGGTGCTGGAATGACGTTTGCCAACCAACGGCGTCGCAGCAGCGTAAGCAAACGGCTCTGTGTGCCCCTAGCCCGCCAGCACAACACCGCGCCGTCTTTCCATGGCCCCGCGACGGCGCTGGAGCAATTCCCATCTTCGAGCCAACTCCAAGACAGCCCATAGGTCAATAAAAGATGCCATCATCATGTTGTGTATCTCTTCTATTCTTGCGCTTGATTCTTTTGCGCCTTGTGCATCTATCAAACGCCCTCGTCTAATTCTTGCTGTAGTTCCAATGCGTCCATGGTGATCCTTGTGTAGCTCCCCCTTGGGCCAAAAAGCAACATGTCATCTAAAACCCCGCTGCCACGCAAAGAGAGCCCCGTCCCTGCTTCATGTTTGGCCTCATCAGTTCAGAATGCTCGCCTTCTCCGAAGGGGGAATATGTCCCTCTACAGTGCTCAGCGCAGCCAGGTTAACCTCGCCCATTTGCTTCAGGGCCGATGCATCCCCAACGCCTGCGAGCAACGCCACACATTCAATCACGTCTTCAGGCTCAAGCAGGTGCCACTTGGCCAGCGTCACCTTTGTGCTCGCCCCCACTGTCACAGTAAAGACGTGGTCTGGATGCAACACCTCGCCAGTGGCCCCGTTTAAGCTGCGGAACATGTCCTCGTCCGTAAAGTCGTCGCCCATGCAGAGCGCAAACTCAACACGCCCTGGGTTGGGGTCGAGTTCTGACGGTGCACGCTCTGGGTTGTGATACGTCGCGATGAGCCGCTTGGCGATCTCGCCCTTGTTGATGAAGGTGGGCCGGACTTCCACGTTTGCCTTGCCTGGCATGACTTCAACATCCCATTTGGTGCCCACCGTACTTTCAAGTTCCTTGTGGCATTCTCGCGCCATGTGCACACCCTGCTCTGGATCTGCAAGTCTGTAGTGCCATGTAAGTGCGCATCGCTTCCGCTCGATGAATGACCCTGTTGTTTTGATTAGCCCATGTCAAATCTCGGGATAATGTCCAGCTGCCTTACCAGGGACTCTGTCGGTGTATTTCTGAAACACCTCCATAGCCTCGACCTGCCATCCCATGTCAAACTTCTCCGCCAGGTTAATCCACTCCTCTGACCCGGGATCCCTCATAAAACTGCCATGTTCGGCCGAAAATCCAAGTTGCGAAATGTGGCCCAGGTGCTGCCCGAGGAACTCCTGGTCTCGACCAGAAATAATCCATACCGCATTCTTGGGGTCACCGGCGAGGCGCTTGAGGGATTGGATGATGCGTTCAGACGGAATCGCCGCGCTGGGCTCTCGGACGATTGGCGTCAACGTACCGTCGTAATCGAACATGAATAGTCGTTTGCCCGCCGATCTGTACTTGGACAATAAGACCGCACGGTCAAGAAGAGGCGTCGCATTGGCCGTGTTGGTTTCGCCCAGCACATTGTACACCTTGCGAATAAACTTGTTAATCCACGCTTGCACATTGTATGTCGTCACGTGCTTGTACAAGCGAGACTGCATTCCGCTTCGCTCGCCATCCGACATTGTAAGCGCACTATTGATCTTTTCCGCAACACCAGTCAAGTCCCAGGGGTTGATGTGAATTGCGTCACTGAGACTTCCCGCGGTCCCGCTGAACTCTGAGAGGATGAGCGGCCCGTTGCCCTGTCTTTGGCAGACAATGTACTCTAAACTCGTCGTGTTCATACCGTCTCGGACAGAAGTGATTAAACCAATGTCGCCGGCTCTGAGTAGAGCAAAGTACTCGTCTTGGTCCAAGTATTGTGGGTAATGCTGCACAGGAGAGAATCCCAAGCTGCCAAACTCCCCGTTGATCTTCATGACCAGTTCGTTCACTCTTGTAGCAATCTTGCTCTCGTCATCGTCCTTTTCGGCCTCTACCGTGGTTGGAGAAGTGACCTGGATCAAAACCACCTTTTCTCTCCACTCAGGGTACACTTCAAGGAACCGCTCAAATGCTTGAAGCTTCTGTGCCACACCACGGACACTGTCGAGCCTATCACGGCCAACAATGATCTTTTTCCCAGCATACATCTTCTTCAAAGCATCATATTTCTCATTCACGGAATCAGCCCACGCGTGCGTCTCCACCTTGGCAGCGTCAATGCCTATAGGAAAGACGCCTACCTGAACCCTAGTCCCGTAGGCATCGATGCCAAGGGTATCAGAGGGAAACCCAAGAATGCGGGTGCAGCAGCTCAAAAAATGCCGCGAGTAGCTGTACGACTGGAACCCTACCAAGTTGGCTCCGAGAACTCCTTCCAACACCTCCTTTCGCCGCGGGAGGCACCGCAGGAACTCACTGCTAGGGAACGGAGAGTGTAGGAAGAATGATATGTACATGTTCTGGTTCCGTTGGCGCAACATGCTGGGGAGAAGCATCAGGTAAAAGTCGTGGACTATAACAATGTCGCCGGGCTTGTAGATTTCAATGATTTTATTCGCAAATTTCTGGTTCATGCGATAATAATCTGCCCACTGGATGCGCTCCTTGCGACCATCCGTAGGTTCGTGTTGTTTGTAGTGGAACAAGGAATATAGATCATGGTGTGCGTACCGCCGCCACCTTGACTGGTCCTTCAACACGACGCCATCCTCGGAATCGTCCGCCTCGTCCGAGAGCCATACTGGCACTGTCCGAATGGTTTTGCTGTGAGAAAGGGCATACTCCAGTTTGGCTTGGTCGGCTTTCGGCAGCCAAAGGCCGTCAAGGGGCGGTGGCGTAGGAAGCCGCGTAGTACCATCAACTGGAACAGGAGCTGAGAGAGCATTCAGGGAGGAGATGCCCACGGTCGTCTGCCCAGATAGATTGCTGCTCGGCGTCTGCCCAAAGGATGCGGCGGAAGAAACAGGCGTCTCCTGAGGAGAGTCTATCTCGCCGGTCCAGGCCACAAGAGTGTGATTCCACGGCGTGGCATTGGAAGAAAGGTAGGCAAAGGAGTCGAAAAGCGCGGATTGGCCTCGGCGGGGTCTCAGGACCTGTTGGAGGCGATGATGTCAGTTCCGAGAGTACAGCAGCAACAAAAAACAAGAATCTCAATCATGGACGGTTGGAATTCTGCAATGGGGATGGTTCTTACCCAATCGCCTCCCTTGCGGTAGGTGAAGGAGTAGGGGATGTTGAATGCGACAGAGATGATGTTGCCGCTAAGGCCTAAATCCGGGTTGGCGGCGCGAATCTCTGAGAGAGATTCACGGCGCGCCATCGCGGGAGCAAGCAGGCTCTGGAGTGTGTATCGTCGTGGTTGTCGCGGGCAGAGGCTAATGGGCGAAACTCGAGTCTCGACGGGTTCAGAGAGGAGACGCAGAAGGCTCGACTGTGTTGGGTCGAGCTGCGAATGTGAAGGAGCCCCGAATATTGGGACTTGGATGGGACTGGGCCTGGATTGGGGGAGTGAGGGGTATGACGCTGGCCAGGTCCCACCCGAGGGAAAATGGGACAAGGAGGCAAGGAACTCTGGTCCAGGATATGGGCACCAGCGAGATTGGTATCGTGGCTGCGTCTATTGGTGTCCAGTGTCCACTGGCTTTGCTGGCTTGCTGGCTAGGGGGGGTTGTCGCGTCACTGCTGCTGTCTGTTGATGCTGAGGTTTGTATGCAGCCGTCGTGGCTGGGTGGTGAAGAGGGTCGTTCAAACGTTCAAACGGTGGTTGTGGAGGAACCTTGAAGCAAACGCAACGAAAGTTTTGAGATTCTGGAAGGATGGCCAAAGTCAGCTCGAACACCTCGCCAGGGTCTGGGCTCTTGATACAACTCAACAGTACCTTACTGGTGTTCAACCACTCGGGTACCAAGTACGGAGAGTAGTTGGCGACGCAATTTGGACCGTCAGCTGGCTCCCCCAACGCAAGTATCAATATCAAGTTTGGGAGTTGTAGGCCAGGGGAAACCGCGTCGCAGTCGCAAGCACCAGCCGGCGTCGCCGGTTCTAATTGCCTCGGGTTGCGTTCACAACTCTGGGGGACTAACTCCAGGGGACTAACTCCAGACAAGCCAGGAGTTGCTTGTCTAGAGTTCAATCTTGTGGATCTAACGTGCGGCCAAATGGGGAGCATGTGAAAGCGCCAAGGCCGATTCGCTAGTCTTATTTTGCTTGCAAGTCGATGTCCCAGTTGCAAGATGTCGAGAGAACGATGCTCCCCGCCCGTTCAAATAGTAGTTGCAGTCTGCCGGACAAGAAGAGATCCTTTTCACAATACGGAGCAACCAACTCCTTCCCACTCTTGATCCAGCACTCAGCGATCAAGCAGCCCCCCGTAACCCTGGCCCTTGCGCCGCCGGATCTGTCAGCCCTGTCGCGGCACATGGATTCTGTGGCCTGTTCGTGATTTCGCTTTGCTAATAGATTTGTCTGGAATGCATGACCGTGGCCAGCGTTTGGGCAACGTTGCCAGCTTCCGTTGGTGGGTTTGAAGGCCGCATCGAGCTGCATGGCCGTCTTGTCATCATCATGGATCGTTTAAACGTGTCACGCTGCTCGTGTGACGAAAATCGATGCGAGGAATAAAGAGCCTGCATGACCTCCTTTGTCCAGTACGTGACATGCCAGCGAGACCACCGCGTCGTGGAGGGGCACGAGCAGTGAGGGGCAGGCACGACCGGCGTGCCTTCCACCGCAACATGTCCACGTAACCTTGACATTTGCATTCCAAAACATCATGGTCTCAATCTCGTCTTCGCAATCTCTTGCAACCCATCTCACCTCATCGCCACCGCGCAGCCGAAATTTGCTGTCGGCTTTAATCCGGATGCAGGGGTCTCTTTAACCCGGTGCAGCACCATTCTCCACTAGCCGGTATTGGTCAGGGCTTGGTGGTTTGGCACCTCGCAGCGACGATTCTCTGCATACGTGTGTATTTACGCCAATGGATCTTGCCAAAGCCACCACGCATCCAACATGCAGCAGATATCACCCTACTCCCGTGCCAAGTGAGGCTGCAGGGTTCAAGACACCTAAACCAGCCCATCTGTGGGACGAAGTCACAAGTTGCGGTGAGGCCGCAATGCCAGCAAGATGCCCTTTGGCTTTGACAAAGAGTGAGCTGTGCGTCCGTCAAGGAGGCACGGTAGTTGGGCAGCAAACAGCCTGCCGTTTTCTGCATCACTAATCTACGAAGCAATCACATTTCCCAACATTCCGGATCCTAGATTCGCTAGTTCCAGTGGGGGCCAGCGTTGGGCCAGCAGCCAGACGAAGCTTTTACTGAAATCCAGGCTTCGTCAAAAACACCGATATTCCATTATTTCGTGCTATCTCGGCGATAAAACTAACTGATATCGAATTGATTACTAGTTCCAGTGAACGCTGCAATGCCCGAATCAAGATTCTTAGCATCGCCGTAGTACTTGAATCGATATCTTCCTGGCACAGCGTTCCCCGACGTATCCCACGTAAAGTCGACTTCGCTGTGTCCTAGGAGAGTGCTTGTGCGCCGCCACGTATATACGAGATACCAGTCCGCATCGTCGGCGACTTGGCTCCACGTCCCGTCTTGTCCCTGCTTCTCAACCGCCGCGAAAGTTCCCTCGAGGCGAAGATTATTCCGTGGATTCGCCCCCTGAAACTTGGCTTTGACAACGTCGCCACGTTTATACCTGGCTTGGGGCTGCGTTAAGACCTGGCCGAACTGTTTGAAAAGAGGTGCTGTGTCGTAAATCACAGGCAACACGAAATTTAACGACTTCTTCCTATTATCTGGTGGCAACTGTCCTTGCTCTGGCTTTTCTGTGGCGTCGGGCTTCAAGTAATGCATATTGCTGACTGTGAGATTGATATAAGCGTCGAGTTCATGGCGGCCAAATATTGTTGAAGCGCCTTCATAACGCTGAACATCGTACTCCTCGGGCGTCGCGACGTAGTGCGCATAAGTATTGGCCGGGCTGCCCAGAACGACAATTGGGTCATCAACAAATGAAGTTGCCTGTTTCCCAACGGCTTCCTTCCACCGCCGGCCACTCATCGTGGTAACCTCACTGGGGCTCAGGATCATAACCAGTTGACCGACTCGAAACATCATGACATCCACGATGCTTGGTTCCCATTCATACGGATCTTTAAGCTCTCCTGCACTAAGAAATATGTGCTTGGGCTTTTGGCAGTCTGTTTGACGCTGGGATGGATTCTTGATGAGGTGCGTAAGAAAATCCCACTCACGGTTGTGTGGTTTACCGTTGTCTCCTTGAATGAAGTCAAACTCGCCTCGGCCATCCGTCGTCCCAGCAGCAAAGGCGTACCCAAGTGCGGCAGGGCAAGTCATGGCAGCCTCCCCGTTCGGCAATGTGAATTGCCAATATTCCATATTGTGGAAGAAGTGAAACGACTTAACCGTAGGCCCCTGAACAGGAGTGGAGGATTTGGACATGGAAGTCTAGCGGACCAGGTCAGCGTGTTCCTTGGACAGGAAAGCCCACGGGAATGCACATTTATACTCACCAAAATGTCTTTCACACCCCTCAGTTGGCGAAGCGCAATCTCATGGCAGCTGCTTGCGCCTTGGTCTTGAACTTGCCAGTGAGGACCCCGGCCTTGGCATTTTGCAACAGTTCCATCTGCACATGTTGCAGTCTCAAAATCACACTGTTTGCCAGATCCGTCTTCACACCAAGCCCCCTCTGTATTGGGGGTGGCATCACCGAGGTTTGCTTGACTAAACGCTGCTACAAAATTGCTAGCAAATGCAGAATCTTCCCTCATCGCTTGTTCCGTCATCCATGCTGCCAGTCCTTTATTGTCGCCCGCAACATGGGTATTATTTCGGTAGAGCGATGTACCATGCACCGGAAACCAGTTCAGCAGTCCAGTTATTTTGTTATCCGAGGCTCTGGTGAAGCGCAACAAAGTCATGGTTGTGTCGGTCGACGCACTATACCTGGCTCGTTCCTCGGCAGGGTTTTGTAAGTAGGACCATTGTGATCTATTTATGGAAGCATCCGTAATCTCAGTGGTGCCAACATCAAGGTATCCCTTGCGTACAAAATGTTAGCTGCCATACTAATAATTCTTTGGCATTGCGCAAGCTGGACACGACAGGATCAAAAAAGAACCATGGGCCCTGGATCCTCACCTCTTGGAGACTTTCGTGTGCTCGTTTGATGGACAGTACCGCGCCGTCAACAATGGGCTGATAGCTTTCTTTGGTGAAGCCCAGGCACGGAATTTGAGGAACCAGGTAGTTGTTCCAACCACCGGGCGCGGAATGGCTATGTGCTGCCGCAAGTGCAACATTGTTCTGGCCATAGACAGAATAAGGGGCTCCCATGCCTTTGAGTGCATCCAAAACCCCAAAGCGGATAGCCGTATCTCCGACCAGATTGTCGAGAACAACATAGACAATCCTGTCTTCGGGGTTGTTCACATCACCGATGATAAAAGCTCGGCTGAACAGCCTCTGGCGAATACCGCCGCCGACCTGCTCGAGGTTTGCATAGCCGGTAAGGATGATATCGGCCGCGGGTCCTGTGATGTCTGCTTTCCCAGTACCAATGAGGTACTTGTCCTGCGTCGAGTTTTTCTGAGAGCGAGCCGCAAATCGTGAATGAATTTTTGACCAGTCTGGGCCATGTGCCTCGGGGAACGAACCCGGCAGAGCAAGTACTCCGGGCACAGATGAGAGGAAGACAACAAACAGACCAAGAAGCCACGACACAAACGATTGCAGCTCCATGGCTCGTAGGCTTATCGCGATCTTGTGCCCTGTATTCTCAGTCTTGCCTCGGTCAGCGAGGAGAGGGCTGGCAATTGAGGATTTAAAGATGCGGTATGACCATGACGAACGCCTTACAGCGAAAACAAACAACGTTAGCACACCATTCGACGCGGTTCTTTTCTTAGCGGGACACGCTCGACTTTATGGAGCGACTCATCCAATGTCTCGGAATAAATCTGCTAATGTACGATTGGCCATCGGCCCTCATTTGCCGTCAAGACATTCAAGGAGATCCGAGGCCTAGAGAAAGCTACCTTGGCGATCAGTCGTCAGGGGCATTAGAATTTCACCGACGTCCCGCGACATGGGTTTAGCCACGATTCAAGGACACGGACGAAGCATACCGTCTGTTCCTGGTTTAGCGGACAATCATCATCTTGGTCGCCCGCGCCTTAGCCCATATCACACAGACCGTGCGCGCGTGCAGGGCCGAGGAACAATATCCGCACTGACGGCCAAGTGGGCCTGCCGGCGGTTGAGGCCATCATCGGCCCAAAATGGAAGCGGCTTACGATATTGACGGGCACCTGATTGGACAGCTCGTACCAGATTTCTACTTGAGGGAGGTCCCTATCTTATGTGCATCTGAACTATTAGATCTACATAAGATCTGTGCCTAAATGATGGGATGGCCATGAACGACGTGGCTCGGTTACGGAAGCGAGGGACGCCCATCAACGGCATCGGTGCACCAGATGACATCGTGTCGGCTCCACACCCATAGGTCAACAACACATTGATCCGATAGCTTATCGCTCGGGTTCATGCTTAGAACGTGGCCGGCTGATATGAGATATGTACAAAGTATCGCTCAATGGATGATGAATCGACCCCTCGGTCTCGCGTCGGACTGGGACAGCCCATTCATACACAATCCGCAATGTAATCAGACTCCTCCCACCGCCAGCCCCGACCTAGTTGGTAGCCCACCATATACTGGTTATCACCTGCACCTGCTGCAACTGCAATGGAACGAACTCTAGACTCGGCAGGGATGTCTTTGCACGATGCCGGCCATGGACCAAGACTACCCTCCTCGGTGGCCATGATCCTCCGTGCAACCCCCAGCACAAGATTGTTGTTCCACACGCCTTCTTGCAGAGGACGGGAGGTCATGAGCCCGATAGCGCGTCTACGAATCGTCGGGTCTCGGCATTTCGCAATTATCCCGTATAGCACCGGCACCGTACCGGAGTGCATGTGGAACTGAGGTGAACAACTTGCCTGACCTTTCACATCTGCATCTTGCAGATCCATTGCTTTCTCGGCATAGCCCAGCATGTCGGTGAAGGCGCCAATGTATCGATCCCAGAGGAGCTGGTTCGCTTGATCGCCAGCACAGTTGATGGCAATATCAACCGCGCAATACCTCGACTGTAGTTCCAGCAAAGCCACTGCTCTCTTGTTGGCTCGGGATGTGAGAGTGGCAGAGTTTAATGATTTGAATTCTTCAAATGCCGTAGACCATGCCGAGACTTTCCCCACGAGCCCCCTCATATCACACCTCTCGAATTGCAGGCGGATATCACTGAGTCCCTCTTGGGCGTCGGCCAGAGAAGCAAAGTCAAAGGAGCGCGACTGCTCGCTGGGCTGCAGAATGCTTGTTACAATGGCTGTTATGTCCGGATCCAAGTCTCTTATTAACTGCAACGCCGCATCAGCTGTCAACCCCTGTGCCTTACCCCCTGCGCCTTGTTTCCTTACCATGTATATTTGAGCGACTATACGGCGCAGGAAGCCGTCAGCGAAGCCAAAAAAGGCACTGGCATCAGAGCGTGGCCTTTCCCTTTGCTTTGCGCCATAATTCTTGGCCAGTTGGTTTTTGTTTTGTTCTTGGAGAATTCTGTAACCCGCTTTGACAAGTTGCACTACCGTCGATATGTGTCCTTGCAATGCCTATGAAATGCGACCTCAGCTTACGGGCCTTGATATCGGCAACAACCGCCCGTACCTCGATGCAGATGAACAATATGCACGACATTAAATGAATATGCGCATTGTCTGCAGTCCTCAGCGATTTAAGTATCCCGCCAATCGACATGTTGTAGTGGCGCAGCGCAAATTGGTTCCGACTGGCCGGCTTTGGACTTGAGAAGGACTCGTGGTAGGACGACAATGCAACGAGAGAATGCCGGATACACTTTTCCGAATCGGCAACCTGCATCACATGCCGGGTCCAAAACTCATCCCGGAAAAAAGTCGTCATTTGAGAGACTGTCTTTTCATAAAAGTACCGCAAGGAGCGGGATTCCTCCCGGCGGACAGGTGACGGCACCACGGCGATGAATCTTGGCTCAGCGTTGGCCGGGAGCGGCTCGTAGCCGTCGCAGATGCGGCCGCTGGCGGTACCTAATCCGTTGAAACCTGTGAGAAGGAGCACGTTGGGGAGCAGGGAGTCCGGACGAGGCTAACATCTCTTGCATGCCGGGTGCGTCTCGTCACATTTCACTCTGCGAGCTGCGTGACAGAGTTAGCCGTCTACCGAGCCACGGAACATTGAAGTTTCTGCCGGCCGCCTTACTCCTACGAAATTGCCAAATTAGCATGGCTCAATGCACACCGAGCGCTGAAGTAGAAATGGCATCCTGCACAAGGGACCACGGACACGCACTCGTCCGCCACGGGAAAACTGACTTGCATGTTCGACACCCCGTCCGGACCTTGGGCGCCTTTGCACGCCGACGCTGGCCAGGCTTGACTCTGGGCATTGGGGAGCAGGCAAAACCGCAAAAGTTGCGAATAATCACGTAAAGGAAAGGGACGAGTCCACCCGCTCCTGTCGTACGTACGAGCCTAAAAGGGGTACGCGACCGAGGATATATGTACAATGAAGGAGCTTGAATGTGCACAGCCAAACGGGCTGCGCCATGAGCCGAGGACGAATCTGTCTACCCAAGAAGAGTATGGACATACGATCCGGCCAATCACCTGGTTTACCGCGCTCCAGTTTCTCTGTCAGATCTGGCAACGACGCCACATCGGTTATCGGGACCGCGTTCAAAGTCGGAGGATTCGCGCGGAGAGATCAATTCCACAATATAAGCAGCCGTTGTCTTGGTATTCCCCGGATTTGAACACGTGTATATCGGCACGGAGGGGCCGAGGCACGGGGTTCCGGACATCAGGGACGTCGAGATGTTGTGTCGATACTTTGTTTGTGTTGAACTGTGTGGGCGAGTGGGTTCGATTACCCACCGACGGGGTCGTTGAATTGAGTGGAGGAGTTTGCTGCTGAAAGGGGTACAGTGCTTGAAGATGGCCATCTAATCTATATTTCATTCATTTAATCTTTTTGATCCAGCCATGTTATTGCTCGTTTGCATACGTACCTGGTGTAAAAATAAGCCCGTGCCGTCACTATCCTTGCCAACCCCGCCAGTTCTGTACCAGCCTCTCGGGAAGACGCCACGACTCTGAGAAGAGATGTTGACAAGCTCAAGGCTGTGCATTTCTGTCCCGACCACTCTTCAGGGAGTGAATAGCATCACAAGCCCACCCGAATAGGCATCAAGTAATTCAACTACCTACCGAGTAGATAGTCAGTCTTATCTGCTAGGCATCGTAACAGCTGGGCCAGAGACCAAGTGCAGAAGCCCACTAGTAGACATGTCAGCACGTGATCATCCACGTGTCCAACACCAATTTTGGGGCCTTGGGCCGGCGTCACCTCGCTTCAACTCATCAACATCCGGAAATCCGCCGACAATCAGCCTTCGCGACCTTCACCGTCGCGTGCGTCCAGTTCTAACCGTGCCTTTGCCGGCCGGCCGTGTTGCTCTGCCCGAAAATGTCGGATTCTCCACCACCGTCACCGTCGCAGCACGCAACTGCCCATGCCTACGCCAGCAATGGCCTAGAGATCCTTCAAGCCGCCAGCGATGCTGCGCAGGCCATCCAAAACCCGCAAGCTCTTCAACATGCCGCAGCAGCAGTCGCAGCCGAAGCCGTGTCCCAGGTGTCCCAGGTGTCCCAGCAGCCTCAGGGCGTGGGCATGCCCGGGCTTGCCCAGGGTCCAGACATGGCACAGCAGCATCTGGTCGCCGGCACGGGAGGCATCATGCGCGATCCGACCGTCAATCCGAAACTCACGCGTCTAAGGAGGGCGTGTGACATGTGCAGCATGCGCAAGGTGAAATGCGACGATAGCAACATTCCCTGCCGGCCGTGTCGCGAGCTGGGCGTCGAATGCACATATGAACGAGAGACCAAGAGACGTGGCCCCCCGAACAAGCATGCCGAAGCGGCCAAGGCGGCGAAGCGGCAGCGTCTAGAGATGGCCGCTGTTGTCTTTCCCCCTGCGTCCCCGTCGCCTCAGACTGCGGCCAAGGCGTTGATGAACATTTCGTCGGATGGCATTCTTGATGCCGAGTCCATTGCGCCCATGCCCGTGCTGGAGCTTCTCGTGGACGACTTCTTCACCTATATACATCCCTTGGCGCCGTTTCCCCACGAGCCCACCTTTCGACAGTCGTTTGCGAACCGTGAAGACCGAACGCGGCCCGAGTTTCTGGGATTACTGGCCAGCATGGTTGGTGCCTTGGTCGCGTCTTTTCCGAGAAGCGCGAGGGAGCACCTCAAGGCGCAGCACAGCACGCATCTGTTCCCCAAGGCCATCGTTCTGGTGGAGAAATGCCGCGACATTGCGCTTCTTACGCGCGGTAGTAAATGGATCTTGAAGCAACCCAAGACGTTGGACGATGCTTGTACGAGCTACTTCCTCGGTTTGGCCGGGGCCTATACGCTGCAGTGGAATCCAGCACGCCATTTCCTAGCAGAGACGTTGATTTTGATGCGGGAACTGGGCTTTATGCGGCCAAAACACGCGGGAGACCTGCCAACCTTTGGCACTGATCCGTACTCGACCGAGCCGCTGCCGTTTAATCACGTCAAGGATCAGATCGGGAAGCGCCTTTTCTGGTGTCTCCTGTTGGGCATTAGGTAAGTGGTCGTGTCGAATTTTGGCTCAAGCCATGGCCATATTATTGACGTCTATAGGTCCATGACTCAATTGGGTATCACTGGGACGGATTTGGTCATTGCACCATCTACGCCAAGCTTGCCTTATCCTTCGTATCCCGAGAATGTCGACGACATTTGCGTCCTGGCGAACGAGATTATCCACCAGGCTGAGGGGACCGTCACACTGCTGACAGGATTCCGATTTGGCATCGACATATACACGACGATGAATGGCGTCGTGAGCCTGGAGCTTGCGTATGGCATGAACACGTTGCCTTGGGCGGACCAGCGAATCCTTCTGCGGGATGGCTTGATGGCTGCAAAGGGAATCGTCGACAACCTTCCGCCAGAACTGCAGCTTTCAGCACAGGGTGAAGACGCGAATTCGCTAGCGACGCTAGACGAATCAGGCCTGCAATACGTACCGCCTGTCTGGCCAAACGCCCAGCCGTCCCACGATGTCCGCAACGTCATCAAGACGCAACCAGCACAGCGGCGTCGCTTACAGTACGAGATCCAAAAAGCCAACATTTTCATGTCTCAACTGGCGACGCGGTCGTACTTTGTAGAATTGTACTTTAACCTCCGAGACGTACACCTGGCTGACGAGCAAAATAACCCCGTGGGGGATCGCAGTGAGGAGGAACGAGCATTACAGGACGCAGACGATAAAGAGATTTTTGCTCTCATGGCCGGGGAACGGGAATTAATCGTGCAGAACCTCCTTGAAGTCCTGGGGTCCATCTCCCAGCGAAACATGGAACCCAACGGACTGTCGCTCATCAACAAGATCCGCCAGGTTGCATCGACGCTATTGAACGACTCGGCGGATCGCAAGGGGCCGGTGGCTATCAAGTCGGAAGAGGCCTTGTCTCAACTGATTGACATACTGATCAAGCTGGAGAAGACGGGTCCCGCGGCGGCGAGTCGCGCAGGCGATCCGAACCACATGACGGCAGAGGACGAGGAGGAGGAGCTGCGGCATTGGGCTGACTTGAGAGAGTACCAGCTGAGATTTGCGGCGAGTGGTGGCTATGCCGGCGTGGGAATCTGATGCACCTCGCCGAGACGAAGGCGTGTTTTTTTCTTCCTTGTCCCTTTTGATTTGCATCGTGGAGAAGGATCCCAGTGTGATGGCACGAAAACCCTGCCATGACAGCCACTTGATTCACTACAAGGCCACGCATGATGCAAGGGCGGGGGAGGGAGACCTTTTCAGCAGATGAAAGTGTAACAACAGAAAAAGTATGGCCAGTAAGGCTACTCATGTAACGATGTGTACTATACCTACAGAAAGAATACCACTGCTCAAACCTCGTCGGCTTCCAGCCTAATGCATACCCGTTCCTAGCGCCACGAAATGACTCCGTACACAAAGGCAGCGCAAGACAAGACTCTGCACGGCATCAGTCCCCCTAGTCCCCTGTTTGGCCGAAGACGCAAAGCATTCCGGGCCCGAGTAAACGTAGAGACAAGGGCAGAGACGTACGTACCCCAAAGAAGACACCAAGACGATGAACAAGATGGCCACGGGCCAGGAAAAGTTGACGGAGCGTGTAAAGATGTAGAACAGCCCCGCGAAGCAGATCAGGCAGGTAAACGTCAAAACGAGGTGGCACGCGATGCTGACGACCAGCGGCATGGTCGACGCGCCCGGGATGCCGAGGCGGTTGACGATGATGGTGGCCACGTCGAAGAGGAACGCGGCGAGGGCCTAGGCGCGACAACAGCACAAGTCAGCCCGCACGCTCGCTTCTTGTTCTTGGACGGCCGCACCACGGGAAAGGTCAGCTCGAGGACGCCTTCGCAGAGGGAGACGGCGTCGCCGGGCCTGCACAGGTGGTCCGACTTGATCCACCAGGCGTCGACGGCGATACAGTTTTTTTTTTCGGCATGCAGTGTCGCGATTTGCATGGTTGCTTGCGAGCTGGTGGTGCTGCCTGGCGCCAACACGGGACGAGGCTGACGATCTGGACGTCTGCCGTGGCCGGGGTCCAAGACCAAACGGTGCCTTGGAGGCAAAGTAGGCTGTTTCGACGCCGATATGGACATGGTGCGTGCCGAGGGCGCTGGTGAAGAGCGGGAGGAGAGGGGTGAGAGGTGGGCATGTCCAGAGGAGCAGGTTGGCGAGCCAGAGGACGAACATGTTGTAGATGGGTGCATACCGCCGTTTTGGCGTGGAAGCGTTTGCCACGGTCATGGTGCTTGCCGTGTATTGTTATGCTACGACGGATCGGTCGGTTGTTGTTCGTCAAGGCTGGTCCCGTGCGGGAAAGTCGACAAAACTACGCAGTGTCGCAGGACTCGTTGCGGTGCCGCCCATGCCTTGTTCGGGCGCAAGCCACTGCAATGAAGCAGAGTCAAACCAGACGCTTCATGGTCGATGACAAGTTCTGCGAGTCACGCTCTACGAATGACAAACACCTCCCTACAATACGTAGCCTCACGCAACGAACAAGACACGCTCCTACCACGCATTTCTGTGTAAACCACAACCACTTGCCTCTTTCGGCCATACAAGTCCGCGTCGCCAACGCCAAGTCGGCGCCCGCAAAGCTGATTGGCCGTGTCGCACCATCTGCTGTCACCGGGCCGAGATGCCAATGCCGTCATCTCCACAATCCTGCCCGTCAACCTCCCCGAAGTGCAGATTGTTGCGCGGCGCTCAGTCCCAGCCTGCGGATGACATGGCTCGGCCTCCTAATCGCCAAAGCATCTCGACGACATGAGCGACCAAGCTACAGCAAGCCCAGACGGCAAAATCCAACAGCCATCCCGGCAAGCTGGTGCGTCTGCCTCGGCTCACACCGACGGTGGAATTGCGGGGCCGAAGCAACCTCATCGATAATCTGAAGCAGAGCCAGTCTCGAGTGTCGAGTCTCGACGACCCCCCTCTCAACTTGACTGCTGCATCACTGCCCGAACCACCTCAGCCATCTGGTATCAATCCATCCCATCGACAAAGGTCCTACTCGAAAAAAAAACAAGAGCCGTCACCATGGCCGACATGAAGGCATGGCAGCTCGCCACGCCCGGCGAGGTCCAAGACACACTCAAGCTCACGACGGTCGCGCGCCCAGCGCCGGCCCTCCAGCCTTCCGAGATCCAGGTCCGCGTCATCAGCGCGGCCATCAACCCAGCCGACCACAAAGTGCCAGCCATGGGCTTCGGGGCGCGGGCCATCCTCCCCTTCCCCAAGACGGTGGGCATGGACCTCAGCGGCGAGGTCGTCTCGGCGGGCAGCGCCGTGACGGACGTACTCGTCGGCGACCGCGTCATGGCGCGCCTGTCGCCGCTGCGCCGCCCCGGCTCCCTGTCCGAGTACGTGACGGTCCCGCGCGACGGGTACGCGCGGCTCTCGCGCACCGTGGACCCGGACGTGGCCGCCGCCGTGGGCACCGCCGGGCTCACGGCCTACCAGAGCATCAAGCCGTACGTCCGGCCCGGCGATAAGGTCTTCATCAACGGTGGCTCCGGCGGCGTCGGCACCTTTGGCATCCAGATCGCCAAGCTGCTGGGCTGCCACGTCACCGTGTCGTGCTCGGCCGCCAAGGCCGCGCTGTGCCGCTCCCTCGGCGCCGACGACGTCATCGACTACACGGCCGCCGACGTCGTCGCCGAGCTCGTCGCCCGCGGGCGCGTCTTCAGCCTCATCGCCGACAATGTCGGCTGCGACCCGCCCGGCCTGTACGCCCGCGCCGCCGGCCGCGTCCTCCTCCCCGGGGGCGTCTTCGTCATCGTCGCCGCCGGTCGGCACATTGGCCACGCGGTCTCGGCCGTCGCCACCCTGCTCCGCCCGTCGTTTCTGGGCGGCGGCACCAACAAGGTCGTCTTGTACATGGCGTCGAATAACCGCGACGACTGGGAGGCGCTGGCGCAGTGGGTCAACGAGGGCAAGCTGACGGCCGTCATTGACAAGACGTTTGTGTTTGACGAGGCCCGAGAGGCCTTTGGCCATCTGCAGACGGGCTCGGCGAAGGGCAAGGTTGTGGTTCATGTGTCGAGCAAGGATTGACGCGTCGTCCGCGTCCCACGGCCAGCCGCGCTTGGTGAGTGAATGATTGGGGCTGACACGCAAGGCAAATCGAGTTGGTTAGTTTAGCGCTATGAAATCTAGTAATGACCCTCATGACAGGGCTGTGTCCTTGTCCTCCGTCTCATCATCTAGATGACGCCCCCAATGCCTGCATGTAGCAACGCACCATGTTGTCAAACTGCTGTCCTGCCGTCACTTTTTGCATGGCTTCGACTGAGAGCTTTGCGAATACGGCACAAGGGAGGAGTGCCGCAGTACCAACTTGTCCGGTTCTCTAGCTTACATTGCTGCCTGAATTGTTGTTGGCAGCTTCAGTTCTCATGCTCACCGTCCTTTAAGAGTCATTGTTTCGTATTTCATTCTGGAAAAACAAGAAATGGCCAAGTACCACACAGTCTGCTCAAGCTACTGCTTCGTTTCTACCTCAAGCTCTCAGCCATACACGACTACAACCCGCTACTAACCACGTCCACGGCCATGCCATGCTCCCCCACTGGTACCCAGCTACAAAAATTTGAAATCTCGGCTTGGCCACACTTGGAACTTGTTGCCTTTGTCTGCCGGAAATGATAGTCATTTGCGTCACAATAGTTCAATATGTTCAGCTATCAATCACATTGACACTATCCTATCCCGTCATCCAATCATCCATCCGTGAAAGAAAGTCGTTAGTTGAACGCCAGCATCCCAAACAAAATGCACAAAACACCACACAAACCCCTCCGAATTGGTATCAAACATCAGGGTATCACAAACAAACGCTAATCCATCCGAGGAAAAAAAAAGGTTCAGCCGGTCATTGGCTATCACGGCGACAAACGCCGCGGCACACAACAGTCCGTTGATCCACCTCATAACGTGAGTCGTCGATATCTTCGTCTAAGCGCTGTCCCAGTCTCTCCGCCAATCGTGTATTACGGCCGCCTCTCAATTGACCATCTCATAACAGCCAGTGGGTATCTCATCACGTCATGATCCGATTTCAAGTTGCGAACCAAAGGGGAAAAAACACGTCTTTGTGAGGAAACTCGGGTACAACAAAAGGAAACATGTATGGTCCAAAGGGAGCAAGGTGTGTCAGCAAGAAAAAATGCCATAGCGCGTGACACGCCCGGTAGGAAATAATAGACAAAGTCTGGAGTCGAAAGTAGAGAGGAGAAATCCACCAGTACTGATTCTGGGAAGAAAAGCCACCAGTTGCTTTTCTAATAAGCTGTCGCTGTCGTTCCTTCGCTCGTCGCGACGGCCACAAGCGCCTCCAAGCGCCTGAGCGAGTCAGGATTTGCTTTTCCGTCCTGTTGTTGGGTCTGAGCCGGCTGTTCTCTGCCAGGAAAGCCGTTAAAACCGGTGAAGTTTGGGTGAACCATGCGATCAACATGGGCGCCGCGGGGATCCTGCATGACATGCTCACTGTGTGCCTGCGATGGCGCAGGTCCGTGGTACCAGCCGTGCCTTTTATTCTCTCGCGGCGTTGCAATTGACGGCGCCGACATGGTATGTTGGTGAAGAGATCGACCACTATGCACAGAAGCTGGAAACTGTCGGGAAGGAGGTACCTGATCCTGAAACCGAACGCTTGGTTGATTGACTTGCATCTGAACGCGCTCAGCTTGGGCTTGGACAGCCCTGTTAGCCTCGGAGGCCCAACTTCCGGCGCTATCACGAGGGGGTGTCTTGTGGCTAATATCTAGACGGTTTAATCCACGTTGCAGGCTGGCATCATACATGTTCAAATTGCGGCGTTCGTCAGGCTGAATCGTTTCACCTACTCCAGGCTGGAAAGATCGTCTATATGCCGTCTCAGAGTCTATGGCCATGGCCGAAGGACCATGTTGCTGCTGCGGCTGGGGTGGTGGTGGTGTCGGATGTCGGCGTGGAAGCGGGTCGAACGACTCAATACCGGGAAGGCGCAGAGATGACTGAGAGCTTGACGGGTTTGCGATAGGCGGAGGAGGATTTGGTCCCACGCTCTGATTGACCCCGGCCAGTTGGTTCGACTGAGTCTGTGGCGGCTGGTTACCGTAATTTCGGCTGTCTGGGTGCCATGTGCGTCTCCTCCACGCGTCGTCGCCGGCGCTTGAGACAGAGTCTCGCCGAGTGGACCACCCAGATGTAGTCGACGTCGGAGACGGAACTAGACTCGAGCCCGCGGGCGAGAAGGCGGATGGGTGTGAGCTGTTCATCTGACCAGCACTGAATAAGGCACGTCCGGGAGCTGACTGGAAGGGATTTGCGCTGGATGGCACACTAAGCCGTCGGCCCGGCGTTCGGTTTCCGGAACTGTACATGCTTTGGGATCGTGAGTGGGATGACGTAGGCGAGGCCATTCCAGACATCCACCGCGGGCTGCTCTGTGCCGTTGAGAAGGTAGCAGACGTCGGGGTGCTGAAATCGCCAGGGGATGGGGGTCGATATGAAAACGTGCTGTCTGCGTTGCTTCGGTATGATTCAAGCGACATCCGAGACCGAGGATCCGCGGCCATGACCAGGGGTGGCGGTCGCCTCCTCACATCCATCTGAGGACCATAGCCCGAGCCAACAGAGCTGATGCTGGCAATGCTGGACGTGGACAGACTCTTGGAATGGCCACGAACAGGCCCGCCCGCGCTGCCACCCGTTGATGCTCTGGCTCTGTTGCCTGCTTGCCGTACTCTCTCTGTAGTTCGCATTTGCCGCTGGAAGCGCGAACCTGTTGCCGCAAGTGAATCCGTCGGAATATCCTCGTTTACATGAACAGTCTGAGCATGCTGTCTCAGGTTGTCAAGCCGCGAGAAGCGGCGGGAGCAATGACATTGAAATGGTCGTTCCCCGGTGTGTTTTCTGAGATGGGTAGTTAGTACCTGTGCCACCATAATACCGAAAACCTCGTCATGAATATAGTTGTGACGACAAAACAAACCTGATGTGTCGGGCCAAGTGTTCGCTCCTGGTGAAACTGAGATTGCATGGTGGATAGTCGGTACAATAGAATCGTTGAGACTTTTTCTTTTTATTTGATTTCGAGCCATCGGCACCTACACTGTCCCCATCGGAAATCGTACCGTCATCGCCACCGGCGCCAGTGTCTCCGTCGGAATCATCCATATCTACATCCATAGAATCTCTTCTGGACGACTTGGTAGAATGTTGCGAGTTTTCACGGCGTGGCATACCATCTGCTGATTCGGAGGCCTGTCCGGTAGGAGGGAACGGAGCGTTGGGCAGTGGTTTTTGATCGGAAACAGCAGAGCTGAATGTCGATCGAGTTGGCGTCTTCGAATCGTCGGGCAGAGTACGAGACTGTTGTGGTTGTGGTGGATGGTGCGATGCTGCACTCGGCCGGGGCGTGACGGATGAGGAAGAGCATGTCGTCATGGGCTCCTCCTTGATGGACTCGCCCAACAGCGACGAGTTCACCGGTCGGAACGCGCCTGCCATGATGGCGAGGTGCTCAAGAAATGGCCGTCGGGGCTATTGTGTGTTGGACTGATGTCGTCGGCGAGGATGCAGGTTGAGAGGCCGGCCAGACGGTCGTAACGTTGAGTGAAGGACGGGAGCGTTGCCCGTGCAAGGTAAGAAGGTCAAGGTGAAAGTTGAGTGGAGGGTCGTCCAGCGGATGGAGGGTATTGTTAAGCGGGCGACTGACGGTGGGTGAGGCTGAAGGAGCCTGGAGGAGCAGGGGAGGGGGTGACGAGGCGACCGGGGGGGGCGGCGCCGCAGACACTCGAGCACCGTCACAGATGGGGGTTGCAGTCCGGAGCTCTCAGTAATAGTATCCAGTGGGGTCTGCGCCGGTGCCCTTGGAGCGAGCTTAGTATGCAGTATAGAATGTCTCGTCTCGCTTGTTCCCCGTGTTGGTTTCAGACGAAAGCGTGCGATTTGCAACGGGTGCCGGATGATGCGGACCTGACGAGCATCAAGCCTGAAGTCTAAAAGTCGATGCTACGCCGGCCAAAAGCTTGCGAGCTTGTTGGCTGAGGAAAGCTTATCAAGGTTACAAAGTAAAAAAAAAAAAAAAGCCGATCTAGGCCCGCCGTTGTGGTGAGCCAGGACAGGACCAGTATTACTCCGTACTGGCGGCAGGAATATTGTTCAAGACAAATACGTGCGACTGCTTGCGACGGGGCTTGCTCGAGTCAAGCCACCGGGAGGTTGGAGGTTGCGGGGCAGAACTGAGTTGGAGTTGAGTTGATCAGGGTTCGTTTGGCACTTGGCTGCTCAAGCGTGAGGGTTGAAGACTGAACACGGATGGGCCTTTATCATGCCCATAAAGCAGCACTTGAGAGGTCAATGAGCCTGCTAGTGAGACCGACTGGGCAACACTCGTGGTGTGGATTGTGAGATTTGTGGGGGGGAGTGTGTGCGCGCGTGTCTGCTGTTGCCGTGATGCGCCGCAACGGGCTAACACTGGCCGGTGCCTGCAGGTACCACGTCGGCACAACAGGGCAGGTCGAGAATGAGCTATGCAATACGGTCCAGGAACACTGCCCATCTGACAAAGAGAAGACCGACTGCCAATGCCTCACAATGCGCAGAGGGAGGCTGCTTGGCTCCGACTATGTCTTGAATTTTTTCGCCCGGCCAAGAACGACGCCGAGGGCCGGGTGTCAGAAGCATGAGCGGTCGGCGCCTCTCAAAGGAAGACGAGCACCCATGCTGTTTGCGGAACGTTGCCTCGTGCGAAGACTGCCAACAGCCCAGGCTTGATCGGAACCACCACGGAGGAGGGGACCTCGCCGGGATGATGCTGCCTGGGGACTCGGGACCCAACATTCAACCCAGGGGAAACGAAGTCATGCGGCACGGTGACAGGGGCATGGGTGGAACAGGCGGAGGGACACAACAACAAGGAGGACCATTCAACTTTGAACAACACCGCCCAGGGCGACATATGGCCACCTTGGACCAACCTGTGGCGACAGACAACCAGAGGGGGCCACCCATAAGCAGGCGCAAAAAGGCAGCATCAGATCAGGGAGGCGTCTTGTGGATTCAAGCTTTGACAGCTAGCAAAATCGGCCGAATGATTGGAGGCTGCCGTGTGGCAATGGAAAGAAATGGGGCCGACGATTCCTTGTGGTGTGCTGAAGGACAGAACGATTCTTCTTGATGCTGATTGCTTTTCCCGCCTCTGACGGATGTGGTGGAATAACTGCTAAACTTCAGCATGTACCCGAGTCCTGATAAGGGCCATGCTTCGCCCTTGAGTGGAGTCCAGATCCAGCCTTGGGGGGGCCTTGGTCCAGTCCAGCTAACCAACCACCTTGTTTGAATGGCAAACAAACGAAGCTAGTGAAAGGTAAAAGCAAGGAGAGTCCTGCTTGTGTGCCTCGCTGAACAGTAGCGTGCCGTGCTTCCAGGTACTGTATCCGTGCTGCCGTGTGCCCGTGCTTCTCCTCTTCCGAGTATCGATGGATTCCAACCTCGTGGGCACGCTGTTGTGTCTCTGGTACGGTACATCCAGGATCTAATAATAAAGAAGCAAAGCGGACTAACCCTGCGCGACCCTGCAGCACCCGAAAGAAGCCTTTCCCCCTCTTCTCTGGGGTGACGCTTTGGCCAATACACGCATCTAAACGAGAACGCAAGACATTTGCTGAAGCGAGACAGACTCCAAGGATAATATGAGAGGCTCCTAACTCGCACCGGCGACTGGGACAAGCCTTGTTTGCGTGGTGACTTAGCGGCTCTGCCAACTCAAGCTTGATGACTGCGCGCCGTGCCTCTCCTGGTTTGGCTGCTTCACATCGACATGGTCTCTCGGTGGTTGGTGCCACCGAAATGGTGCAATCTTCTCCGCAATGCGTATATCGTCAGCACTGCGGATTACGCAACACGACGTCACCCAATATGGCTCATCCCGCTGGCAAAGTAGATCTCGGAACACTAAGGTTGTCTACGGGCGGCCATTGCCGCAGTAGATACTGGCAAGCTTTCATGACCCAGCACGGAGGAAAGGTATAAGAGGCTAAACCTCCAAGGCCGAGTGTCTCTTCTAGCAGGCTGGGCTGGCGGTAGTATCCTGATATTCTGCAATGGTGCCGCAACACTCGGGTGATATCCATGTTCGCAAGTACTATCTCAACTAAAATGCTCCGCCGAGGCCACCCGGCCGGCAAGCATCAAACCTGTGCAAGGTACAGACGTAAGGTACAGGTCATCCGCCCATCTTGGCGCGGGCGGGGTCCAGGTACACAGCGTCCAGTCAAGGCACTCTGTTTCCTGAACGCCCTTGGGTGTTGCTGGATTTCCCAATCAAGTGACCAGTTGTCACCGTTGGGCCAAGTAACGGTTACGACTTCTACAGGCAGTTGCTGTACCCACGGGAGTGTCGGAAGTTCTTGTCGCCATGCTGGTCGCAAGCGGTATGTGGACAAAGCTGGCTGACTGCTTCCGGACGCTGTGGCATAATGACTGAGGATCGATCGATTATTGATTAGGCTCGCAATGAGACCCGTTTGTTGCCTCTTGATAATTTTTTCTTGGCTCCGATTTCTTCTTATTTGTACCGTCGCGCTAATACCAAGGCCGACTTTCTCACTGTATTATTATTCACAACATAGATGGTCGCGAACCTGAGTGATAGTGCTCATGTCATTGGCACCGCCACGGTGCGCAGCGAGTTGGCGCCATTCAGCATTAATGGGGTGGTAACCTCTTCACCGGTCCACACTCTGTTGTCATATCGGCTCTTATTTGTCAGTTGCCTGTTCTCTGGACGCCTCCCTGCCATTCATGCGAGGGGTGACGGCCCAACAAAGCGCTGTGCCTCGCATCGTGGTGGAGCTCGAGATGCCCCCCCCTCCAGGCCCTGGTTTGATCTGATTGATGGCTCTTGCAACAATACATATATCGTGCCATTCGAGGCTGCAGCGAGGCACAGTACCCAGGCTGACAGAGCTTCATTACGGTGAAAGTCTGCCAGACCGCCTTACTTGAACTGTTCAATGGCAGGAGTTAGATTTATTGGCGTTGTTTGTTATTGTATGAGGCCATTGGAATACAAGTTCCAGTAACCTTTATGTCAGCAGCTGTAAATGTGGTGTCTGGCAAAGCCGAGACCAGTACGCCAACTTCGGGGGGAATTAGACCATCGTGTAGCTATCCATCTCCCTCGCGCCCTAGCTCGAATCAGTGGTCGCGAGACGTTTTCAGAATGAAGAATGCGCCTTCCAGAGAGGTGAAAAAGTATCGATGACTACCCCACGTACACTTGAAAGACGATTGAGTGATGGCAAGAAGTGGCAAAATAGAGTGCACCCACATGCCTGTGAAGCTAATAAGAACTCGACCTTGCCTGGGTAGGGATGCCACACCGGGGTTGAAGCAATGGAGGGAGTGACCATCGAGACAAATAGTTCAGCCTTTTGTTGGACGCAGAGCCGCATAGTTTCCAACAGTGGTATTAGGGTTAAATAGCGGGTGGACGTGGATTTGTTGATGGCGTCAAGTATACCCACATTGTGAAGTGGGAGACGGGCGCAGTGTGCTTCTGGGATTGTAGTACCAACTATCGTACTCCGTAATAGTTACGAATTAAACGACGACGGATGGCGGGGTCTGTGTATGTATACTCAGAATCAGGCCAATGAACATCACCCAGAGGCCACGAGTGAGCATGCAGTAGTCAAAGCGGATGGCTGGCTGATTTACATGCTGACATGTGTTAGGGACCAGTCGGCAACCTCGCTATCTTCTAGCATTGTGGAGATGCCGTCGATCAAAGAACTGGTCCGGTGGGCAACCAGTTCTGTACTCGGTAGCTGTTGGAGAATCGAGGCGGATCCATGGCGTGCCTGGGCCTGGCGGCGGGCCCCAGGGGAGACTGACTGCGGTGGTTTCGATCCAATTCGGAAGTTGTGTCACGATGCACAAGAAGTATTGGCAAGACGCTGTAAAACAAAGGAGCTGTCAGCTGTTGGTTGTTCTTCTTGGTAAATTGTAAAATATGGCGAATTGGGGAGTACGCCGTAGCAACCTTGTAGCCACGCGCAGCTGTGGTCATCCATGCTTCTGGGTTGAGAGACAAAACGAGTCGCGGAGACAGAACAACGTGCAGGTGGCCGCATCTGTTTGGACGTGTTAACAACTGTCTTAAACAGAGACCTGCTGATTTGAGGATGAACCACCCCGTCTGACATGTAACAATTTGCCGATTTGCACAACGTTGGGTGAGTGGAGAGCTCTCGCAAAAGCCAATGCTGGAATTTGAATTGCTCTTGTAGGACCGAAGGATCGAACATTAAACTCCAACCTACCGCGGCGACCAGCCGAAATCGGTCACGGTGATGGCTGAAGTCCGAGGAGAAGCGCCGCATGGATACTAGCATTGGTAGCTCGAAACTGCTCAGCTAGAAGACGTGCAGCGGAAGAATTCTCTTGGATCGTCGATGGGGCACACAGACTCGCACTAAACGACAAGCCAAAAATCAAGGTGGCGGATATCTCACGCCTGAGGCTAGTCCGAAGGGCCGAAGGAAGGAGCGATGAAGGTCCCACCGTGACGCGACGTCTTGCGACTGTTACTCGTGATGCTTGACGTGTAGCCACTAGAGCTCATCACCAAACACCGTCACATTTTCAGCTCCAGACGCGATTGCCATGTCAACTTTATCACACACCATCCCAGAGCTTCCAACGTCAGAATTGCATATTGCTTCCTGAGCTCCAGCCTTGCATATTATGCCGCTACCCAGACCCTGCTACGCCTCCACCTCGGTCTGCAAGATCAGGGCCCTTGTCACCGAGACGTGGGATGCATTTTTTATCGGTAGATACTGGATCAGAGCAGGCATTGTTGGGATGGTGGGTAATGTGCATGCTGCATGTAAATGTGGTGATACGTCGTGCAATGTCATCCTGGTTGGAAGCAATTGACAGGTTGGGCGTCTGCTTGGGAAACCATCATGTTGCAGCCTCCGAGATTGTGGACAGGGTTGGGACAAAGGACGATATTGCTTTTCATGCTAGATTGCATTAGTGCGAGGTTAGCAGGAAGCGTATAATGGCATTCACTTGCGAATATCTCGGCTTCTTGAACTACATTCAAGACGGAAAGGATATCTATTGGCCACTATACTACCCACGCTGCGTAATCAAAAAACCATACAAAGAATACGTAAGTCGTCACAAGTGATTTAAACATGTCCCATTCGTAACTATGCCACCCACCATGCAGTAACAACACCGACCATGGACATGGACTCATGATAACTCCAATGATGTTTCAACAGCCACGCCAGGTCGCTATTGGACGATGTTAAATATCCAACATGCTCCTTACCTGCTGTGGTTCCGCATTGATGCTCAATGTTGTAGACGTACTATTCGTCCTCTGTGCTGACAAGGGCCTCTGCGTCTCCGATTCTCCCCTTTGCCTGTCGTTGTATGGTGGTGGCGGGCCGTCCTCCATGAGCTCAGTCGCTCTCCTGGCTCGCTCCATAGCAAGTTCTTGGCTGGGGAACAAGACAGTTGCGGCGCTTTGCATAAGCCTCTCCGCGTGACGGCGATCGTTCTTTCCCAGGTACGGGTTAGCCAACGGGTCGTCGGTAACCGAAGTTGTCTTGTTGAGGCTGTGAATCCCAGCTCTATCAACACGCGGGTTGTGAGGGTCATCTCGAAGACTGCTGAGCTCAATGCCGTCGTTGTTGATGGCAGAACGCTCGGCTTCGAGACGGGCATCTCTTTCAGCATCATTTTCGACTCGTCGACCAATCCCCCGCTCGCCGCCGACTTCATTGACATTTTGGTCAATCTTGTCTCTCATCGTGCGGAGGTGATCACCTCGCACACGCCTCCACCACGCCGGTTTATGGACTACGCCGAGTTCACGATCCACAATATCTCCACGTTCCCTTCGCTGCCTGATGAGTTCCTTGTCCTCATTGGGCGAGGCGTATCCGTACACAATCTGTATGTATATGATGAGCAGGGAAGGGCCGTAACCCCAAGCCATGATGATTGGTATGTTTCCGTCCGCCTTGACGAGTGAAAAGTCCCAGATGAACGATATCACTGCTTGATAGGCAATCAATGCAAGCGCCAAGGGCATGGTGAGCATAAATCGAAGAGGGACGGCTTGAATGAATCCGAGAGCTCTGTTGAATATGCCGCGGTGACGAGGTTTGTAGTGCCGGATGGAGTGTCGCAAGGAAAATAGAATGGTGAGCCATGAGATGACCAGACAGAACGCTCCAACCTTGAAGCGCACACTTGTAGCATTAGGAATAGCCACGGCGTTTGTCTGTTCGACTGAATGCTGGGACTTGACAAAGTTCCAACTCCTGGGAACAACCATGAAGAAATTCTAGAGTAGGGATCAGTAAATGTGTCTTTGGACAGTTTCCCGAAACAATGTCACACTTACCATCCAAAACCAAAAATAGAACCATAAAGGCAGCCAGAATTCAAGCTTAGCCCGTCTATCATCCTCACGATACACAAAAGGGTTTGGATCAATAAACTGTCTCTCCAGCCAGCTCCCCCAGTGCCGCACAGATTCCCATACCAGAGCGACAGTTCCCATACACATGAGGAACCAGAAGAAGACGCAAAGGATAATTGGCAGATCCTGGAGATAGTATCGCTCAATTTCGACATTGGAAAAGAGGCTGACAAGGGCACAGGCAGCGACAAGGCATGCCCAGTACCATTGCCATCTTCGACCGATGGGGTAGAAACGTTTTGTGGTGCGGAGATACAATGCGCCATGCTTGGCTAGCGCAACGAGAGTGAGGACAATGGAAAGAGCGTAAAAAACACCAAGACCAATGCCGGCGTAGCCGCGTTTACCAATGGGGTTGATGGAGCTGTAACATGTTGTCGCGTTGAGGAAGCTGCCGTTGGCCCGTACCAATACTGGCGAGTAAGGCGCAAATACGAGGTAACAATCGGATATGTTGGACAATGTGTTGTTGCCCGGGTAAAAGGTATAATTGTTGTTATCGAGGGCTGTGGCGTTGAAGTGAATATTGCCAATGACGGTATCACTACTGTTGTCGCCGGGCGGGAAGCTTGCGTCTCGTCGGAACAAGAGATCGCGAGCGTCGAAGACGTCGAAGTGGATCATGTTGACGATTGTTTGCTAGAAATGAAGCTACACAACAATTGTCGAATCGCACTCGCGCACCCTTCGAGGGCCGGGCCGTGTTTGATGGACGTTGTCAACAAGAATTGTGATTATAAGCTGGGCATTGCAGTATTCGCGCGCTGGAGAAGAATTTCCGGAAGCGGTTCGCAACGACGACAAGAAGACTGGCTGGCACTCAGCAACAACAGCAACACGCCAAGTCAGAAACAAAGCAAAACCGCCGGGGGAGAGGACAGACGGGGGAGATGAGCTGAGAGGGTTGGGGAAAAAAACATGAGGAAGACGCGGAAGTTTTTCGACTACGGAACGCACGGCGAAGGCTGGTGTGGCCGAGAGAGCCGCGACACACACAGTGCGATGGGGACGATGTGGAGTGCCACTTGGGCATGCAGACCACTAAGGCACAGTGCTGATTGAAATTGTTTCACACAGGCCGATGACGCTCCCCCATGTTGCGGGCCGCCATCCAAGTCCATCCGAGCAGCTTGGCCGTTGGTTACATATGGGCTACATTTCAGTGGGTTGCGGCAATTTAGCAGCCTGGCGGGCAAGGAGGCGACGGCGAGTCCATGGACTTGACAGGGATGGATCCTGATTGTCCAGATGGGATATTTTGCTCCACCACGGCATCGGCACTGACGGCTCCGGGTATTCTGAAGACCTTGAGTCTTCAATGCGGTACACACCGCGTACGGAGTGTGTCGAGCCGTGAATCGTCATGGTGTTGTGCATATCCACACACACACACACACACAGGCCACACCCAACCGCCGAGACACCGAGACACAGTCCCGCCACACGACAACGGCGGCTCGCATCGACAAGACATTGAACTGGACTCTATGTTCGTGGTGACGCTGTTGTAGTTTTGGAGTCTGGTGGCCCTCTGCAAATTTGTCCTAGGCCAATCCTAGACCACAAAAGCCATTGATATTGCCAGCTGGCCAAATCAGCCCCGCCAAGCTCAATAACCACCTCCACTACGATGAGATAAACCCTCGAGTGCTGCCCTCGCAATCACCACCATGGCTGCCGAACCAAGCACAATCCAGCCGGACGAGCCCTCCTATATCGACTACGAAGCCTTCCTCTCTCCCGACTTCTCTCCCGCCCAGTTTGCCAACACGCTCGTCGTGTCGACCAACAACCCCAACGACACACCACTCGATCTCTCCACGCCGCTGTCACGAGTTCTTTTCGACGCGCAAGAGGTCGACTCGCACATCGACCTGCTGACCACCCGTTCCGCGGTCCCCTTGTTAGAATACACACGGGCGCAAAACGAGGCCAGCCAGCGCATTGTTTCAGAGCTCGACACCCAAATCAAGAGCCTCGACGACAGCTACAAGCAATTGGAGAGGGAGGTTATCGACAAACATGCCGAGGCAGATGAAGTTCGACAAGTTGCCCTACGACTGTGGGAGACACTACGTCTCGGTAGATCCGTTGGTCGCTGTCTCCAGCTCGGACGCCAGTTGGAAGTCCAACAGTCCGAGCTAGGCGGCCCTGGAAGCAAGGAAGATCACGGAGCACTCGTTCGATGTTCATACACTATCCTGTCTCTCCGCGAGGTTCTTGATGCTACCGGACCAGGCGAGGAAGGCCACGGCCTGGGCAAAGTCGATGCCATCCGCTCTCTCCAAGATGCTGTCATTTCGCCCATTGAGCGATCCGTCCGCGAAACAGCCGAGAGGTTCGTACGCGAGTTCTCCATCCCCAACAACACAACCTTTGCCCAGGGGGAAGAAGCAAAAGCCAAGCTAGAATCCGCCATGGCAGCCTTGTATCTCCTCTCGCCCACACACGGTGTCAAGCCCGACCGCTGGTCGCCGCGCCTCCTCCTCACCGCCCTAGACAACTACATTCGATCGGCCCTCCAAACGAGCATCACCTCGCTGTCTCGTTCCCTCGGACAACTCCCTTCTCTAGACCGGGCCTTGTACGACGTTACGTCCAAGTGTCAAAACATTATTGCCCTCGAAATCATCCTGCACGCCACCAAACCCCCTGCTCACCCGCTACTCCCGGCGGCATCACCCCACAAGCATCCAAGCCTCATCCAGCCGCTCCTTGCTCATCTCGAAACGGGATCCTTGGCATCGTACTTTTGGCGCACCATTGCGAGCAGTCTGGCCTCTCGAGTTCAGGACATTGTTAACAGAGGTGGCGTTGTTGCCCGATCACTGAAGTCGAATAAGGCCAACGTCGGGGATGCTATTCGCCAGGCTGTGATTAACGGCTCGCAGCCACCGGGAGCGTTTGCCACGGGGCGGAATAAGGAGAAGGCCGCGGAGGCGAATTGGGATAGGGAGATTGCTGTCATGGTGGGGAGCGTGACGAATAATTTGCGATGATGGCATAGACATGAACTCAAACGGACGCATATAAGCATATAAAATCATCTGGTTTTTGGGATCCGGAAAAGAAATGATAAAAGCAAGTAATCTATTCTGCCAAACCTGATTCGGTCAACAAGTTTTCAGTATCTTTGTGCTCGCTCATGTGCATGACAACCCCGAGGGCCATTTCAGCGTACAGACGTCTTGAAGCGAGGTCAACGCAACGTTGACATCCTTTTTTGCGGACATGAAACCAATGGTTCACACTATTGAGCATAGCTGACGCAACAGCCGCATGAAACCGGGCCACTATATCTCAACATGGGTCATGTGCAAGTTTCCACAAGTTTTGATCAGCCGCGGCGCCTCGTCTGTAAACTCCCTCGCCATATCCTACCCGTCAGCATTCAGAGAGCGGCAGTCATGAGTTGTTGCAGATGACCTCCTCACCGAAAAGATGCCCTAATGGCCATGCTCATTCTTTATTGGCTAGACAACTCAGTCCGGCGATGAGACACAAGCCAACCCCTGCCTACCTTGGTAGCTACTCGTAGAATCTGGGGCATCCTGCTTGAGCGTAGCCGAAAGAGCTGGATGACCCCCGTTCTTACATCCAGCCATGCCTATGTATGAGTCCTTGCGAGATAGGCCAACACAGTAGAAACTGGAAATTCCGACGAAGGAAAATGTGTAGAAATTGATTGGTGCTTGGGGTTGTACCTAGGGATGGCAACAGGTTTCCGTTGACAGCCACGAGACAACGAGAACATGACCAATCCTAGTTTCCCGTTCAATACTTACCCATGTTCATAAGTTACCCCAAGTACTGAAACTATTGCTGAATATTGGTAGCGGCAGACTTACTAGGAGCCTGAGGAGCCTGCGGATTAGATGACTCACATCGAGTCACATGAGCGAGAATGAATCCCCGTCCAGCTGAACCCTCGTTAAAGAGCTGTTTAAGGGTGTTTGTTGCATTAGGTAAGACATCTCAGCCGTGCTGTTCAGCTGCCATGGTGTTGCACCTGTAGACCCGGGGAGATGCGGCTGATCCACATCTTTCTCTGCAGGTCGGCTCAGTTTCGACATTTGTTATCACAAGAATTACTCTATACGGAAACTGCAGATACTACATAATACTACTCCCTTGGAACTAAGTGACGCCTGTGGCAGCTACAACTTGCCGTGGTCGTAACACCCTGCCATGCCCCTACCGGTGTGGGCGAGGCGTGAGTCCTTGCCCCTACACCTAGAAGTATCCCGGAACTCAGACAAGACTGTTCTGGCCCTTTCACTCGGACCAATATTTCAAAGCGGCTAGTCGTCTCGAGAGAGGCATTCATGAGATAAATACTCGTCGTGCTCCGTATGTCATGTTGTCCGCCCCAGGCTGGTTAGTTAGAATACTCAAGCTCCTACCCTCCATCCAACAACCCCATCTTGGATGTGATTCCGCCATCAACATGGGTGATATCGATCTGCCCTCCAAGATCAAGGAAGTAATCAGGTTCGTGTATAGGTCTCAACTTTTCTGCCTTGGCCAAGCCAACTAATGTCAACTATAATAGGGGGGTTCACGGAAAGGTGAACCGTCTCAACACGGCCCGAATTCCGCTTTGTCTCCCACCCCGAGCAAAATCGCCAGCCATCTATACACTAGGACTTTCGCGATATGCCGAGATTTTTCTGGGACTCGAGAAGGTCTGGAATGACCTGATAGGGGACGCTTCAGAGTGGATGGGCAACATGAGCTATAAGCCAAGCTCGTACAAGAGCGACAAGGAGAGAGTGCAGGCAGTCCTACGAACAATATACCTTCCCGAACTTTTGCGAACAAAGCGGCTGCAAGCTGATTTTGCGGCCCTGAAACCGCTGCATGCAGAGATGGACAATCTCGACCCGGGGGGAGGAAACGCGGGCAGCGAGTTTCGAAAATACATTGAGCAAGACGTCTCGACAAAGCCACATCTGCTCGTGGCCTACGTATGGATCATGTACCAAGCCCTGTTCAACGGCGGACGCTTCATCCGCGCGCAGCTCCTCAAAGCTGGCCCCGAATTCTGGGGTTTATCCGCCCAAGAGGCGGACCTCACTGCCTTGCCGCCACCTCTGTCCTTCTGGCGCGTCCAAGAGGCTGAGCTCGTCAAGGCCCGGTTCAGAGATTGCGTCGTGGCGGCGGACAAACTGTTGACCGAGCCCGAGAGACGAGAGATTCTTGACGAAGCACTGGAGATTTTCAGGCGCTGCGAACTGATTACACTCCAGCTCGACGAGGATGCTGCACGGGGGGCAGCCTACGAGCCAAGTTGATCACCTGCCTCCATCCTCGGGGGAGACTCCAACCCGGTTCGTGTCTGTGGCACCGCAAGAGGCGGGAAAGTGTGGTTCAAAACGTGTACAACTGTGTCTAGGAAAAAGAAAAAATTACAGGCTTCCAAAGGAATTAGTAATGTGCGGTCCCTCGTATCACCGAGAACTCCAGGAAGCAACCGGGTGTTCGCAATCGGGACTGGGACATGGCGTAACCGTGGCTTGAGCCAAGTCAAGCTCGCTCCAGTCATAGAAGAGAAGAGAAAAGAAGAAACAACATTGAAACAGTATAGGCACATTCCGCGGCGAAACAGGGCCCGGGCCGCTGGTTAGTGGCCACCAAAATACTACTAATGCTGACGCAAGCAGGCGTGTAAGCAGGTCTGTGTGGTTACCCAGCCAACCTGGATGAAGATTGTATACTTGCTCGAGAAGAAATCATTTCTGTGCAACACGCCGTGTACTACCGCTGTCGCTGGGCGTAGCTCGAAAGACGGGTTGGTCGAGTTCGCCGATGAGACGGTTACATTGGAAGCAAGGATCCCAGTATTGCCGCCCCGAGGCATGGAATACATAGTTTGTAATGTGATATCTGACTTGTTCATCAGCATGTATTGATTCGCCGTAGTAAATTATCGTATAGCGCGCGGTAGCCAGGTACATTCGCTGTTAGCAAGCCATGCCAACGACAATTATTTTCGTGGGCATCTGAAGCAAATATTCTATCCTGTTAAATGGCATGTCTGTAAAAGTGTACGTGTTACTAAAGCGCCAAACACTTTGAAACTGGTGGGCGGATAGAAATCCGTAGTGAGGGATGATGCCAGGGCCGTCGGCCAATCGTCAAAGTCAAGCCTTTAGACATGTAACATTAAGCGTATATGCCATGGCCGTGATGCTGAACGCAAAATCTAATTGCAAGCATGCTGAAAGTGCTGCATAACACCAGACGCATAATTATGGCCAGGCGCTTACCCGTTTTTAGTAGTACCTACACACAAAATTATAGATGGAACCCATTCATGTTGACATCAGCCAGAACCCCCTGCTCACGATGTATCAAGCTAGCAGGGGCCGTGTAAATGCTCGTAAAAAGCTTAGGTGCCAAGTTTTTAGTCAATTCTGCCTTGAATTTACCCTCCAAAAGTCAGTCGCTCAATTATGCTCGCAGTCAGTCGCTGCGTGTAGGATCAGGGCCATGGCATGATGGTCACCTTGCAGGCCATCAGAGCTAGCACTATTCCCAGAGTGCCAGTTTGGCCGTCCAGTCCATCATGAGAGCAACTTGGGCAGAATAAAAAGCTGGTCATCTTGCACTCGTGATGTTCTGAAAAACCCTACCCTATACTGTTTGACTACCTAGGTGGTCTCGGCAATTCAGACTCTTCTGTGTACTCAAGATGGTTTTTTCAGGCGCTTTGACTGTGATTATATTGGCAAGGAGCTTGGCTCTACAAAGAGGCAAGATTGAATGCTTCATCTCGGAATGACTACCTTTGCGAACCGCAACGCCTTGGGCGCAGTTTTGGTTCACTCCCCTCGAAACGTAGAGGTCGAGCCTTGAAATTCAGCCCTCACAGTAAGAACATCTACCCTTGGGCTTTTCAGCAACTTCGCACATGTATCGCGAATGATGGAGAACAAATCCCCAGGGCAGTGGCAAGCACGTATAAACCCACGTCTGAGGCCGTCGATATGCTAGACAAGGCCAAGTATAAGGTAAACTTTTGAATTGAAACTATCTACAAGACATGTGAAATGTGAAAAAGAAATTCTAAAAACCCCATTCCTCGACTGAAAAGTGTATCCCAAATCCCAGTCAACTCTCCGCTTGGCAAATTAACTGTCAACCAAGTATCTAAAACACGGGTCCGTCGGCGTCTGGTCCCGTCTGGTCAAGATGAACTATTTCCAGCCGTCGACACCCGCATCCCAACCACCCTTTTAACCATTGAGCTTCTCCTCGCCGGCGAGCACAGTCCCATTCGTGACGGCAGCCTGGTGGCCGCGCGCAATGTAGGCCCAGACGGGGAAGTACTTGTCAAAGTAGGGAATCATCTCCTTGGCACCAGGGGTGTGGCGCCAGTCGCGCATGAGGTCGCACGCAATGGAGAAGAGGCTGACGACGTGGACGCCGGCCTGGGTCATGCGGTCGTTGGAGATGTCGCGGACGAGGGCGGACGTGGTGCCCGAGGCCTCGGCGTTGGCCCAGACGGAGTAGCCGGCCTCGCGGAGCGACAGGGCCAGGAAGGACGTGCACACGTCGGTGGTGACGCCCGCCAGGATGATTTGCTTCTTGTTGGCCTTTTGCACGGCGTTGCGGAACTCCTCGTTGTCCCAGGCGTTGACTTCGCCGCCGCGCAGGATGAGCGGTGCGTTGGGGTGCATTTCTAGGATCTCGCGGGGCAGAGGGCCGTTGGGGCCTGCTGAGGGGGGGGAGATGCAGTCTTGACATACCCGCTTGGGTGGACGTGGTCAGGACGACGGGAATGTCAAAGACCTTGCCTAGGGCCGAGTGGGCGAGGACCTGGTCGCGGAACAGGTTCGGGTCAAAGTCCCGGGCGGTGTTGTACAAGCCGACTTGGTGGTCGACGACGAGGAGCATCTGCTGGCGGTTAGAAGTGCATCCGGGGGAGAGAGGCGAGTCTACCCACCGAGTTGTTCTTCTCGAGGCGCTCAAAGCGAAACTCTGCGATATGGTGTTAGATTGTATGGATTTCGGGATTGGTCTTTTTGGCTCGACTTACTGTCGTCGGTTGCAGCAGCGACGGCCGCAAGTCCGGCCAGGGCAAGCGAGAGCATCTTCATGATGAAAGAGTGTTGTGAAGAGGTGATGGGATGTGAAAGTGAAAGAGTGTAGATGACTAGGTTGTTTTGCAAGCTGCTTGGAGAGTCGAACTTGATTTGAATTCCATTCCAAGTCCCGTCTACGCCTGATTTATATACATGTCGAAGCCGTAAACAAGACGCATGTTGATGTTTATCGAGCTGTAAGACGGCGCTCGTCCCATCTCCACAAGCGCCTCATGTAATACTTAGCACACGCTTATCCGCTGCTTATTGACGGTTAAACCCTACATGTACCCTTGGTCGGGGTTCCACCGCGACCACATATGTGCCAGACATATGCGGAGTCAGTGACATGCATATCCAAGGCCCATGCGATGCAGAAATTTACAAGAGCCGCGGCGCCAGAGGAGGCCTGCTGGTGGATATATCGCCCCCCGTTAGCGGCAGAGCTGGCTCGATAAGAACTACAGTCAGCAATTGATCATGATGAACGGCTTCTGGATCCCTGCACGGCGCTGTTTGCTTTCCCCGAGACCACGGATACGGGAAGTGGGCTTCAATGGGACCAACCTTGTCACCTTGCGTCCCGCGTTGATCCCGGCAAACTCTACAGAGTACATATGTGGGCTGGCATTAATAAACATTTGAACATTCAAGGCCCGACGGACCCTCGGCCAATTGAACCCAGAGTCTGCAGACGTGGCGGAAGCAGGCAGTGCTCGCGGTATCCAGAGGCAACATGCTTTGCCCGCGCCGGCCGCGTTGCAAACGACCGTGACATCGGCCATTGCGAGGGCGCCAAGAGCGTCCTTGGCAATACTGAAGCGAGCAGCCATCGATACGATTCATTGCGTGGGGTGGTTAGTGCTGGCTGGAGTATCATCGGTGCCTCCCGGACTTCGCGAAGCATTCCAGACAACCCACGTGGGTGGCGCCGGCGTGGACCAGATCGCTGGCCTATCGGAGCCGCATGGCTGCCCGCTTGGCCTCTTGCGGCCCTTTGGTCCGTGATGCGAGGGTGCCTTGGTGGAGAGGAGGAAAAGCAAGCGACTGCGATGTGATGAACCCATCATGCTATAACCTGGAGTAGTCATACGGGCGAGCGGGCAGCATGGGCCCGCATGTCATCATGACCAATGTACAAGTAGGCGTTGACAGAGCAGGATGCAAGAATCCGCGGTGTCTTCGGAAATGGTGATGACCCTGATGGGCGGCTGGCGTTGCTCATGTCCCATGGAGGTGGCCAGCGTCGACTCCAACTATTCACTATTCACGCTGGACTGTACCCTCGCAGCGTTGTACACTTGATTGTGTGTACTAGTAGTCAAGTTTGAGTCAATCTTTAGAATCGTCTCCCTGGCCCACGCCTCGCACAGACAACCGGTCCGAGACCGAGAGACGCTGACAGTCGGGCATGACGTGAAATAGGGCCGGGCAGCAAACGTGGAATCTTTCGGCCAACAAACTTTACGCACTAGTGAATCCCAAAAGGCCATGGCGATTGGGCAGACCACCGAGCAGAAGCGCCATGCTTTGCGCACTACCCATAACGTCAAGATGACTACATGAACTTGATCTATTTGGACTCGCATGACTCGCCCCAACGCGCCGTCTAGCACGCCTCTATAGCCCTCAAGAAGGCTCTGCTCTCGTTGCCCTGCCTCACCTTGGCCAGAGGCACCAGGTGATGCGCGGCATCAGGATCGCCGCTCTGAAGATGGCGAATGTACGCCTGCGCAACAGACAGCCACGCCGCCTTCTCTCCCCGGCTCGCACCGGCGCCCTCCCATACCCAGACGCCCCTGCCGCCATCATCCAGCAGGAACACGTCGTTGCCGTCGAGGTCCCCCAGTGAGATGCGGCCTCCGTCCCCGGCCAGCTCAAAGGTCAGCCGGCCGCTGGCGTCGCTGAGACGGAACAGCCTCGCCGAACGGTCGGCAGCCTCGCCGGCCGCCGCGCCCATCGGGCGGCGTTGGCTGAAGCCGTCCCGGGGCGTGTCGTCGCCGCCACCGCCGCCGAGGAGCTCCGTGACGCGGCGGGATCGCGCCTCGGCCTGCGCAACGACCTCGACGTCAATGTGCTTGGCGAGGGTCATGTCGTGGACGACCTGGGCGGCCTTGGCCTTTTCCGCGGGGCTGCAGCGCCGGCCCTGCCAGACCCAGATCTTGTCGCCGACGTCGAGGACGAAGACGTCGCCGTCGTCCAGGCTGCCGACGGCGGGATCGACCTCGTGCACGACGAGGCCGCCGGAGGGGCTCTTGAAGACGCGCAGCAGGGTGCGGACGGGCGCGCGGGCGGCCTGCGGCTCGACGTGGCGGAAGCCGGTGCGCGCGCCGCCCGACCGGATGGTGAGGCGCGGGAACAGCGAGAGGAACTCGGCCGACGGCGCGGTCTGCACCTCGCGGTGCTGCGTGGCCGCGCCGGAGAGGAACTCGTCCAGCTCGACCGTCTTGTAGGCGGCGGTGCCGGCCTCGTCCTGCGTCGTGTGGCTGCCCAGCCAGAAGAAGATGTCGTGGCCGAGCTTGGCCGACGACGATGACGCCTTGCCGAGCGGGTACGAGTGCAGGACGATGAAGCTGTCGCCGTCGTAGAACTGGCCGTACTGGTCTTCGGGCCAGGGCACGACCTGGAACTGCTCGATGCGCCAGACGCGCAGGCCGGGCTTGGTGCCGACCGCGCCGTCGTTCCAGGCCGGCTCCGTCGCGGCCGACTTGTGTTTGACGCGGTGGTCAATGTCGCTCCCGATGAGCTCGACGTTGCTGTCCTTGATGTCGTACTCTTTGGCGTGGACTAGGCCGTGGTTGGGAGGCATTTTCTGGTTGATGCTTGGCGGGCCTCGGCTCGCGAATTGGTGATTGGTTCAATGTTGCTCAAGTTCAATCAATGGTGTTGATGCAAGGAGCAGAGTCCTCGCCGGGGGTCACGGCCACGAGTCCAGGACGCTGGTGCCTCGTTTCAGGGGCACGGTGGCTGAGAGTTACGTCAGAGGAGGGGGCAGGACGGGGTCCGGGGGGTTCAAATGTTCGGCCGAGTCAATGATGGATCAATTGATGCTATTGGCGCTGCCGATCCGTCGCAACTATCGACATGGAGACAGGATGACACGGGTCAGGAATCACGACAATGGCCAGCCTGAAGCCGCCTCGACAGCCCATGCATCACCATGACACCAGACAGCTTCCCAAAATTTGCGTCCGCCTTGATCATCTCATCATGACGGCCAAATCTCATGACAAGACAATTGCTGAAACAGCCGCCAGGATCAACTTGTGGCCCGGCTGGCGGTGTACTTGCCACTTGGCAATGTGTGGTCCGATACAAGGCTTGCACAGCACATTCATGCCATGTTCGTCTCGCTGGCACCGCTTCTATGGACGGGTACCTTACTTGGGCATGTTTGGCATCTTTAAAATCTGACCACCAGGTACCATGCATCAACTCCTTGATCGGATTCGTTGCCGAATCCACTCTCGGGAACAGCCATTTGCGTGTATAAGACGGAACTCAGACATGGACGCCGTCACAAACTCTCATATTCCTACGCAAAGCAGCCTTTTGGCCCTTGTCAGACGTTGGCAATTTACCTCTCCAGAATCGTCTCGTCGTACGTTCCTAAACAGCTCGGCATGCCCGCACAATCCATCTCATCTCTCACTGTGGAAATCGACACGCCCGGTCCTGCTACAGCCACCCATCGTTGTGCATCACAAATTGGACCAGAGGTGCAAGACAAGTCAAGCAGGTTTGTGCATATATCGTGTACATGCAAAAAAATATGGCAAATGCTAAAACATGGACACCCCCGTGCAGCCAATCTACAGGCCTCGGCCACAAGATCATGGTGCAAGCGTCTCACGCGCGGGACGTGATGCTCGATCGATACATCTACGAGACCAGGAAGACCGAGTTGCACATCAATGAGGTTCTCATGGTGAAAAACACAAACATTTGAGACTGGGCCAGAAAGGCGGGAGGCAGAATGACGGGCACGTCATGAATATAGTGTCACTGGTGTTTGTAGTTGGCTCAAGTTCTAGGGGCGTATAAGCGGGCAGCGAGATAGTCGCAAAACAAAGACAGTGTATGTCAAGAAATTGCGAGAGAAGCCTAGACGTTGAATACAGTAGATGCTTGCGGGTTGAAGAATCGTGCCACATCTTCGTTGATGGTCATACTGTGCGCTCTTTGTATCCCACGATGAAATAGCACGTCGTAGCCTTCTCAAGCGTCAAGACGAAGCTGTTCTGGGCCTCGTATACAAGCCTGCATACTTGACGAATTTTGCCTCGTTTTACTCGTTGTAAAAGTGGGAAAATGACAAACGACCCGTCAAGTACAGCCGGTTGTCTGGTTGAATGCAGAACAATCCAGATTAGACGCGTCCGGTCCGTGCTCATGTGTCAAAGGGATCTAAGGGGGTAGATATAGTTGCACGTAGAGCGTGTTCCTTTTTCTGACATTATGTCCGGTGTACCAGTTGACATTTGGTAGCCGAGCCAAGGTATCAATCAGCCAACTATTCATCGGCCCTTGCCGCTACACAACTTTTATTATTCAAAACAGACTGTCGCCTCTGCTCCGTCTATTAACTTAGTTTTTTATATTCCCCTCTCATGTCAAATAATAATACAGGCACAATGCAAGTATCGTGCAGCCCCAACATCTGCATCTGGAAATATAGTATCAGGCTGTACGAAGCCGAGAAGAGCAAGAGACGAAAAAAATAAACCATATATTTGCATTATTTTTTTCTTTTTTTCAAATGTCTTTTACGTAGATTAACCATGAGATGTCTCTTGAACACCCCGAGAACCCGGGAAACTTGAGGCTTGTTGATATCCTGCTACACTTGACAATCTATTCCCCCATGGCTCTCGTCATGCTCTCCGTAGCGGCTGAGTCGACCGGCGACCAGCTGCTTACTTTGGAGTTGACGTTTCTATACGCCCAATGCCCCCCTGACCGCACCCAGCAACTCTCCATTGAAATCTCCCGCAATCTCCCACGCCATGGTCCCAGCCAAGCCCTTGGACAGTGCAAACTTGACCTTGGCATCCAGACTCTCGGGATCGTCATACGTAATGTACGTCTTGGTCTCGGGATTGAATAGCCAAGGAGTCATTGTGATGCTATCAAAGGTCCTCACCCAGGGGGGGCTCGGCGTCGTGGGCGCCGTCAGCACGCCTTGTCCCCGGAGACTGGCGTACCTCCACGCCCCAGACCAGGCCTCCTCCGTCCCGTTGACGCTGACTGCCGAGTTGGGAGGGCACGTCTCGCGCTCGAGCTCATCCAGATCATCGCCCTTGGGGACTTGCTTGGAAAAGTTGGCGTACTGGCTGACGGGGTCCTGCGCCAGCATGTCCACGTCCGTGGTCACGGAGCGGCCGTAAAAGGCGAGGCCGCTGGTGAGCTTATCGGCCGGCCAGCCCGCCGTGGTCCATGCCTCAATCGCCGTGGCGAATGAACCCTGTGTTGCCTTGCCCGGTTCAAAGTTGAGAGGGGCATTGGGGCCGGTTTCATTTCCCCATGCGCCATTCATGTCGTACTGCATCAAGTTGGCAAAGTCGACCTCTTCGGCGAACTTGGACACGTCCTCTCCGCCGGGTCCGGCAAAGGGCCGGGTGAGCACGGCGAGCGTAATCAGCTTGTCTTCCCCGAGGGCCTTGACCTTGGATCGCATCATCTGAAGAAAGGCCAGAAAGTTCCTTGTGTCGTTTTGTTCATCGAAGAAGTTGCAGGGACTTCCTGCTTGGCCGGGGTACTCCCAGTCAAAGTCGATGCCGTCTAGGTTATGCTTCTTCATCAGCTCAATGACGTTGTTGGCAAAGGTCTCTCTCATCCCTTCCGTGGTGATGTTGGAAAAGAAGGCCGAGCCGGTCCACCCGCCGACGGAAACAAGGACCTTGGTGCCCTTCTCCTGAAGTCTGGGAACAATCTCGGGCATCACCTCATCGCCCTCGAATGCCAGATTTGCCTTTTCATCGGGCAGCGCAAAGGCGACGTTGATGTGGGTGTAGTTGGCCAAGTCCAGATCTTTAAGAACGGTGTGCCTCGAGGTCGGATAGTACCCTACGATGATGGGAGGCGCAGCGAGCGCAGGAGCGAGGTGGCTCAGCACCGCTGCCAGAAGAATGGGTTTGAATTGCATAGTGCCGGGATGTGGTGACGATGAAGGGTGGTGGTTTGGTTCGAATCTCGACCGCCATCAGGAGGAGGCCGTATGCCTGGACTGTATAAACATTTCCATCTCGCCTCAACATGGCTCAACTAGCTCTCGGCAATTGCATTCCGGCAGTTGCATTGGCCATTGTGCCTGTCCCCTACTGAGTCAACCTCACGCATAAACGTCTTGAACGTACGGCCAAGCACGGAGCAGAAGTGTTTAGTCCACTTATTCGTTGCCAACGGGTATGTTTCACTCTGAAACAATCAAGCTCGGCGTTGCATCAAAGTTATGCCGCCATAGTGACCAGCGCTTGACATGCAAGGAATTCTGAAACGAATGACCAAGGCCGACTTGGCAAAACTACATACGCATACAAATCTGATACAAATTGCGTCTAAAATATATACTATGTAAATTATGCAGCCGTGAAACGGATACCGCGTCTCCAATCCCCCAAAGCAGCAGGCCACATGCGACGAATTAGCATGACGTCGGATGACATGGCAAGCTGGTCCAAGTCGCTCATACAAGACGGCAGCTGCTGATTCCTGGACCCTGCAGACTTCGCGTGCTGTGTTTCTCCCCAGACGAAAATGAAACTATTGACAAATGCGGAGTAAACAGAGACTTGTGAAGCGGAGAGAATGGCACCTGGATATACCGTATTTCATTGGTATTTTCCAGCCGTACTTTCCGATTAACGGCCATGATATTCTTCCCAGAACTAACATTGAATCTAGTTCTTCCGGAGGAACATTCTATTAGCTCCATGGTACATGGAACTTTATGTAGCCTGAGAACTATCCGGCACGATGCATTTCAGCTCAAAGCTTTCCAATGACCCATATACACAATTTCATGGCATCTAGCAGCTATATTAAGTCTCCTTTTTGAATTTATACCGGCGGTAGTATTGCACGGTGGGCGTGGGGGCCGCTTGAAACGTTCATTTTGTTCGAGGTTGACACCCAGCAACTATGTATTAAGTTCGACTCGCCCTGAGCTTGCTTTCCACCATTCTTTAGGCACAAAGGTCAATGACTATTCTTTGATCTATGAGGACTGCTACCTGTTGAATCATTGTACCACGGGATTTTACGATGGACTTGAGTGTTGCATGCCCCGCGTTTGATGAATCAAAGACATGTTTCGGCAGCTGTTTTACCATCAAAGCAGGCCATTTTGGCATCAAACAGAAGCAGTGAGTCACGGATACAAAGTCAGTAAGGTTTGCTTCCATGAATACGGTGACTGAGGCTATCGCGAGATGGCCTTGACTAGCGAGCCGCGGCGCTGCATTAAATACGCTGGTACGTCTGACGAGTCACGATGCGTGTACACGGTCTATTTCTCTAGTGTCATTACTGTCCTTGGCCTGGTACAGCCTAATATTATTTTAAATCTTACGATTGCATGATACGAGTATCATGCTTGTAGTTGCATTTAACTGCAGAGCGAAACAATGCTCCCCGTTAAAACAGAAGCAGTGTTAGCATCAAACGGAAGCAAAATTATGGGAGGGTCAGAAAAACGAATAGGAAGGGCGCAATCCTCAGAGATGGCAAGGCAGCTTTAATAGTGTTATTGCCCGAGTCGTCAATTTAGCATCGAGGAATTGTTGTCCTCCGAACTTTTCTTGTCTAAAACTGACTCATGTCCTACCAAGTGGCACACCCATTCGGAGCCCTTTGGCCATCGGCAGTCTCGTCTCTAGAAACCTATCTGTTTCATTCCCCGGGAATTAGTATAAATTATACAATTGGAAACCGGAATACCCGTGACGACGTGCATAAGCTTCTACTGTCACTTTAGTCATCTCCTCCGGCACAACCCGCGCGGCTACAGCGTAACTAGAGGAATGATCGTCTTCCACCAACGTTGCCAATGTTGCAACCAACGCATCAAGAAAGACTACTTGTTATAGGTGCTATTGGCTTGATAGATGAGCCAGATTCACCAGTTGGACAGAGATGCCAGAACCTGCCAAGCTAAATGAGGCGAAATATACGGTAGTTAAGTTCTTGGCGAATATTCGTACCACTATGTTCTAAAAATAGGCAGGCCATGACCGTTGGCTGTTAATCTCAGTGGAAACATAGACCAGTGGACTGCCGAATGTCGGCGCAATGACTTGGCTGCTCAGATCTCGGCAGTTGCAGTTGTCTCACCTCACTTCAAAGACGTGCCTTGCTGAAGGCTGGGGCTGAATGGATGACGTTACTGTATTCATCAGCATGCTGATTGAAATCAGTACAAATTCCGATTAACCGCCAGTCTAGTTCCGTAATTCGCCCATAGCGGACATCTAGGAGCTTGGCCGCCATGGGCCGCATTCTCGATTGGCCTTGCGAGATCAAGGTTGCCTATTTAGGTGATGCTGACCCCGGCTACCACTTATCGCTCCCCGTGGAGAGATGATAGCTAATTTTTGATTCTGGAAAATATAAGAGACACAGCTCTGGAGGCTATATTATGCATCAGGCGATTATTCTCACTCTGTTGCCGCTACTCGCTTAACAGGTAGCTGGGCAACTTACATCGTCTTTTGGTAGGTTAAACTCGAGGACTACCATCGGACTGGTTGTCCTATGCAACTTTTGGGTTGGATATGCTAATTCCGGCGGCTGATAGGTGGAGAGAGGCACTCAAACAAGCGACGAAAAACGGAAGGTTCCCTCCATCCCGCGTCACAGACATAGTGTTACACGGAAAGGGCCCAACAGATCGTGAAGCCCAATAAAGGGGTTTCAATAATACGGGACTTATTAGTTACACGGCTTAAATACGTGCCCAGGTAAGAGCCTTAGGTATAATTATTCTTTTTATGTATATATCGTGATCTTTATTCCCCCCCTTCCTCTTAGCAACTTAGGACCTTTAACATCCTACGAGATTATGATTGAATTGAGCCCCTTTTGCTCCAAGCCCTCATAATGAGCCCTTGTCACACATGGCTACTCGCTAAGACGGGATAGAGCCCATCCTTCAAGGGGCTATAGAAGGGCATGTGCTAGTAACGAACGACAACAACACCCTCTTCATATTTGGCCATTCTGCAAACACCCCCCCCCAAATGGACGACTGTAGAAGACACGTCTGGGTCTTGGTCACTTGGGGTGTAAAAGCTCCACGGATACTCCGCATGGGTAGCTCATCCGTCCGTCAATGGGTTTTGGATAGTATTGCGTATGAATTTTAACCCAAATAGATCCGTGGGGAAAGGCTGGGTTACCCACAGCTATCCATCAATAATTTTAGGTAATTTTAGGTACCCGCGGATTACCCAAGCATCCTACATATGAGAAAATGGATATCCCACGGATAGCCCACGGGCGCCCAGGGGCACTGGGGAAGGCTGTCATTTTTGGATTGCAGGAGAATCAGACGCCCATTAGAAGTAGAGGAGCTCTGTTCGATGCAGCCGACTCTGGAGCTATTACCCTGACATCGTATACGTCTTCCCTAGGGTGCTTTGGTAGTCAAACCCGCCAAAGAAGGCTTCACTCTTTATCAAGACCTAACCTCTCAAAAGCCTGTAGTCAATTCCTCTCGGACGCCTGCATCGTGTTTGGCAGCCCCGGGATCAGGCTGGTGGATGGATTTATTGACCACCTCAATGCGACCGCTATTCTCTTCATTCATCTGCCTGGCCAGCAAAGCGGGATGGCCTTGGTGTTCCTACTCTGGGGGCAGTCTAACCCGTCGGACAAGCTCCCATACACTGTTGCCAAGAGAGAGTCTGATTACGGCTCTCCTCAGTTCTATTTCGAGTGGGAGCAAAGCACGCCGGAACAATTATATGCAGGAAATTTACACAAACTACAAATATTTTGAGCAGAACAACATCGAGCCGCGCCGGACAACGAGTTGGTAACGACCAAGGCCAAGTGCTTATTCAAGTCGGCGGCAATCATTATGCTGCGCTTCCACGCAGCGGTATTCCAAAGCATTTAGTTCTTATATGATTCCACCCTTTTATGCGGAAACTTAAGCCCCCTCTTACTTTATTCACCTTTGCAAATAATCGTCTTGCGTAATGGTCGTCGCAGCGAGTTGCTGACATTACCGAGGACGATATCGGAGGGAGTGTAATACGGAAGACCAAATAGACGTATTGTAGGCAGGCTTGATGGAGGGACTGTTTCAAAAATGTTAATAACCTAAGGACTCTGCACCATGGTATGTACAAAGAAGCAACTATCGACGTAGCTGATGGAATCAAACTGCAAGAGACGAAAAGGGTCTGCGAAGAGTCATTATTCGAAACCAATGGAAAATCAGCTCACTCAAGAACATTATGAGGACCGGAAATGAAGAGTTATTCAGACCCAAGTCTACTATCGCCTAAACCACGGAAATAGCAGAGTTGGCCATACCTCAAAGAGTTGCTACAAATGGTGGAAATGGCGGTTTTACTGGTACAGATAACCATGGAAAGGATCAGAAAGAGGAGCTTAACAATTTGACGGCTGGCATTGCGAGGATGTGCAGGCATGTGAAGTTAGTCCGTCCGTGTCATGCATGCAAAAGGCTGAGGGACTTTGCCTACCTTTTGAAAAGCTTGCAAGAATATAGTATAGCCGTCCGCGTCTCTTACAAGTCAAAGACCGCGAATTTGTGTGCAACGATGAAAGTAAGGTCAAAAAGTTTGACGCAGCACTACCGGGGCAGCTCTTTATATACGCGTGGGACTAAGCACAACACGCCTCGTCTGACCAAAGCCTCGTCGTGCCTCTGAACCTTTGGTAATATCGCTATATAATCTAGCGCATAACTTTACGTACCCTATTGAAAGAATTATCTTGGCTTATATTTCTTTCTTAACAGCTACACAGTACGAACGGCTATTTGACTATTACAAACTTTGCGAAAATTACAACATGGCAATAAGAATAGATCAAGGCGTCTTGGATCTGGAGGGTTGTAGGGTCGTGCGATGGGTTTTGTTCCTCTGCTAGTGTAAATCGTGGCTATATTAGGAAGAGCTGGAAGCATTCCATGAACATTACAAACCGCAGCGCTCTCATACTAGAGGTGGAAGAAGAGGAGAAGCGCCGGTCTTTGTGAGACAGAAAGGCAATAGCCATAATCGCATTCGGCAATCGAAATTGGAACCTACTTGGTAAGTTTGTATTTCCTTCCCATGAAGAGGGCATCGGTTTGCCCAATGTTGAAGCAAACTATCGGCCCGAGTCGTGGCAACGGATGCCTTTATCAGGGTACATGTGGCACATGTAAGTGTGCTAAAGGTGAGCGGATGAATCCTCCAGCTTGCCTCAGTCACTCGGAGTACTACACTTATATCCAGCCAGTACGAGAGTCTAACGACAACACGGGCAAGTTTCGAGGGACATGCTTTTTTTAAAGTTTTTTTATTTTATTCAATCCACCTAAATGCTCGTGCAAGCATCGCATCGATCAAGGAACCCAAAGAACCGTACCATACCGCGCCATACACCATCAACGCATCACGCTGCGTAAATGCTAGTAGATTGGTGAGTAACACCAAAAAAAAGAAACCGCTAAAAGTCAACACTGTGTAGTAGTTTTGCCTCATTCCAGAGCCTCGCCGTATATCTACATGCCACCGAGGTACTCCGTCAGCCCTCAAGCCGGCTCCGTCTTGATAAGCACCTGCTCGCAGAGCCCACGGGAGCCCGAAGCATGCCTCGTTCCGCCTCTCCTGCCCAGCCGCCGCGGGGGACTGAAATTCCGCAACAAAGACGCCAGGTATCCCCCGTCCTTCTTGGCCTCTTTGGTGTCGATTCTATGTCTGGGCTGCAGCGTGTACTGGCGGAAGGCGGTGAAGTGGTTCCAGACCTTGACGCGGCACTGCGTCCGGCGCGCGTCAATTAGGTCGACAATGTTGACGAGGGTGTTCTTGAGGCGCCTCTTACACTCGGCCTGGGAGTCGCTCACGGGCAGGCCGACCTCGTGACAGAGCGCCTGGTATCCCTCGAGTTTGGCGTCCTCGGCGAGCCCGGGCGCCTGCGCGGCCTCGTGCTTGCAAAAGTAGTGCGTTATCAGCTCCTGTCTCAGGGCGATGGTGCGCTCCCGCGTGTACTGCTGGGAGCCGGGCTTCCAGTCCTGCGAGGAGGCGAGGCGGGCGAATTCATGCTCAAACGGCGCGTCGGCGTTGGGCGTGAAGTCTTGGAACTTGGCAAAGTGTGATTGGGACGCTGGCGGGGGGAACTCTTGTTTGATTGGCATTTCAGGGGCTGGATTTGCCTGCAAGAGATCAAGATGAGGATGGTGGAAAGAGGTCGTGCTTGTCGCGCGTTCTTTGTACTCATTTAGCGACGCGAGTGACGATGGAACGCGAGAATGAGCATCTCGAGCCCTCGTTGGTCATAATTAATTTCATTTCATGGCTTAGTCATGGACAACCCATGTTCATGTTCCCTGGCTGCAGAGCGGTTCAATGTTTCTTGTACAACCTGACGTGGGCCAGACCTTTCCCCCGTGCCACACATGACTGTGCCTGTGTATACGGAGAGGCATCTATGATTAGGTTTGTATTTCAAGTCCTCGAGGCAAAAGTCAACACATTCGATACAACGTGCGGACTACCTTTTGGGATGGCCTCTTGAAGGTAACAAGTTAACAATGCAGAGCTGTGCCGGAAGGTTGTACACGAAGCACGGGCCCTAACCCTAACCCTCCCCGAACGAGTAGCTATTGACATGTCGATATGCTTAATAGTATCAAAAACATTACGACAATGTACACCGCTCTAAAAGAAGTTTAATTGGCAACATTATATTAATCATATTGATTGAATTGACGACTGAACAACCACGTAAATTTGGGCCCCCTTATGCCTACATAACATCCATTGATAGTAAGAGCCCCTGAAAACTCCTGTCAAATCTTCTTCTACGCAGAGCCTGTCTACAATTATCCGATCAAACCGATTAGATCCCGGCGCCCGTCTCCCCCCTCAGAACCCACAGCAATCAGAGCGACCTGCCCATCCCCATTTGACCGCAACTTGATCGGCCCCTGGGGCCATTGGCCAGCCGAACCCAAAGATGAGCTCGTCAAAGACTGCAGCATGGCCTCATCCATCACCGGCGGCGCCCCGTATTGAACCTCGCGCCGTCCGCCGTACTGCGTCGGCAAATCATCCGCGTCGACAACGGCGGCCAGCGCGGCCGGCACCTGGCCCGGGTACAGGATTTCGACCTTGGACGCGGTCCGCGGGTCGATCAGCTTGCGGACGAAGCTCCATATCGCGCCAAAGTACGATGGCGCATTGACGGCCTGACGGGGCGACGTTAGCGGGCCTGATTAGACAATTTGATGCTCCTTTGCGAGAGACACAAGGTGTGTGTGGCGTGTACGTACGTATATCCGGTCAATGACCTCGGGGAAACAGGTGGACAGCAGCACGCCAAAGTCTTGGATGTACATTCGCAGGTTCCACGCTTGCTTCAGCGTCATGCCAGACACGTCGGCAATGTACACGGCGCTGGAAATCGCCGTGCCGGGCTGTTTCCGGTCGCGCATCGCCGAGCACACCGGGAAAACGAACCTGGTTAGATAGTCGTGGAAGACGATGGCGTGCTCCATTGCGCTCGACACGGCGGCGGCGCCTCTAGACACACTCCTGTCCTCGTTGTACCTCTGAATGACGACGTCGTCTAGGTGGCGGCTGTCGAAAATGCAGATGGGCTTGCCGGACTTGTCTCGACGGCCAGACCAGTGAGGGTACTGCATGTAGCGTGTCGATTAGCCATGGGGGCAGCATTCAAAGTGTTAGCCGGTGTACGGAGTATCTTACCAGCTTTCGTTTCTCTTCAAAGTCGCCGAGATCGATGGTGTCGTAGGTGGCAATCACGCCGGCCGACTGTCGAATAGCCAGTGCCTCCTTGAGCTGCTCATATGCGCGGTCGACGTCAAATGACTTGCCTCGGAGGAATCGCCTAGTGTCCGGTTAGCACGGAACGACGTGTCGATGGTGCCGGTGCATGACGAACAGCAGGGTGTGTTCGTCGGTGAGGCCGTCGATAAGGTCCCCGTGTTGCAGGCCCTCTGGTCTCTGAAGAAGCTTCTCCTGGTAGCACAGTTTGCTAAAGGTATCCAAGCATGTCCGCTCGTCGTCGGTGAGTGTGCCTGATGCGGCCTGCAGCAGTGACGTCTCCATGGCAGACGACGCGGGGTGCGTTCAAGGACAGAGTACTACTACTCCGTGGGTGGCGAGCAGAAGGCAAATAAGGTCGTGAACCCGCATGACTTGTGAACTTGTTTCGAGCGGCAGACGCTTGCTTTTTGCTGACCGCCAGCCGCAGTCTTTACATTCATATCTTGACGGCTCGTCACCTAACTCGCATCAGCCTCACCCCGCCACGTCCCCCCGGTCGCCTGGCTTTGCTTTTTCCTCCAGCCGTTCAGCCAAGGTGCTGGGCATGTCTTGGAAGACGGAGAAACATCCGTAGCATCCTTGAATATGCGGCGCCGCCACCGTCTCAATAAGATATGCTTACGGAGTACACATCTCTCAGATATGATGCTGGGGCAAGATTCAGGGCTCAATATGAGTCCTGGAGCAGGAGACTCTGCTTATCCGCTTGGCTGGCTGTTTGATGTGTCCGGTACTCTGTACAATATCGGCCATGTAGTCGCATCGGACGCAGCGGCCTGAATTCTGGGACGTGAACCAACACGATAGCTGCCGCCTGGGAAGAAGTTGGTTTTGTGATTGTCTCGGTTTGCGCATGTCACAATGTGACTGCAAAATGACCTAGCTTGTTCTGGTCTTTGGTAGCCATGGACATGGATGCAACCCGCCTATCGATTGGACCTCAAGATAAACGGCTGCTATCCATCGAGAATCAGCGTCTTTAATGAAAGCTACGGGGCACTCTTGAGTGCGTGTAATGATCGGTTGGGGCGTGGTCTGAAACAAGAAGCTTCAGCTGGTCAATTTCCATTTCTTGGATGGTTTACTCCGAACTGCCGATAACACGAGCTGGGGTGTTGGGGGCTGATAATGACTCCATGTGAAGAATACCAACAAGATGAGCAAGCTTCTAGCAAACTGACGCATTCCACCTTGATCGTCGAGGGAACACACTGAGCCGCATTCACTGCCCTCTAAACATGTGACAAATCAGTAGTGTATTTTGTACAGTCGCAATTCGTATGGCGAGCTATCGAATCAGACGTCAACATGTTGACCTGTATTCCTCCACAGACATAGCAAAAACAAGGGGAGACTTGCTACCGGCAACTCGGTACGTGGTATAATCAACGTCATCTCATCCAAAGACAGGGGTGAGTATGGCCCCTTTAAACTCCCAGACAGAAACCCAATAGGAAAAGAACTCTTCGTTCACGCTCGTCCCTCTCCACGTCACCCAGATACTGTCGAGCGGCTCCGCAGGTGCATGGCATGTTTCTCCCGTTCCGGCCGCTCCGCATAATGGTCCTTGCAGTAACACTCGGGACACTGAGTCCGCAGATCACGGCGCCATCTTTCCACGGCGGCAGCCCAGCCTTTGGCAGAGACTCCCCTGGTGCGGTGATACTTGCCCGCAAGAGGCTTCCAGTGTTTGCTCGCCCGCAGGCGGTACTGCAAGCAGTCGGTGCACAGCCCAAACTTGCGCTCGCCACCTGCCCACTTGTATCGGTCGACCTGGGGCTGGAAGCGCCGGATAAGTTGGTAGATCTCGTCGCAGGAGGATGGTAGAGTATATCTATGCTTGGCCACCGAGGGCACCCGAATCTTCAACATGGCCGACACCTGGACAAGGCGTTTGCTCGCGAGGGCGAGGCAGACTGCGTCGATTGGATCCGCCTCTTGAAAGATGCGAAGCAGGACTTCTGTCGGTAGGCGCACAAGAGGGCAGGAAATCACGGGCGTCCCGGACAAGACCTGCGGTCGCGACATGTCAGTATGGCAATAGTATATCGAGGTGGTGAAGGGGGGGCCTACGAACCTCTGGGGGCTGGGTGAAGCGCGTGCGGCATGATCGTTCTGGTGACCCCGAGCACATATTTTGGCGCAAATCGTGTGCATGATCCGGAGCGTGGATGGATATCAAACCCGTCGACTCGGGACTCGTGAGGCAGTGAATTGGAAATTCCCGCTTGGGCGGCCCGGTGACTGGGTTGTACGGCCAACATGATTGATGATGGAAGCGCGTGGAGCGCGCGCCGGAACGCGCAATCGAAGCGTCATCACGTCGGCGTGAATCTAAAAACCTCGACGCGGGTGCAATCGCGCAGAGTAGAGAGTGGAGCGCTGGCGTATACGAGCAGTCAATACTTGATGCGCAGACTTAATGCGCGGAGAAAATATGGCCAGAGAACCGAGCCTAGCAAGCTTGTCAACGGACGCAAGCCGTACATGTATCGAATTGCTCACCATCGGAGCGGCTGCTCGTCGACAAGGATGAGCGTTTGCCGCACGCACATGTTTCGCGCGTTGCGCTTGAATGCCCTGAAAGCACTACTGATTTACCAGTCCGGATTTCGAGCCGTGGCCGATTTTTTTTTTTTTTCGTCTCAAACTCTCACCATGGCAAACTGAGCTTCGGATTGAGTCGACTATCCCCATGCACTGCTTCAACTTGACAGTACAAGAGCTGGCACAAGTTCACGCTTGGCCATTTATCCGCGCGGCAGACAACTGCTACCCGAGTATTTCAGTGGCATCTATAAGGCTTACGCATTATTTTCCTTGACTTTGATGCAGTTGAAACTAAGAGATTTGTAGTACTTCAGAGACCTTTCAATGTTAGCTGTTTCAAGCCACTATCACGTCTGTCGTTTTATACTTGGCGTCTCTTCAACCTCGCCCAGAATATCCAGCCTACTCAGCCTTGATTCTGCTCTACACTCGTCAAGGGCCAAAAGGGACGCTCGGCTCAACACACGCTGTTCTCATCATCTATTATCCACTCCCGGAGCCTGATACCCGATACAATCAGGAAGCTCTTGTCCCGTCGGAGCAGACAACAACCTTGACGAGGTAAAAGACCAATTGCCACACTCATCCCCTGGACACCCTACCTCTTGGCCAAAAATCGGACTCGTCTGCCGCTCCGCCCCGTGTACGAATCTACCACCGACTCCTCCAAGCCCACGAGCCGCAGCCCATCACAGCCCTTCCTGTACTCGCGGTCCCCGACAAAGGCGGCAGGCGAAACCCCCTCGACCGGGCCGCGGGCAGCCATCGCCACGGGGTCATACCCGAGCACATGGTCGTCCGAGCCGACCCTCCAACGCCGCCACGTGCCCGTCACAGACGCCGCCAACGGCACCAGGAGAACCAGCAGCACCAGCCGCTCGTACACGTACACCCTAGCGGTGGCGCGGCTCGTCGTCACGACATCGCTGGCGTTGGGCATCCTCGCAAAGGCCCCCATGGTCGCCCAGTCAAAGTTGCGCTCAATCAGGCGCGCGACGTGCCCGGCGTCATGGGAGGCATCGTCGCCCAGCAGCCCCGCGGCAAACGGCTCCCGGTACATGTCGTTGAAGCCGGTGCCCACGACGCGCAGGGTAAACGCGTACGGGGACGTGGCGTTGTTCTCGCCCCAGGTGTAGGTGCGCACGCCGGCGATGGGAGACGAGTAGTTGCCCAGGAGGTAGCGGGAGCGCTGGAACGAGCCCCGATCCAACTGCGGGGGATTCGCGCCGCTCTGGGTGATGGTGACGTTTCCATACTGGACGAGGCAGCTGACCGTGTTGACGAGGGTTTTGTCGCCGACGCCAAAGTCGGCGCCGGCCACCCAGGCGCCGAAGATGGCGGACCACGAGCCGGGCGAGGTGATGCACGCGGCGGGCTTGGACGGGGAGCCGCGGCCAGACTCGCAGGCGTAGTCGAGGCTTGTCTTGAAGTTTGCGTAGACGGACGGCGCGCCGCACGTCAGGTTGACGCACAGGGAGGGAATGATGTCGCTGCACAGGTTGGTGACGCGGGCGGAAGCGGCGGGGCCGGGGCCGGGGCCGCACGACGGCAGGCCCATGTTGTTGGTGTTGGGGGCGGTGCGCGCGTTGCAGGCGGCGAGGAGGGCAGACGACGTCGTCGACACGCTGCACGAGTCGTTGGCGCACACGGGGGCCACGGGCGGCGCAAAGTTGCCGTTGGAGGCCTGCACGGCCATGCCGAAGACGAGGTCGCCCGCGCTGCCTCCGCGGGAGCGGTAGTTTCCCCGGTTGATCCAGGGGGCCCAGTAGTCTGCCGTGTGGGGTGACGAGGTGGACGAGACGGTGACGAGGTCCGTCTGCGAAATGCCCGCCAGGAGGACGGGGCTCACGGCGTAGACGGCGAGGAGGAGCACGCCGCTTATCTTGAGGAGCTGGAAGCCGCCGCGGACGGCGTAGGTGAGCCTCGCCAGAGGGGACACGGTCCATTGCGCGAGGTGTCTGGTCTCGCGGACAGTCAGAGGGCTGCCAGTGTGGCGAGGGACGAGCTTGAGCCAGAGGGAGTGCTCGACGCAGCGGGTGATGAGGGCGGACGTGGCGGCGGCGAGAATGGCGGTTATCAAACTCACGGCTACCGAGGGCTTGATGGACGACGAGCCGTCTACGTAGACGAGGGATGGGATACGGTATAGTTTTGGCTGGACGTAGAGTATGATGAGCAGAATGTAGCAGACGAGACTGACGAGGGCCAACGAGGCTGTCAAGAGAATATTCAGGAGCCTTCCCCGGCTATGAGGCACGACTTGAGGGAGCGCCGTCATGATGCCGAGTCTGTCCCACGGGGCAGAGTCTTGTCTAAGGATGCAGCGCGCATACAGTCCATGACGGGCAAGAGCTAGCAAATCGCGAGGCAGCGTAGTTATAAGCAATCAATTACTACAGTTGTGAGGACCAGTGTTCCAGGGCCAAGAGCGGCTGGGAGCTGAAGAAGCTGAAAAGCCACCGGCATCCGTGACTCAAATTGGCGTCACCACCTTATGGAGTGTTCAGCTGCAAGACGTTTGGCGGCTTTTGACTGGTCCTTTATCCGTCATATGATTAGAACGGCAGCTACCTTGGACGATTGGTGGTGTGGCAACAGTCATATAATATCTCAGTCTGGCCTGCAAAGGCTAGTTGATGCCTAGAGTAAGAGGCGGTATCTATCCAGATGGGGTGCCTAGCGAGAACGCTCAATATTATGATATATTGTCATCTCGGAAGGCACTTGGTAGGCAAGCTCCTCAGAAGATAAGAGACTGCTCCAAGGCGCTCGAGCAATTACAGTCTGTGCCGGATATACTTGCGCACTAGGAGGAGTGCACTGGCACACCATATTATCCATTGGTAGTAGAGTAGGGTGCGATAGGCAGGTTCTGGGTCGGGTTTAATAATTCATGTCTTCCACTTTAGGCCCCGTATTAGGATTGTTCAAAGGAATTCGTCTCTTCAAAGCGGTGCTACACAAGGTTCAAGATTCGGAGACGGTTATGATTTTACCTCGCCCGATTCGTCTAATCCAAGTATCAACTAGTGCTTTATAAATTTGAAAATGATCAAGTCTGTACATGATGAGTAGAAACGCTGCCCAAGCCGGCATCTTGAGTCTTACGGCTCAGGCCTCGGGAGCGCAATGAACAAACCAGGCTCATTGGCCGTCATAAACAGTTGGAACCCGCAACCCAAGCATTGCTTGCTCTTCATCCTCGACTAGCTAGTCTACCTCAAGTCTATAGTCGGAACAAGAAGAATTATAGGCCACAGCTATAGCCTTGCCTGCTCCTGCTGCGTCACTACTCTCATCGGAGGTCCGCCTCGACTTCCATCACCCTCAAGATATTCAGTGAGATTCCGGTCTGGCAGCCTCGCCCTCCATTTATTGCGCAATGCCAGAGGCGCCTTGTCCTGCAGGCAGTCGGCAATGTGCTTTCCGAGGACCGGGGCAAATTTAAACGCGCTACAGAATGGTCAGTTGGGTTCCGACTCCCGCATGTCAAAATTGGAAACCAAGGGAAACTTACTGCCCCGAACCGCCCGTCGCCAAGAACAAGCCCTCGATGCTAGGGTGGTAGTCGACAACAAAGTCCCCCCTCGGCGTATCCGTGTACCAGCACATGCGAAGTTTCGCCCAGGCCCGGTGCGCAAATTCCGGAAAGAAGAGCTTGACACCGTCCCGGAGAGCCGTCTCAGCATCCTCCGGCAAGTAGCCCGAGACGGAATTGTCTCCCCCCAGGTTGGGAGACGACACGACGTTATTCTCGGCCGTCTGCACACGGGTCGCGAAGCCGAAACCGTGCCGGGCAAGTTTCAGCATGTGGCTGCCCGGCGTGGGCGGGAAGCAGAAGACGCCCGTGTCAAAATTGATCATGACGGGCATGCTGCCGAGCCGGGCGGCCTCTTCGGGCGTCAGTTGGATGAATCCTACCGGCTGTCCGGTGGCGAGCAGGCTGAGGTTGAAGTCGGGCACGACGAGGTTCGTCCAGGCGCCCGTGGCGAGAACCACGGTATCAGCAAGCAGCCTGTTGCCCGTGACGGTCTCTACGCCCACCACCCTCGAGCCGTTTTTGATGAGTGATGCCACTGTTCCTGCGGCTCCGGTGAGGAACGAAACGCCCGCCTGGCTGCACCGCTCGGCGAGGCCCTGCACGGCCGCGCGCGCATCGGCCCATCCGCCCAGGACGTTGTGAACGACCGTCATGCCGTTTAACTGCGCCTGGACGCCGGGGTATAAAGTCCCGACCTTGGCTTCTGCTTCGCTGGCTTCGAATACCTCGACTGGCTGGGAGCGGCACTGGCTGATGTACGGGTGGGAGCGGCAGGAAGACAGCATTAGAAACCCGGAATGGTAAAAGTGCGACGACCAGTCGGGGTTGTTTCGCCATTCTTTCATGGCGTCCACGGCTAGAGATCCGTAGAAGGAGTCGGCGTAATCGGCGCGAATGATGCGGGACACGTCGACGCTGCTGCCGTCGGGAACTGGCGGTGCGTAGCGGTCGAGGACGACGACGTTGGCGTACTTTCTGTTGGCGGCGAGTTCGTAGGCAAGACTGAGGCCAAAGATTCCGGCGCCGACGATGATGAATGGATTGTCTGGGACGGTTGGTGGGGGCATCATGAATGTAATGTCAAGTCACTTGGAATGGGACGAAAGGTTTCAATGTTAGTTGACAGGTCGAGTGGCTGTGCGAAGCATCAATATTTGCCGGGTCTTGTACGTTTGAACAGCAGGTAAGCCAGAGCATTGCCTGTCAGACTTATATGCAAAATATGAGACAAAACAGGTCCCTGTGAATGACCAGGCACAAGATCTGGTTGTTTTCCGTGCTCGAGTCCACTTCCAGCTTCCATATTGTAACAATAGTTCGGAGATGGCAAAACTCCGTGGCCATTGTCTTACAACCAGCAAAAGTTGAGCAAGAAGTGGGGACGGAGACAGCAAGCTTTCCGTCCCCGCATCGGAATTCAATGTTTCAACGACGTTCTTCTATTTGCGACTACATCGGCTTGCCCAATACATGGTCACATGGATGCAAGTATTTGATCGGAAAATGGACCGACCCCAGTTACCTCCGAGAAAAAGACCCCGAATTCGGCGCTCGTGTGAGCAATGCAGGCAAGTCATTGTACCGGACCCTGGCACGTTGCCCTTGTCACCCAACTAAGCCGACATGGCAGACACAAGAAGGTCAAGTGCCCAGCGGAGAAACCCTGCTGTTCGTATTGTCGCCGACTTAATCAAAAATGCATCTATCTTCCGCGAACTGCGCCAGATGGAACGGCGCTGGCTGCCCACGGAACTGCCAGGTGAGTGGTTCACGCAAAGTCTTCCTCTTGACTGGGACCAGGCACAACTAGTATAAAACATTGGCTCACTGGGAATACAAGTTTTACTGGAGAGCGTGAATCTCAAGGCACTAATACAACTCCGCAAGAGTACGAGACTTGGTACGTTTGCCGCACTTGGACCCTTGGGCATGCAAGCATCTCATCCGTGGCATCGATAGGCGATCCGACGATCCCGAGCCGTCGGCAGGGGCTCTTGCGCACTTTGTGAAAATCTACCGGGACAGGATATACTTCCAGCCTCTACCGTTATTCGATCCGCAGTGTCTCAAAGACCGGCTCCATCTGTTTCCGTACTATCTCCGATGGAGCTTTCTTGCCCTCGCTCTGCACTTTTCAACCCATGAATTCTACGCGGGAAACGAATCCGAGGCCACCGCCCTCTACACAACATCTGCGCGTGGTGTGGTCCAGGAACTATCCACCGAGGGCGTCGTCAAGACGGAAGTCCTGCAGTCCCTGTGTCTGCTGGCGCTGTGCGAAATACTAGGTGAGCCCTCAAGTTCCACCGACAGCACCACCAGTCTATCCGGGCTCAACTAACCCAAGAATGCCCAGACGGCGAGTACGCCCGCTCGTGGATGACAATGGGCGCCGCTTCTAGACTGGAATCGCTGCGCCTCTCACAATCCCGCCACATGCCCAGCGCACCCAACAGCGACACAATATCCCGATGCCACTGGAGCATCTTCGTCCTCGAAAACATGTTCACGCCGAGCCTCGTGCTGCCGGCGCGGAAGCCCGGCCGGCCCAAGTTTCCAAGCAGCCCGGACGCCCCGGCCCCCATGGCATCCCTCACCGTCGCAAGCAGCCACAGCCACTGCCCCGACCTCTCCAGCAACGTGCAGCAGGACGGGAGCAGCCCCGACCTGGGCATCAACGCCAACAGCCTACAGCTCATCTCCATCTGGGGCGACATCGTGGCGTACCTGCAAGACGTGCGCTACGGGCTATCCGACATGCCGTGGTTAAACACGTCTCGCCACGCCAAACTCGAGGTGAGCTTCTACGAGTTCGAAGTGCGCGTCTCGAGCCTGCACATGCTTCGGCACGCCTCGTTCCCCGATCGCCTAATGGCCGAGATCGACGACAAGCGAGAATACTGGATGCCCTGGCTGACAATGGAGATTCTGCACCACGCCTCCAAGGCGGCGTTGAACAACCCCTTTGTTCAGCTGTTTGCTCTCCGCGGAAGCAACGCCAAGGCCCAGCCGGGATCCTATCTCCAAAAGACCATCGACCAAGCTCTCTTCAACTACGAATGGGTAGCTCGCATCGTACAAATGATTCAGGGGGCGTCTTTTGAGCTGTGCGATCCTTTGATAGGGTCGGCCGTCGCGGCAACGGCTACTATTCCCTGGATATTCCAGTTCGCGCGCGACGAGACGGTTGCTGTCAAGGCTGGGCAAAATCTAGAATTGTTCGAGACGTTTCTGGACGGCTTGTCGCTGAGGTGGCCGCACCTCGGGATCAAGGTATGCGTTGGACCCCTGTTGGCCGACGGAATTGGACTGACGTCGATTTATTCTAGCTCCAGACGCTTCGGGAGCTGAGGAGCCGGAGTCGAAGCGAGGATGAGGGCGGCGCGACAAGTACCACGATACGCTTTCAGCCGGACCTTGTTTGGCGTCTGCTCTGCGCTGGCTTTCCGCCGGAAATGGGGGCGCCGGATGAGTCGTCGACGACTGGACACGGTCATTCAAATGCTACGCTGCATGTTACTACGCAGTATGTGCATCCGCTGATGGATCCTCCGCCGCGCCGGCCGATGGATGACTCCAACATGGAAATCTTTTTTGACGCGTCTTTTGACGGGTTTGATGCGCAGTTCCCAGAGGGCTTTTTTTCGCAAACTCTGTTGGGGGGGGTGTTTTGATACATGCTACCAAGATGTACTTGAGCACTATTCTATGGTATAAGAAGACAAGTCTGCCACGGGGCTGGGATGACAAAGGTACAAGAAGTGTCAAGTATAGAGTTTTTTGGCCTTGGGTGAGATTCTTTGGTCCTGAAATGATGACGTTGCCGCACATCTCGTGTTACGACTGGATGTCGCTGACGCCTGTTTGAAGAATAGTCGGAAGCGGGCTTAAGGAAAGGAACATTGAAGCCCTACATATGTAGTTATAGCTGACCGTGCCGTGGTCCCCATTTTCCTGTTCGTGGGATGCCAGCTCTTTCCCTGGCCAATTACCCTCGATTTTTTCATGATAATCCTTTTTAGTTCAAAAGTCCCTCTAGATCACTGCTATATTACTTCAGGGTGTGCGGACTTGGCTCCAATTAGATGCTCAAGCACGCCGATTTTATTGAATAACTACGTGATATCTATTCGGTCTCTGCATTTACACTTGTCATTGAGCCCCAAAAAACCCCACATGTCACCCAATCGAAATGTAAAACTTCGTCAAAGCTTAATTTTATGCTTATATGCAATGGAGAAGTCGTTCGACAGACTAGTATGCCAATCAGACTCATTGTCCGGGTTGCCAAACAGAGCCAGAGCGTGGAGGGCAAACTGATACCGGCCAGGAGGTGCGTACTGGCCGGGTGCAAAAGATCCATTCCAGTGGGTAATGTTGATTGTATCACTCTGGCGAGAGAACAAGCTGAATGGGGATCCCGAGAGTTGACCAATGCACTTGGTGCCAGCAAACTTGGTGACCATTTCATCGAGCACACAAGCCTGACTCAGGTCGGGGCCTGCTTGAGACGTATTCTGGGGTTTGAAATCGGGAGACGACGAGCAAAGCGTGAGCGGGACCATGTCCAGGCGCAGTTTGGGAGAAGCGAGGGGGAGGTGAATTGCGACGAATACTTTGTCGAGGCTCACCCCAGCATCCTTTCGCTCAACCGAGTTGGATGGCCCTGGTTTCTGCCCGCTTTGCGGATCGTTGAAGACGAATGCATCGGTACTGGGGTATGTCGATTCTCCATCAGCTCCGGCAATTTTGAGCACCGGCTTGCCAGGATAAATGCGCCCAGCAGAGCGAAGAGCGCCGGCGAGACAGAGATAGGGGATGCTCAGGCTGGTACTGTCGGTGCCATTGACAATTACCTAGCTGGACTAGATGGGCAGGCGCTCAAGTTCAAGGCCAGATGGGTCGGTAGCCGTAACTTCAATGGTTTCCGAGGCTCCAGGGCCGAGAACAAACGAGTCTTTACCAAGCTTGATATCAGCTTTGCCATTAACAGACTCTGCCTTGATAGGATCAGGCTCGAAGAAACTCGGTTAGGCGGTATACAGCGTCGTAGCATGCTGGCTAGAGAACTGGTAAGTGACTTGAGACTTGGCCATGTTAGTAATGCAAAGGCTAATAGTCGCAACCCGGTGGTCCGTATCGTTAAACGATAGGGTAGGAGGGTCTACAATCGTGGTAGTATGAGCGGCATCCCACTCGTTAAAGTAACACCAGTATCGATTATAGCAACCTTGATTCCAGTTCCCGTGAATCCTTCTTTACGCATCTTGTCTACCTGCGTCATGGCAAGGTGCCAAGCGTCATTCCCAGTATCCCTAGACTGGTGCGGTTCAGAATTCCTTCCAGTTGGTCGCAGCTGCCCTCCAGCATCACGCTCGAGTTCTGATTTTATCTCAGCATTGGGAGATATATCATAATCCTCCGCCGGGGCCTTTCTATCCATGCCACTGGGGACACTGCCGACCGAAAGGCCGTAGAAGAAGCGGGAGTTGAACTTGTCCAACACCTCACCGCCCGCTTGTTTGATATTGTTGGCGAGTTTTTCAACCTCGTGGCTGTTTTTGCATTCGATTATGAAGGAGCCTGTAGCTGTCTTGCCATCATTATTGCTAGAGATGGGAGCCATTGCTTCCGGGATCGAGGAGATATCCGAGGCGGCAAGCCACACGAGCGCGGGTATCCAGGGACGAACCATGGCTGCCAATTATTATTCCATTAGTTGATTGACGATTTTACGCTGGGAGAAACGGTTGATCCAAGTTGGATGAAGAAATTGCGTAGGAGGACCTTGTAGGAAAATAGGCAAGTCCAGAGAATCTTGGTAATCTATTATCTTGACGAAAGGTCAGTTGCATCATTTGAGTTGAGAGACAACGCTTCGACTACTCGACCTTTTACGCACGTCTACATGGGCCACAGTAATATTGTATTCAACAATGCTCGGCTCCTATCTGGTACCCGGTTACCGTTGTCCCACTTGCCGAGCTACTCATGACGTTAAAGTCAAAATGACTCGAACTCGTAAGATAAATGCTCGTGGCTGGGCAATCTCGCTTGCTACCCTGTCTAAGCTACGACTTGCTATCATTTATAATCTAACCCTGTAAGTTTAGCTACTAGTTGCTATTAATAGAGTTTGCAAGGCTTGGGGGCTTTAATAAGATATCGTCTAAAAATTAGTAATATGCTATTTGGAGTAAAAGATAATAAAAATAGTATATTTTATGTAAAAAAAATCAATATCTTACACCCTAGTTAATAGCTTATATATTATTATAAGGCATGTTATAATCGAGCTTTACTCGGCTAATAGAAGCGAGATTAAAAGCCCTTTATAAATAGCCCACACAAATAGCTATAATAATTCAGAATTCATTATTATTAATCTCTTTTTATTTGTAAGGTTTTTTTTTACCCGCACGTACCACTTAATAGCTATTAAGGTATAACCTTATACGTGCCTCGCAGCTAGCCTTACCTATTAATATCACAAATAGTTCAACTTTCAGGGGTTATATTATACACTTAACAAATAATTTCACCCTTTAGATCATGCTATAGAAATATCCTGATTATCGCATGATAGAGCATAAATATAGCTCGGCTACATAGCTCCGCCTAATTATTACTCGTTTAGCTTTGGTTTTCCCCTCTTATTATTATCACGCTCTTAGTTAGCTTGCCAGACATGTATTCCAGATCGCAAGTCTCGTCAAATATTGAATTTTAACCTTGAATTTAATTTTTAAATACTTTTGTGTATTTATCATGTTCTCAAGTTATTTGCTACCCGAAGTTGAAATAAGTCTGACAAGGCCACAAGTATAAACAGAATTGGGAATTTCTAGTTGCTAATAGCGCAAATTATTCCAGCAACGATTACAACTGCACTACAAATTCCAACGCGGCTCACAGGTCCCTGTTGAATCCTAAGAAAATATAAACAATCGTTTTAGTTTACAGTGAGCCAGGATTCCCCATTTTCTAATAGTGTAACCATTCATCAATGTGACTTGTGTGACAAGCGCTAAAGGCTTAGAGCAATAACTCAATTCATCTAATAACAATCTTTGGTAGTAAAGGTCCTTGGTTTTCCATAAAGCCTAGTTGACCAAAGAGCTCTTTGAATACACGAACTCGGTGAGGCTCTTTGCCTTAGGCCCTGCAATCGTAGCCCTCGTGTAACCGTGTGATAACTTGCACGCACGGATGGAGAAACTGTAAGCATGGTGGTGGGATGCCTAGTTGTCATGTTGGCTACGGGCAGAGCGGACGAACAAGTTGTGTGCCGTCATAGCCGATACATGACCCGTCATGCCTCTGAAGCTGAAATCAGATTGGCCACAAATACTGCACTGATAGCGACCAAGGTGCTTCAGAGTGGTGAGTCACATCATGAATCTTACATGTCTTTGTCCTTCGTTCTAATTCCGGAGCACAATTTGCTGGGCTTTCCCAGGCAGCCGTTTCGAACTGCAAAAGACGCACCAACTAACCGTTGCCGGATTTGGTTTGCAAGTCAGCCTTGTCCGGAAAAAGGTATACAGCCTGGTTTCTCAGGAATTGAACAATGCAGGTATGCATGTCCCTGCATGGGTCAAGACGGTGCAAGTGCAGTCAGTAAACCAACAGCATGAAAATTAAACCAACGACATTGCCAAGCCGTTGGGTCTGTTCAGTAGTTTTTTGAAATTCACTCTCACCCATCCATCCGTGGTGTTCTACTGCAACGGTAATTGGCTACGGAACTAGCTCTTGTCATACATTTCCTCGGAGACAAGGCGAGGGACACAATAACAGCATGGAACTGAAAGAACGTACATGCACATATGTAGAATAACACGGGCCAAGAAGCTGGTCGTATGATCATCGAAGGGGTCGTCTGTCACGTTTTTCCGCGGGAATGCGTCAACTACCTAACAGTCCGGATGTCTACCAACGACCATAGCGTTGTCAGCATTTACACCCAAGTGCGTCATGTCCTTTGTATATGTCGTCCATTGGGTGACGGGCACACCACCAGACTTCACTGCATAATTTTTCTCGGGGAAGTGCATCATGGGCGGTGGCATGTCGGCCGTTCTTGCCTTGGTCAAGGGGCTGTTCGAGCACGGCCTCATCCAGGTGCCAACAACAAAATCAGGCAGGTTTCATAGGACGCAGCTGATCAATTTGTCCCGGCATGGTATCAGGTGAGCTCAATACGTATAATTACTGTTCATCACCCGAGATACACAGCGAATTTCTCCAAATTGGCTTTTGGTGCTGTTATTTAAGACGCAAATCCATTTCATGCTTCTGAACCGGCTTCGTTAATACTAGTCACAGAAACCCAATATCACCAGATTCTTGGAACGAAAACATGAATATGTATGTTCTTCTACTTCACGAAACTTACTAGTCATTAATCAACAACAGAGCAGCATATAATCCCGAAGACTACAGCTCGCTTCCTTCCCTCAGCGCAGCGTTCCAGCAGCTCCAACATAAAGGGGGAGAAAGCATTATTACGGGGCCTATTCGCGATATCTTTCTTAGCCATGGTGCTCAGGATGCGTATGGCATTGCCCTGTTGCACAAGCATTTTGACATCCGGCCAACAGATCGTCTTGTGGATATCCAGAATGTATCATCCCCTTGGGAGACAGGTGGCGATATCGAACCTGTCTTAAAGAAATATCATGGTGTTATAATGCCCCGGTCACTGAGATTCTCCAATGGGATGTTGAAGCCTTATGAATTCGACTTCGTGGAGGAGGAAAGATCAATGAATATGGACGAAAACTTCCTGGAAAAGCTACTACAGTTCCTCCAACATAGTGAACTAGATCAAGTCTTGGGTCTAAGGGTACTGGATTCGCGCGACCCAGGCGCATCCATTGAAGTTACAGAACGCAACTCAAACATAATGATACCTCTAGGGGCTATCGACGAGGCAAATGTTATCCCTGCAATGTGGGATTTTGGCCCGGAGGAGGATCAGAGATGCCATTGCAGCGAATATTGCTATACGGATAACAAAGGCAAGCACTCTGGCCAAGGTAACCATGGATGTGGCTAAGATTACAGTCTAAAAGGACAGGGACTTTCCGGCGATCCCCTTCTGGCCTTGTCTTGTAGCTTATTATTTCTTACAGCCTCTCCTTGTCTTTCTTGATTAGCTATACGCAGAAGAGACCCTCGATGCTGGTTTTCCCACCGGGTTTTCCCAGCTTCTTTATGCAAATGCAGAGGGATTTATTAAACGAGATATCAACCTGTTAGATCCGCAAGTGAAAACTGATTCGCTCCGCTAGTCCCTGCCCCACTATTCTTGACCCTGTGAACCTTTTTTTTTCCGTCTCATTTTCTTTCTTAGCAACTTGACACTACAGTGGCTTTGTCGATCCATCTTACTATGACTGGAACCATTTCTGAAATAAGCGTGGCTGATGCGGAGCGCATTATACGAGAAGTCGATTATCCCGCCACGCAAGATGGTCCCTTGTTCCGCCTAACATTCCCTTCACATGCAACCACAACAGAAGCTCAGCAAAATGAAATAATTCAATGGTACACTGAGGGCCTAAAAAATGCCTTGAAATGTAAGACATATAAACTTATCCAGATATGTGCATTGGATGGAACACCGCTGGGTTTCTGTGGGTGGACTATGGAACAACGACGACAACAGCAGCAACAGCAACAGCGAATGCCGACGAATACAAGTCCAGCACAGCTTGGCAGAAAACCACCCTCCCTTCTCGAAGTTTTAGATTTCCCAGCATGGGTCAGCGTCTCAAATGCTTTAAGAAGTGAGCGAGAAAGAATTCTAAGCAGGTTGGATCATGTTTGTCGTAAGTGAACGTATATCTATCGTCTTCGTTCACGTGCCAATGCATTATTAACCCGTTTACATTCTCGTTAGGTTTAACGTTTATGGCAGTACATCCGCATCATCAACGTCATGGCCTTGGCTCCGCACTAATGAAGAGGGTCTGTGATGATATAGATGAACTGGGATGGCCTGCTTTCGTCATGGCTTCGCCGGCTGGTGTTAGGTTATATGCAAAATTTGGATTCGATGTTGTCGGCAAGGTAGAAACGTGCCAAGGTACACTGACAAGCATGTTTCGACAGCCTCGGGTCCTCCAACACGCTCTATCCTAAACCATCCTGGAGCTTGCCACCTAACCGTCTCGCAGAGACTCTTTTTTTGTTCGAGATGGAAGGGTGTCTCATACAACCTCAAGCGACAGGCCGCGTTGAGGCCATCAACTGCAATGTATATAAATCTCTCGATGAGTACCTCGAGCATTTCTCTGTGTATTTACAAGAGGCGACCTAATCCCTTAGATAGATACATACAACTGAAAACTAGTCCACTGATTCATGGGGCCTATAACTGCTAAACTCTGACATTTTAGCAGACACAGAGTGGGCACGTAGCATCATAAGCCGAGCAGGAGCGCTACTAACAGATGTGCGCTTCAAAGTATTAGGAACTGAACCACCGGCGACAGTGCTGAGGGCCGTATCAGTACATGTACCTATGGGAACGGTACCGACACCTCAACTCCAATCAATCCGGACTACTAGTACGTATATTATGGCTCTATAACATAACCCTAACCCTTACCGCATCTCTGCCCCAGTTCATCTTGTCGTCTCCAGAAGAAAACACTGGGGAAACCCACAATAACGGCCCGGTGCCGGGACAAGGGCCGGGCTCGGGTTCATGTCAACGGCCGAGGCGGCGGCGTCTGCGGCCCATGTGCCCGGACTCCAACTTCCTAATGAGCCGTTGTGCAACTTGCAACTTCTTCCTTTCCGCATCCCGTGTCTAGGGCCACTGAAATAGCGTCGGAATATGCACCCCTTGGCCCCTACAGATATTGCCAATGATGATGCGCACATATAAATCTAACAATTCGTCTGACCTCCCAAGGCTGGCCATCGCCTGCGTCCGTTGCCAGCAACGCAAGGTGAAATGCGACAAATCTCACCCATGCTCGCGTGTTTCACGGTCACTACTCCCCCCATGCCCTAGCGTACCTAGCAAAGGCGCGGTGCGCAAACAGAGGCCGCCCACTGCTATACTTCAGGAACGGCTTGCCAGATGCGAGGATATTACACGGAAATGGCCCTGTGACACAAGGGCTATGGTCACGAGATTAGGGCAAACTCCCTCACCGACTTCTTGTATTTATAGAGGTCTTTGGTCCCTCAAGGCCTCGAGGAAAACCAAGGACCTTTGATACCAAAGACTGTTATTAAATGAATTGAGCTATTGACTCCAAGCCCTCCATGGAGCCCTTGTCACATCGCCCGAACGGCACATCCTCCTGCTCTCCATGTGCACGGCTGCCATTGTTTCTCTTTCCAAAGATGAGTGCGTCAAGCAACTCGGGCTGTCTTGGCCGATGGCTTTCCAACAATTATCCATCCGCACAAAGCTGGCTATGAAAAAGTTGAACATTATCAAATACCACAACATGGACGTTTAGCAGTGTCATCGTGCGGGTCGTGCAAAAGATGGGATTCCATCACGACGGGGAGCGACTCGGCCTTGGCCCGTTCGAGGTCGAGATACGACGGCGAGTTTGGTGGCAAGTGTTGCCAACGAGTTCAGAATCGCCACGCTGTCCGGCCAGCAGCCCGTCTGGTGCTTCCCAAGGAGTGGGACACAAGGACGCCTCAAAACGTCAACGAGGCCGACATGTTTGTGCCGCTGACGGACCAGCCGGAATGGGGGACGGAAATACTCGGCCCCGGGCTTCTGCTCTTCAAGAGCTCAATCGCGAGCGTTGAGGGCATCAGCGCTGCGTATGAACAGATGGGGCGGGTTGGCTTCTCGTCGATGGGTTGTCAAGCTGCAGATGCAGCTTGATGTACTGGTGGGAATGGCTTCCCACCTCTGCCAGCGCCCCCGCGGCTCTCTCGTCGTCCGTGCCTGTAGCCTTCTGGGCAACATGTACGGGCAGCATGAGAAACTTTTCGACATGGGCGACGAACGTGCAAGATTGTTGGCAAAATGTACCCTTTTGGCATGGAAGGCGCGTGAGGAATGGCTCCGGCAGACGGGAGAGGGCCTTGATATGCCGCCGTATATCTTTCAACTCTTGACTTTGCAGCCGAGCAACGGCATGTCTGCACATGATCAGCGGCCGGGATCCGAGCTGTCACAGTCTTTACTTACACGAGGCTCAGATATAGCGTCGTCATTTCAGCGCCATGATGGAATCTTTGGCATCAATTTTGGAGCGTTTTGATGCACTAGAATTGCCAGCTATAAGACGGAGGATAATTTTGCCGTCGTATCACCTTGAGCATACGGGTGGTGTTCCTACCCGGAACTTGAACTTGCACTCGGTCGCATGACCGAACGCTCCTCTCACAATGTGCCAAGATAATAAATGAATCAGGCTTATGGTGCTGATGCCAACAGAAGCCGTTGAGCTCGTAACTGTAGTCCGAAGCTATGAAATGCGCCGCGCCATCAACAGTTATCGGCCGCCCTGTCTACTTCGCCCCGACTCGTTGGCTTCTTATGAAGATGGGGGAGTCTGGCCTTGATGTCCTGCAGCAACGACTTACACGCCGCCCACGACATGACGACGTAAATGATGCAATTCCAGAATCCCTGCAAGGGCAGCACGAAAGCACTCACGAATACGACGGGGACATAAGCCTGACCATTATGCGCCATGGAATAGACGCGATTCGCACTGGCAGGGATCCAAGTGATGAGAATGGCTGTAAAATACAGCAGAGCGCACTTGGTATAGGACCAAGCGGCATTCTTGTGTTCGTAGCTACGGCGCCGAGCGAAGGCTTGCGGAGCAGGGCCATGCCGACGCGGTTTGCACCGCATGGCCGTCGTCTGATCGTCACGCCCTGGCGTCCGGCCGGGCAAGGCGACATCGCCATCGGCGGTCACTGGCGCCCCGGGGCCATTCCCAACCGCGACCTCGGGGCTGGTGGACGACGTGAGGTCGTAATCCGAGTCGAGGTTGTGGATCTGTTTGCGGATCTTGAAAATGGTGCGCGCCGCGGCAATGTAGATGGCAAAGGTGACGAGGATCATGGCCCTAGACGGAATCACTCAGCAACGCAGTCTGGCAGTGACAAGAAACCTCGACCATGGCTCACCACACGGGGCCGTACACGGTCGCGATGCGCAGGCCCTCGACGTGACTGGCGACCCAGCACCATAACACGGCGTCTCCATAGATGCGCTGGCCGTTGCGCCGGACAAAGAGATATGTAAAGGCGGGGATGAAGGGGATGCCGTAGCAAACCGGGAGGTAGATGAGTTCCATTTTATGCAGGCGCTTGATGTCGAACTTTTGGTACACGGTGAGGTAGACGTTGACGGCCATGGCGAGGATCCAGCCCACGTCGGCGGCCATGAACCTGGTGATGATGATTAGTGAGATTGGCAGCACGAGACGTGTCGTTGGGCGACACTAACCATTGGATCAGCATGGCTTGGAACTGGCATCCAAACGAGTCGGGGTTGTCCAGGAAGGACCGCGACATCAGGGTCGCGACGTTGCTCGCCATGTTGCCGAATGTTGCGTAAAACACGAGCCTGTTGACGGGCTTGTCTCGGAACGCACTGAAGCATGTAAATGTCGCTATGGTGAAGATGCAGCCCAGCAGCGAGATGGCGGAGCACAATCGCTCCATGATGCTGATGGCATGGAGCTGGCTCTCTGTAAGTTGACCCATGATGGCCGGCCCGCTGCGTCGACGCCGCCGCCCGATGCTAGTTACACGAGATCTCGAGATGTCAATGTGGCCGCTATCGGGGCGCGCCTGGAGCCGATATGCTTGAGCATGATTGACAGGGCGGGTGATGCATTGGAAGTTGGTGACGCTTGGTAGCAATATGTCGGTGTGACGGAATACGGGTAGGCAGGGGATGCCAGCGGTTGTGACTAGACGACGAGGCCGCGTCTGGACTCTGTCAAGGCGCGAGCATGCGGTCTGGAGCTGTCCTCACTTCTTAAGTAGAATGGCGACGATGAGCTTCACGGTGGCTGGGAGCTGTCTGATAGCTGAGACACCGTCCACGTGATGGCGACCAAGACGTTCCCCGACTCAGCTCAACGCCATGGACAAGTCGGTGGAAAGTTTGTTGCAGTAGCTGGAGATTATGTAGAGACCTTAGATATAGTACATGGAGGTTTTCAGCGCTGGTGGCTGCTCGAAGAAAGCCACATGCACCGTCTTGGACCCAAGTCCTGCGTCCTGACGCCTCCACGGAATCCGGTCCGACAATCGATTTATCCTCGCAGCATCACACCTAGGAGGCATCATGCCCGTCAAAGAAGGGCCTTTCATGCCTTGGAACCCTTGAAGAAGAAAATGGGAGACATGAAACGAAAGGCGGAGAACGCAAACGATGTCTTGCTCGGTGTCTGATCATCTTGATGGGTTGGGCTTAAACCGTTTCTCCAGCCGAACGCAGCTCCACATTCCGGAACTGGTTAAATTACTCCGAATTTGTCCTTTCCCAAGTCGGATGTGAATTCCTACTCTTCATCGCCCTTCATGTCCATGGCTTGGCCGGCCAACTTTGTGCCACAGCAGTCGGGGAACGAGGAGGCTTCCCTGCGGCGAGTCAATCCCATCCGTCGAGGCCATGGCAGAAGCTCCGTCAATCCAATCGCTATGGCGAGAGCAGTGCCGAGCGCACAGCCAGCTATGGACGCCATAGGCCGTGTGCGTGCCACCAACGTAATCGCCGCCGCCGCCGAAGATATGGTGGACAAGAGTACTGGGTAGCCTTCCCCGTTTCGGGACCGCCCTCGGTAGTTGAAGAATTAATTGTACGGGTTGGGAGCTGCAACCGGACCAGATCTTGTAGCCGATGAGTCGCCGCATATCCAGACACATGCCGAGCTTGGCGGATTTGGCACAGGGCTTTGCTTTTGCCAGATATGTTCGTCCGATATGGGATCGGTGTACGAAGTACTTGTCACATCTCAATTTACCTTCTCTAGGTCAGCGTCCAGCCTGACTTGCCACGAGTCACGACCCAGCTTGCTACTGCAAACGTGGCTGAGCTGAGTCCACCAATACAGAAACGTCCCAGAGGCAGGTCTCAGATGACCGCGACGCCGATACATACTGCTATGCAAGTTTCACGCCTAATGACCTAGCCTTATTCTGTCCTTTGGGCCGATGTTGCGCCAGACCCCATTGTCAAGGTTGGTAAGATCTTTGCTGGCGTACAGAACTAACTCACAAACAGCCATGGTAGCTTTTCTGCGACTTGACGCGGTATTTCTCATTAAGAGTCGGAGCAGCTTATACTTTCGTGCTTAAATAATCTTACAGACTTTGGCCTAGATTTGCCAGACTTGGCTTGGGCTTGTATTTGCTCTCCCTCTCCCATCATGCTCTCAACGCTCCAGCTATCCATGCATGGTATTGTTGTACCAGGTCAATTAAACATTCGGACTCAAATGAGGAGGAGCAGCTGATGAGTCTCATGATTCGCCTCTAGAGTCAAGGTTGTATACGTGTGCTTGTTAAAAAACACTCTGTTCAGATCCCAAAGCGTCAATGTGGATCAGCACATCTGGCTTAATGAATATAGCATGCCTTTAAAATAAGAAGTCTCGAGCTTTCACTGTCTGCCTCCTCAACAATAACTCCCAACCCATCATAAGAAACATTGCCACCTTTCAAACCCCCAAGACCGTTTGAAAAATCACAATGCCAAATTCATGAATATTGGAATACATTCTGCCACAATCCTCATCGTAGTCTGATGCTACGTCATCAGTGAGCATTGGCAGTTTTACTGGGCGGGCGTGGACCAACATCCCTCCTCTTAACTGAAACGAGATAGGTTAGTTTATAGATAATGAAACTAGGTGTCGGATGCTTTTCTTACGGTGAGGCTTGAGAACCACATCCCGAATCATATCTTCATCAGGATCAGGAAGTACCCCAGCCAGGTCAACCATATATGCTAGCACCCAAGTGACTACCACCGCAACTGAAACCCCCAGGATGGTGCTCGTCATTCTCACGGCAACGTTCGAATAAAGCTGATGGGCCTTTTAATCAGCTGTACCTAGCAAAGAAATTGCATAAAAGTAATAAGATTTGAAAGTGTATAGGGAAAATACTAGAAAAATTATTGGCTTCTCGAGTTGGGATGAATTCGCTACCCTTCAAGACGGAAGCCAAGGTGAAACACGATAGCTCTACCCATGCGAATTCATATGTCTGATGTTGGTAGTACAAAGACAGCCTTGTGACTTTATTAGCGGCTGACATGCAACGCCATCACACCCGTTCCCGCACTATGGTTGTCTGACAAGTTGGCCATCACGCGGTCATGCACTAGTCAGTGACGATTGGGTGGCGCTTTTTAAAATTGAAATACCCAAGGCTGTGCGGTTTGTAAGGAGACGGATAGTGCCTTGGAGTATTTGTGGCATTTGTGGCACATGAAGGAATGTATAAAAGATAGCCTGTATACTGCTTTGTGGGAGAAACATGTAGTGAAATAACTAGTACGTATCATAGTACAAACACAGAGTACTGTGACACAGGTATTTGGGCCCGGGTATGCTAACTTTTTGATTTTACCTTGAAGTGAATTCTCGCGGAGTGAAACATAATCTACAACGACCGGCGCGGGGAAGTATTGGCGCCATGTAGTACAACTGCTATGAACAATTCTGGGAATGTCTCACAAATTACACGCCACAGCAGGGGGAGTGGGCAAATTACAGAGCCGAGGCAACAGGACAAGTCAGACTTGGCTGAATTGGAATTGAAATAGTAGAGTTGTTGCATGCAAGAAGTCTTTGGCTCATACTTTGGTCACGGAGTAAGATGTTACCTTCAGTGCCATTATATTTGGAGGCACCCCCGAACTCGTAGTGCACGCCACTTTTACATGACAGCACTTGAGAGCATTGATTACCTCCTACATGGCCCATTTCTCCGCAAGCCAATTATGTCCGAAGCTTACTCCATACGGCCCTCTCAGCTACGGAGTATCTCCGAGACATTCATCGTGTACATCCCTGCTGCTGTGGCCAAAAAAATGGTTCAGAGATAAAGTATGGGTTGCACACGACCTAAGTATATGTGCAGATATGCATGGCTCAATACTTCAACGGCGCTGCCGGCATGCGCATTTTCGTCATTAGCCTTGCATGGAGGCGATATCCCCAGCTCCGACTTCAGTCAGAGTGATGCGTCATACGGAGTAAAAGCTCGACTAGATGGTCCTATTCTGCTCAAAGTAAGACGGACATCAGCACATCTCATTACGGCCTCTGCGCTGCAGCCCACGGGCGGGTGTGGATGGTGTTACGATTCCGCGAGCAACCTTGCTCTCACTGAGCCAAGGTTCAACTTTGGCGTTCTAATTTTATCATGTATGCAGCTCGTGATGTCATTGGGGCTCGGCATATCCGATTCACTACCATGACAATGAGTTCACTGTCAAAGTCGGGCCCTTGCTGGTCTAACTGATCTTGTTGTAGGGTCTCCTGGGAGACGCTCAGTTTCACTTGAGCATCGTATGATGTTCTAATGAAATGGAGAAAGTAGTTCAAATTTCGTAAATTCATTCGTTGCCAATATGCACAAGTTCATGGGAAGAAAAGAAGTGACAATACGTACTGTGGTCCGTCTTCATGCTCAGCCTCTTCCATTCAACATTTAAATGAGCTGCCTTGTATATCCGCTGTAATAAATGCACTCGAAGGGAGGCATTTTAGCCTTTTCACAGCATTCTGGCTTAGACATAAAGTCATAAAAGGATCCGAAAACTGTCACTCGAATGTTAAACGAGGGCTACAATCACAAGACCTTAGGACACGGGGCTCGCCAGTTTCATGCACAGTGTCCTTTGGGTGATTTAAGCCTTGAAAATCAAGGACCTTTAATGCCAAAGACTATTCATAATTATATGTCACGAGGGTTAAATGCAGAAGGCTTGGAGTAAGGTACTCAATTTTAAAGATAATCTCAAAGTGTGTCAAAGGCCCCTAGTTTTCCAATAGGAAGGAAGGGGTCAGTGACCATTATATATACATGAAAGTAACGTGTGCGCCTAGGCTCTTTCCCCGTCCATGTGTTGAGTCTGTCATGGAAGCAAGAATGCGCTCCAAAGTAGAACCAATCAGTTGAAAACAAACTCTAGCCATGTCTTGTTGCTTATATTGCCTCCATCCCGCAGTCGAACAAATCGAGGTCTCAACGACCCGGCGTCTGTACATCGTAACCAACAAATCTCTGTCGTCTTACGGCCGCTATCCTATAACGGCCCTGGCCATCATATCCAGACTTTCTATGAAACGCCCAATGGTGAGTATGGATTCATTTGCGGCTTGGTAGTTTGTCGCGTTCATTGCGTAGCTATTCAACTCCACGGAGATCATGAACAGGTTGGATTTGATGTTTTGTAGATAATCTGGTCTGGATTCGAGCGCCTTCTCGAGCGAGCCTGATGCTGCGGCGGTTTCTGCGGTACTCTGCGCCCAAAGGTGCAAGGATTCCAACATATTGTCCATCAGTACTCGATTATCATGGCATCCTAGCTGTGTGCAGCAGGGGAAGGTGGAGAGACAATCTTCCGTGAGATCTCTCACGGTCAAGTCGGTTAGGTCGAGTGTTGGTAGCGGCTGGCTGGCCATGGTCGCGCAAAGGATGCTAATGGAATGGAATTGGAGGAGAAGTTGAGTGGAAGAGATGGAAATCTAAGGAAGGAGCCTGGAATTTATAGTCATTATAAACGCTTGGAAATCATTCGAGCAAGCCTATGAAAGGTGCCCATCGAGAGGCGGTTATTGCCCTGCTTGACTCCTATGTTTCAGTGGTTTACGGAAGCCGCTGTTTGCCATGTTTGGAGGATTTGTGATTATAAGACGATGAGCAAAGCGGGAACAAAGACAAGCGCGGACAATCGGGCCGCAGTGCCACAGAAGAAATGAACTCTTTCATCGCTGACGGTCCAAGCCTAGGTCCGAGTTCAAAAAGCATCGAATTGCTAACCTACAATGTTTAGTCCCTCATGCAGTCCTGGGCTGTTCCTGTTAGCCTGGTCCGTCTCGGGGTATGACAGAACTCAAGTCCCGCACTCAGCAGGTCAAATCACATCGATGCTCTACCCGATTAGACAATCTACCGAATCATTGGCGCGGGGCTGTATTGGATCTAGCTGTGAAAAGCGTTGTCGAATCCTCTTAGAACAGCAGACAAGGATCAGTACGGCAAGAATCGCGGCTGAAGGATCAAGTCATAGGATCACGGACAAGTTGACATGCTCAGACTTGGCGACCTACTTGGGCCATCTTCAGCTTTAGTGAATCAGCTGTCACTGTCTGTCATTCTCACCAGCTATCGACTTGTCCTGTCAAACAGGTTTGTTCTCACATATGAAGCAGCACACACCTACTGGCCGTTCACGACTTGGAGTTGGTGAAAACAAAATTCACGGGCGGCATGGTATAGTTCCGTCACTGTGAAAAGTGGGATGCCAGTGTAGATGAATACCGACCGCGCCTAAAACTATTTGTGTCCTTCCTGTTTGGCACATTGTCCGAGGCAAGGGAGGAAGACATGTGAATATACTTCTTCACTTGGACGAGGTTCACAACGCCTCGACAGTCGCTGATCTCAAATCACCACTAAACTGATGAGCAACATGGTCAAAAGAGCCAAATATTCGGCCACTGAATCTGTCACCACCAACATTCACCGGGGCCGAGGCTGGCCAGAGTTTTGCAAAGAAACAGTGATTTTGTTTGTGGTGTTGAGTTCAACTTGTGATTGCGGCGCTACACTCGGGGACTCCCAGTGCACGAGCAAAGTTAGGAGGTTTGATTGAGCACTTTCTATTCCAGCTTTACTCAGTGAAGGTGAATAATAGACATGTACATGAACCTCACACGTTGCTACGGGTTTTTGAAGCATCAAACGAAAAATCTGTCGCACCGCACGTCGATGGAGAGCATTCAACATCCAATCAGCGATCAAAGATTCTACCAGTTGACATGACTTGGCGGGTAACGTGTGTATTTGAGCCTCATCGGGCATCAATCGTGTGTACACAGAATATTTGTGCCCAACATTCAGCAGCTATGCAGTCATTGGAAACAATCTCTTGTGCTACACCCGAGGGAATCTCCTTTGGTGAAGGTTCTACAGTCCGTGGCAGAGAATGTGGACTCCCCAGGAAGTATACGCGAATATTTCCTACATGTATACTATATTCCAGCATGGGGCGCGATAGCCAGGCATTTGGTCTGGTTAAAGCTTTTTGCGTCCGACTCTATGTTGCGACCGGACCCTATCCTCTTGTTCGCATTACATAATCTGCGGGGTAGATCGAGTGGCTATCATGCCTGCAAATCAAACCAATCAGTCCAGTTTTTACATCAACAGTCACCCGCCACCCGCGAGGCGAATCACGGCAACCAGGAACGGCGGGTGACAAGGACGACCAGCGGGTTCCTCTGCATCCAACGTCTTTTCTACCAGCCTTTTCTTTTAGCCGCTATCAGACCCTGTCACGCGAAACAATGGCCGACTTGGTGACGGTGGCTTTGTACCACCGAGACCACTTTTCTCAAGGAAGCGCCCGACGAGCGTTTGGCTACGAAGCCTATCACTGGGGTATCCTCATCATGCCCCAGACGAGCCAAGGACAAGACTGCCACGTATTTGATGCCACCGACGCAAGTGACATTGACCCCGTCACCTTTCGAATGAAGAACCCTACTATGGACTGGTGGTTCCGTTCCAAGACCGATGCCGACCCTGCTCTCGGAACCAAGCTCATCGGGCGTATCGTCATTGGAAGTGTGCCGGACGGGGTGTCAAAGCCGGAGCTTGAGGGCTTTTTCGGCAAGGTTCCCCTCCCTGTGAAAAATACGCATCCCCAGCAGAGTTGCGTGACGTGGGTTGAGGATGCCATTCGAAACCTGCAGGAGGAGGGCTGGGTGCAGAAATTTGATGTCCATCGGTTTAAAGACTGGGCGCTGTCTTATGCGGATGAGAGGATGAGAGGAGAGGATTCGAATGAGCCGTCTGTACAGTATTATAATGTCGAGAACTAAAACTGGGTAATACATGACTTTGCTCGTTTGCCTTTATTGCATCGCGTGTATATAGATTCTGCGTGGGGGGGACACCAAGAAACCGGAGTTTAAAGCGCAACAGCTGCCACTGTCGCTGGAAGAGGGATGAGCAGGAGTCTCTTGTGCACTGGGTAAGTGAGCGTCACTGTCGTAGAGAGTTCGATGAGTCTGAGTCATGAAACATTTCTTTGCTGATGTAAATACCAATCTGTCAGCTATTCGTAAACAAAACGAGGGAAATAATGAAACGACGCTGTTCATAAACTCATATCAATGATTGGAAATGCATTCCGAAGCCACCTGTCGGTCAACTCTCCCTCCTCTTGCACAAATTCGATTCAATCTTGTCCTGGGGCATTCCACATGGCCGTCCTCGTCGCTAATAATAGGAAGACCTGGACGATCCAGAGCCTTCTCCTCGTCGATGGTTCTTGTGCCTCTCTTGCTTTCCCTTTTCCGCCGTCTCGGGCCTGTGATAATTCGCTTGGGTAAAGTTGTTTGCCGGATTGGATGACTTGGTTGGGTCATGGTAGACTACATCGACGCCCATCCTATATCCTCTGTCTCTGTCACAAATCACGCGGTGAACGCCCGCCGTTCCCGTCCCGTCACTGGCCTGCCACATTTGAACTCCTTTCAACTTCAAGGGATACTCTATTCTCGGATGGCAAGACTCCAAGGCGGAGAATTGTTCGAAATTTGCAAAATTCTTCGGGTATAGATTCTTGAAATCTTTGGATGTGCCCTCGATTTGATGGTTGTACTCTGGGATTTGAGCGACCTGAGCTCTGACATCGGATGCCCTCACGTATCGGCCGGGGTGACTCGGTGGCAAGTTGGAGCAAGAATACTATGGCAGTTTTAGTTTGACATACAAAACAGGGAGGTGGTTGCTAAAATGAAAAACTTACAAAAGACTCGTCTTGGGGCTCATTCTTCGCAGGTGAACGTTTTTGTCGCGTCACATGTGTCCAGTCAGCGGACTCACTGACCATAGTCAGCAATCCTACACGTGAAAATGGCTTGTGCGCTTGTGAGTCCATACGTCATGATCTCGTCGAGGTCCATGTCTAGACCTTTCTCCCCCCATGCGCTCGAGCTCGATGCGTCCATTGCTTGTCCTGTGAACCTGAAAGATGGGGGCTCAGTAAAGGGTGTCGACTGGGGCTGAGGAGCTTGACGAATACTCCATGGACAGACCGAGAACAGATATATAAGAACGTTGGGTTCCTAAGCCATGCGTGGCGTTGGGCCTGGAGTCGCACCGCGCAAAGCCCGATACCCAACATTGAAGGCCAACGACCAACAGAGCGGGTTGGGGGGACCTGGCCACTTTTACCCCGAACTTCAGGTGAACTCAAACACCCGAGATCCTCGTCCTGCAGTGAATTTGGGGGCCAGGCCGATCATGAGACCCCTGAGGATGATGCGATTGCGTGGCACCAAGCGGTGCAACGACCGGGCTGCATGCATGTCGGCCGCGTCGTCAGTTTCTGTCAAACAACGGCATGCCATGTGTGAGAGAAAAAAATGACAAGGCTGTGTTTATGCGTGACAGTAGCCTGTTGGTGAGCAGTGCTCGCTGTGTTCACGGAGGGTGTGCCAGGGCCACAAAGAGAAGAGAGCCAACAAGTAACACGTAGAAGCTGCTGTGTAGCAGCCTTTCTGCATAAGGGTCGGGGAAACAAGAAGACTCATTGATACTGTTGACATGTCGTTATATCTTTACTCACAGCACTCGAAGGATATTTTTAGCATGCTGGCGCATCTTGACATGAGAACTGCTCACATGTGTAAACGGCCTTGTGAATTCTAGCATTCTGGCAAAAATTGTTGCGCTGTGGTTCATTTGAGAGCTGTTTGGTATACCCTTGGACAGTAATTGAATCTCCCAACGCTAATGTACCGCTCATTTGAAGCTTCTACCTCTATAGCGGGTCGAGTTGTGGTGTGGTGTCGAGACCTGCACGGTGAGCATCGTGCCTATTCTATTGCATGGTTGGTGTGTCAGCTTTGGGACCAAAATACCTGTATATCGGGCGTGTTCAGCCGTAGATCAACTATTACTGCATGTTTTACATCTCATCATGCGTCAACGGTGCAACTCGAGAGGCGCTGGCAGCAGTTGGCTCTGCAAGGTGGAAATTAGCTTTTCGAACACGGAATGTGTTGCTCGATGAATAAAGAATGAACAACTCCATGACTTGGTTCACTGCCACTGTTGATTTTCAGTGAATAATCAGGCTCTCCAGGTATATAAAGCCACCGGGTTGCCGTCGACAAGCTGACAATGTCCCGGGCAATCCATCCTCTCCATATCCTTTTCTTCACCTCAGATCACTATTTTACACGTTAATCCCCATAATGGCTGGACATGGACAAACAGACTTTACCCCCCTCCTCGATCGCGACCCACGCGTGAGCAAATATCTCGTTGAGAACTTTGACTATGCAGTCAATGCGGCGTATTATGACGAACGCCACGCAGAATCGTTTGATGCGCCCCAAGGGATCACTGATTTCCAGGTACTTGTCGACCTGTATGTCAGAAAAAGCCAACTCGCTTCAAATTCGACCATGGAGGACACATACAAGAGAATGTTCAAAGAACACGCTGAATACTTGTATTTGACGCCCGAAACCATGCAAACCCTTTCCATAACTCTTCTCCGTCTCGCAAGCTACCTGCCCTGTACGCACCCTGGGCACATATTTTTGAAGGAAATCTTGGTGGACTTTTTCGTACACACTGCAGCCACCCAACCTGGCCAAGCGCCGACAATATTTCGAGCGGAACTGCTGGATCTATGGTCGAGATTTCGTATGTATACAACTGCGGGTTTGGCCAAGTACAGACTTTCTTACTAACGCAATTCTCCGAAAAAGGTCCCGTGCCTGGAAACAATGGAGATGGCCGCATGAAAGCACTATTGCAACCCGACGAATGGGTAAATTTCAACTCCTTCGTCGCAATTCTATGCAATGACATGGAGATAGACTATGACAACTTTGCTTTCCAAGGGTTGGGTCTCCTCCTTCTAGACCCCATGTCTACCCGTCTCAATCAGGCTCTGAGTGCGGATTTCGGTGCTCTTACAGCTTGTATCTGGATCCACTGCGCTGATAGTCGACTTCTCCACAGTATAAATCAATCTGATGGCCTCGTTTTCAAGGACCATTCCGGTCAGGAATGGAGCCTGGACAAACATACGTGGCTGAGGATGACACAGAATTTCGGGACTATTCTTCGGAACATCAAAAATACCATTATTTACCAGCGTAGTAACGCAATGTGGTATCAGTTTGCGGAAAAGGGGCAGAATGTCAATTCAGGGTCCGATCAGAATATGGCATTGTGATTGGACACGACGGTACTGCCGACAAGACAACCTGTGGAGGCATTGGATTCAGAAGGTTCCATTTTAAGGATCGAGGAAGCTGCACCGATGCATGTTGGCGAGACTTTGGACCGTGGTTTTTGGGACAACACCATCGATGGAAACAGAGCGGGGGAGGACGAGATTCAGGAAAATTGAAGGATGGAGGAAGTTGCATCACTTCAACAGTGTGTGACAAGGGCATGATACTGGAATCGAATGAATAGTTCAACATCAATTCAACAAGCAACTTCATTGTGTCAAGAATCGTTGGTTTTCCACAGGGTCTTGAGGGACCAGAGCTCTCTATAAGTGCAAGAATTGAGTGATGGCTAGTGCCTGAGGCGGCCCTCGCTCAATGTCCGACTCCGGTCTCTCGTGATGGCTTTCTTTGTTGTTTTGTAACCTTTGATGGCTGATACCTTTTGTTTCAGCTGTGTGTATTGATCCGCTAGATGGGACGCTAGATACAAGTTGCAGCGGTGCAAAGTTCCCATACCAAACATGTCCAACTGTGCTTTTTTAAGAAGTCAAACGAGCTGTTGGTCGCGTGCTCACGACGCGTGACCTTGAGACTCATGAGTGGCAAGGACGAGCTGCGAACAAAGGATGCGTCGCATGTGAAGGAGGACTAGACAAGGCAGGCGTTTTACAACTGGCAGGAATTTGTTTCATTGTTGAAAGCGGAAGCGCGACGTCGATGGATGGATAAGCCACGGTGGGGATGCACGGCAACAGCCGGCCGTCCCGCGAATCATGTTTGCCGCATGTGGAATCAAGAAACGGAAATGGCAACAAGAGACGTCAACTGGTACCAGACATGTCTGGTATGCTCCCGTTGATGTCATATACTCCACCTCCCCCAACCCCGTGTACGCTCAAACCTTGCTGGACGCGAGTAACCCTTTTGTTCATGGCACCACGTGCTTCCAAAGGGAAATCCAGTTTACACCACGTCCAGGTTGACTCGTAACATGCAGGCCGCCGGATTTGTGCCTGTGCGTGGCAATACAATGGAGAAGCTGTTTCAGCACATGAACAATGAATCTTGGGCCGGAGTTTCTCCAGCCCCTTGAGGACTTTGCCCTGTTTTTTTTTATCCTTTGCAGGAGCAAGCGCATCAATCCTTTCTCTCAGCAACCTACTCAGTCAGAGCCTCTATGTCTGGTCGCTTTAATTGTTCCGCCTTGCCGCATCATCCTCACTGGCATCACGCCGCACCATCACAAGACTCTTAATTGCCGCTGCTCATTTCGATCGCCTCAAAGGTCAACTGCAGTGAGCGTCATCCGAGTCCTTGAATGTTTATTTCGAGACGGAACCACGAACCGCCCGCGAGCTGCGTATCCCCGCCTCCGCGTCAGCACTGAGCGCAGTCATGGCAGACAAGTACGACTGCGAAGCTCCTCCCGTCAACGACATCACCCGCACGCACGATTTCGAGCAACACACTTCCAGCGTTCAAGAGACAATGGGTGTTCCCCTGTCCGGGCAAATCATGTCGGCGCGAACTGCACATGACCATGTTCGAGAAGAATTTGGTCCCTGAAGGTGGTTGGCAAACTGCTACCAAGGCTGCATTTGAGGTGGCTATATTGCATCAAATGCGCATGCACCGAGTCTATATCTGGCCGTCTTCAAGTGCGAGTCTGTCAAGTATACCTGCCGCTTTAGCCATTAGAATGCTAACAGAAGCCGCACTGATAGGAGAGAGACCAAATTAGCCATGGTGTCGAGGCAAAGCACCATTTGGCGACGAAAAGCACGACAGGATAACACGGAGCAAACTTTAAGAGCACGGGATACTATCTATGAGCAGCCCTGGGCATATGAAGTCGTCATTTAAAGGATTCTTGTTCTAGGTGCAGCCGCTTGGTAGCTCGACCCGATCCTAGCCCGCTGTGCATCTTAAAACTTGGCTTCGGATTCCGACATGCCCTCTTCTTGCCTTCACCGTACCGCACAAAAAAGTGTGTAGCTGCCCCAAGTTCGCTGCACTTGTTGGAGCTGTCGTTCTCTTCTCCGTCTTGTTCAGCATTATATGCTGGACGGTTCCCGACAGAGGTTGACCGTATCGCCTAAGAGAACATGGATGGCGAGGGCGTAAATCACGCTCAGCCGGCACGACTCGTTTACCATAGAACATTTACACCTTGGCAAACGCGCCCTACATGGATAAACATGTGGCAGCGCGAAGCAGGTCAGGTAGACGAGAGTTTGGGCGCCGTGGGTAGATGCAATCGACGTTCTGCATGTTGGCAATCCGCAATGAAGGCAACTTTTATCATTGCTCGTCTACTCGGTGCTTTGCTCTGCCCTTGGCGTGAATTACCGTCACATGCGTAAGAAAGGGTTGTGTTCACTACCGATCGGCCGAGACGTACATCTTGGTGCCTTGTTTCGACGGACTCCGGGCCGCGCTGGTGTTGTTGAGATGGTCACTACATTTTGGGGACTTCTTCGCCATGCAGCCTTTGTTTCTCACCGACATTTGACTTGAATAACCCATCTGCGTCGTTATTCAAGCTACATGCTATCGAGATGGTCAAGTAGATGGCCTGAATTGAGGTGTGAATATGCCTACCCGGGCGTAGGAGCGGCATTGAGTGCCTCAAGCGTGACCTCGCAGCATGCACGATGTGATGCTTCGGGCATGCCATCACCTTAGCGTGGCTGCCAGAACTGCCGCAGTCATTATTTCAGTGACATGGACATATATACACTCACTTTTGTGAGCTGTTAGGCCATGTTCTACATGTATAGGTGTAGGTGCCGGCGAAGAACACGGCAAGACATCTGGCCGGACCTCTTGGGTGTGTGTCCTGAGTCTGGTGTCGCTTCATTCAGCTTCATGCCAGCAATACTGATAGAATCCCTCGACATGCCTGTCAAGTTCATGTTGTGGTCTCACAGGCTGCTGCTCACCATCATGGTGTCTCGCTGGCTATGTCTGCGACTTGAGTGCATAACCGACTGGGGAGCAATCATCAGCACTATATGCAGAGTGCTGTAAAAGAGTCAAACCAACCAGATGGCGTTAGCATCTTGTCATCCTCACAGCTTATCCCGCCCGCCACTCAGCCACTGCCCCAAGGCCAGCTTGTGACTTTACCTAAAGTTCCAAGAAGCGTCCAGTGCCTGCTCGTGGACTGCCAAGGCTAGGGGTACCACCATGATATATATGCTAGATATGTGCAATTCGTTAAAATGGGCGCAGAAAAGCTGTCTCCCACGTGCTCTGGCCAAGTTGAGTTCGCAAATCAGAAGAGTCCAGCATCCATCGCTCTGTCCCGCCGATGACTCTCCCCGGACATGTGCATGTCGTAGAAACTGCAACGGCGGCCCAGCACTGCGCAAATGACCGGTTCTGATTGCGAATGCATTTCGCATCGGGCTTTCACGTGCGCGGACAGAAATATAGACAAAAGAAAAAGACAAGTTACATGGCGTGCCTTGGTAGAATCCAAGCCAAGCAGGATGGTGTCTTGGTCGTCTTTCAGTTTAGTATATAAAGCCCTAAATGCCAGCTTCAAGGCATAGTAATATCTTTTCCTTAATAAAGTGTAGTCAAAAAAAATCAACACCCATCATGCGTTATATGTCGGCTCTCTTCCTATCCGCCATCCTCCGCGGTTTTGTTTCAGGGCAAGACGTAGACGAGACAAAACCAGCGCCCCCTGAAGCCGCAGCATACGAGATTAGAATACCCATTGGCAACATCTCCTCCCACCCCAGCGGCACTACTCCCCTCGGATCTTCAGGAATCTTCGACGTCCTCACGTCGAAATCGTGGTCCCGCAACTCCAACCTAGCCGCGCAGTACTACCAAGACGGCACCGTCCACAACTGGCTGCGAAACGAAGAGAAGCCCAAAATGTCCATCATCAAAGTATGCGGCAATTACTTCTACGCCCCCAACATCTACTGGAAAGGCGGCCTCACCGGAAAGCACCTGCACCAGGACAACAAGCGCAACCAGAAGCAGTTCTACGCGGGCGTCACCCAGGCCACCCACGAAGTCAACGGCGAGTTTGTCACGCGCGACAAGCCCATCGAGATCATGACGGAGAGGACCAGCTCCGCGTGCGGCTCCATCAGCTTCTCGTGGAAGAGCAAGGGAAACTGGGGCAGACTGGGCGACATCATGGACCACTTTCTGAGGATTTGGTTCGCGCCCCAGGATACTTGTGCCGTGTCGCCCTCACACGGCGGCGGCAATGGGCTGCTGTGCGCGCTGCCGTGTGACCCTATTAGCCCGATGTGGTTCCAGTCGACGAATCTTTATGTGAGGCAGACGAGGTGGGTGAATGGCAAGCAATTGTACTCGAGTGTGTACAAGCTGCGCGGGCAGTTTAATAGCGGTGACGGCAATGGCGGCTTGAAAAACCCGACTTGGCTGAATGCGCAGTGCGATGGGGATAGGTTGTACTTTAAGGATACTCCCAACGATGCTACGTATGTGGTATTTTGGTAGGCGATTGCGTGGAGGAGGAGTCGCTGTTTTGGTCTCGCGGTGCTTTTAGTCTGATGCAAGATGGACTGACTGCGTATGGGCTCATTCAATTGTCATTTTTATTGATCATGTGTTCGAGATTTAATTTTATGGAGAATGTGATTTCTGATATAGTATGCAAATGTTGACAAGCATGGCACTCAAGTCTTCTACGTGTCACATGCTCGAGGCCGGCTTGTCATTATGACGCTGTGGTCAATCTCTTGATGTTGCTTTGAACGGAGGCTATTCTTGGATAAGTTTTGGGTGGTTTTTTGAACTATTTAGCTGTCTGCACTTTCTTTCTTTGGGGTGCCTGTGTATAGACATGTCTGTGGGAAAAATGATATTGTCGTATGTGAACTTACATCATCTTTTAATCGTCTAAAGGTGACCAGATCTCCCTGATATTGGTTTCATGCCATTGAGGTCACAGAAAACGAAAAAAATATTTGTCAGCGTTAGCAAAAGCAAAAAGTGGAAGCATACAGTGGTCCGTCTCGGGTGAATTGCGTTGGTGCTCGGAGCAATCCGAAAGGGGTAATATTTTTCGGCACTCCGGGTCAAGCGGGACCGGCGAAGGAACCGCGCCGGCGTGGGGTTCCGTTCTGGATAACATATCCGTCACTCCACCTTCAGGATCGTACCCAGGCGGGGACAAGCGAATGCGACTTACAAGGTCGATTATTTACAGTTGACCAGAGTGCCTCGGTACTTCAAAATTGCTCGCAGCAATGTATTTCCGCTATGCCACTTGATCCCTGAAGCCTTGCTCTCGTATATACTCATACCCTCCGAAGTTATTATGAATAATGTTTTCAAATTCAAGGAGGCAAGCCTAGAAGATGTAAAGTATATAGTGCTATATTTCTACTATAGTGACTATACTAGAAGAAGGCGCACCAACACACCACGCAGCAGCTCGTTAAATTCACCAAGCAAACACAAAACTCGAGTGCACCCCAGCACTCGCGGCTACTCTCCCATCTATTGTGCACCGAAAATGGTAATCAAGTCCAGCAGTTGAGTAGCCTAAATAGCCATACAGACCTAGGCCTTGCCCTCACCCTCAGGCACACAGACGGCAGTATAATAAGGGCCGCCAGGTACCCGGTGCGACTTGATCTTGACGCACTCGCTACTTTTTGTCGGCTGCTCAGTCGGTCTCCAGTCTTCTCTTCTGCACTTTTCCTTCTCTTCCCAATCATTCCTCATGCAGTACAGAAACTTGCTATACACATTCCTGCAAGACTGCCGAGGATGGAAACACTCCGACTCCTCCTTTTGCAGTCGCTCCTCCCTCTCCTGCTCCTCCTCGGCCTTAGTCTTCATCCGCCCGATTCTATAAGTCCAGCCGGCTAGATCGCACGCCTTCTTGGCTGCCTCAGAGTCGTCCATGCAGTACTGAAAGTTCAACGGATCTCCTAAACGCTTACCCAAGCTGCCGCAAACCCACCGGGGGCGAATACATGCCGCTTCTTCCCTGCGCATCTGCTCTTCCCTCTCCTTCTCGGGCAGTCCGTTTCTGTCAAGCTCGTTGGTGCACCTTTCTCGCAGTTCCTTGCCGATATCCGTCTTGGCATCGTACGCGTAGGACGTATCGCAGTCTTTCTTGTCGTGCCAAAACTTGCATCTCTTAACGGATGTGCTCCAGAATACACTACTCTCGTCTTTGAAGGGTATGCACAACTTTGTGTTTGGCTTGTAGTACACCATGACATTTCCCGTCGTGTCAAACGGCGATGACCGGGTTCCGGACGCGCCGTAGATGGGGTTCGTTCGTAGCCACCGGCCGAAGCTTGTGTCGGCGCCAAACAAGCCGCCTGGTTTCATATTGGCCATTATGAAGTCGTACGCGACTGTCGCCGCCCCTCCGGCAGTACCCGAAGCTCCGCCTAGGCCGAATTTGCTCTTGGTCACGGAGGGTGCGGCTTTGAGAGCATTGTATAGGCCGGTTACTGTTCCAGGCGCATCTCTCGATAGCCCCATGAGGAAGTCCTTGAGGTTCTCTTGGTTAACGTTGCCGTTTTCGTCTGCGTACTTGGCGATGAGCTCGGTGGCGTTGCTATCGCCGTCGTCGGCGTACTTGCACCAAACCTACAAGCATCAGGTACATTAGCACGGTGTCAATACCTGCAGACGGACCTTTCCCCTTCTACCACGGATTGTACATACCTGCGGAGACTTCATGGCTGTGTCAAGGCTCCCAGACGTACTGAATTGCATGCCGAGCTTCTCGCAAAACTTTGCCCCGTCTTCACGCGACTGGAGGGTTTTGGGAGGAACAGCTGGGTCAGAACGACATGTCGCTGCAATTCCTTCATCAGTTACCTTGATGGTATCAGCTTCAAGCCCGATGATGGCGCAGTATTCTTTAAGAGGTTCTCCCCCGTAGTCTGTCTCCCGCTTGTCGATCTTGGCAGGGCTTCCGGCGGTCAGTCCGGTCAGCAGAGTGACTAGTGTGATTGAAAGCTTCATCGTGGTTCAATATTTGCCGTATAAAGACGTCGAGTTACTCAACAGAGTTCCAGACAAGTGCAGGGTATGAGCTCGTATTTGTGTTGACTTTGCAGTACGAATAATGAAAGAATGTTGTTGATGGGTTTATTTTCTCTTGACATCGGGTTGACTTTATATACATGTACCTGTGCTTATACATTGGCGTCCGCATCTGTGAATCTCTTCATCCTTACTTACATGCCAAGCCAACACCGGGTTCTTCTTCTATGCGTCATCGTACTATCATGCAGCATCGTTCCATTATGCGATTTCGTTCGTTGCTGCATCGGTAAGAGCCATTGCTGAACCTTGCTTCTTACGAACAGTGCCCTATCATGTGTCGGGCTCGCCTGCGAAAAACTGTCTTTACTCTATTTGCCGTAATTTCAGGATCACTTGGGTCAAATTAGCCTCGAGACGTTGCGGCCTTGACGTACAATCTTCTTGTCCATCATTCGACTTGGCATGAAATGCCAAAGCCTAAAGTCAGGCTATCAAGACCGGGAATATTCCGCAGACACCACGACTTTTTATGCGTCATGTTGTAGCTTACAGACGTTAGTTTTAGTTGCCAACTTCGCCCTGTCCGTAAACCCGTTGCCTGAAATTTGCTTTGTTAAATTTACCTTGCATGGATACCCCAGGATCGTTCGCGGACCACCCTCTAGGCTTATTAGGTGGGCTTCACTGACATCTTAGAACAGATCGGGTATAGGTGATTGTTCAGGGTCCCGGGGTCTGTCACAGAGAACAGAACTTCCCCAGATTGCACTTAGGAACGGCCGGCCGCGGAGTGCGAGCCCAGTGATGAACTGATGCCCGCGCCCTGACGAGCTGGGGGGGACAACTGACATTCGCATGATGAACTACTTGACTATTGATGTTGACTAGAGGCCCCTGCAGGCATTCCGAGACACGTGGCCGCTCTGCGCCTCCCGGCGTCTGCTGAGGCTTCCGACGTTGCAGTGCCGGAGTATACGCCAAGAGTCCAAGAGTTTCGGCGTTGGTTTAGATAAACTCAATTGCTACAAAGCTATCTTGACCAACAGTCAGCAGATTCTGGCTTGTGTGCCCCGCTATAGTGCATTACAAAGTACAGATTGAAAGCATGGACTGACACTGACTTGCGCAATAGGTGTTCCCTCCCATTGGCGTCCAGGGTGACTTGCGATGGGTAATGCTACGAGTACACTCCGGTCTAGTTCTTACCTGCCATGTCGCAGAGAATACTCTGCTTTAACTATGCCCAATTCCTTCAGATACCACACGTGGCGCCTGTGATTGAACCGGTAACTTGAAGTTACACAAGCTTCACAGGCGTCGCACAGTCACGGCAACTACAACGAGCAAAGGGACAAAATGCGCACATATAGAGTTGAATATTTGCGATAATCGGCCACGGGCCGCTATTTTAAGATGTTTGGGCTAGTTCAACGCTTAAACCTAACATCCGTCCTGGCAGCAACCTAGCATCTCTCAACATGTCCAAGTACCCTGTTTCCGCTCTAGACTAAAGAAAGATAGCAAAGTCCCGGCATCAGCATCTTGCAAAGCCGACTACTTGGGAGGCCCAGCCCCCATGAGTGCCTTGACAGCATGGAAATTGTCGAGAACAGAACCCGCCTCCAAAGGCGCCCAAAGAGCGTCAATCTTGGCCGCCACCGCGGCACTCAGAGGGCCCTTCTTGATCGCCGCGAGGTTCCTCTTCCACTGCTCAACAGTCGATGCACCAATAATCATGCCGTCGCCCTTGGAGGCATCTAGGGCAGAGTTGTACGCCAGCCAGCGATATGCCATTTCCACGCCCGAAATGCCCTCGGCCTTGGCAATCTCGTGCCACTTGTCCAGCGCCTCGAGTGCCGCAGGCTTGTTGTACTGGAACTGGTACAGCTTTCCGAAAAGCCCTGCCTTGTTCCAGCGGCCCTGGAGGGACTGGTCGCGGAACTGCTGCGACGTCTTGGCGAAGAAGCCGCCCGCGATGGGACTGTACGCCACAAACGCAATATTGTGCTTGCGCAGAACGGGGAGCAGTTGCGTCTCGGGCAGACGCGCAATGGCGTTGTAGCTGCCCTGGAACACGGAGGGAACCACAAAGCCTTTGCTTCGGCATATCTGAACAACTTGCTCGATTTGCTCGCCGGTGTGGTTGGAAATGCCAAACCGTTTGAAGACGCCCTCTTTGTAAAGACCGTCAATGGCAGCAAGCGTCTCTTCGAAGGGGACGCGTGCATCCGGAGCTTGCAGGTACAGAACGTCGACCTAAGGGTGGGAAAGTAATAAATTAGCTTTGCAAAGCTGCAAGTTCGCACTCTGGCAAATAAATACCAACGTACCTGCTCTACGTCTAGCTTGTTCAGGCAGTCTTTGGCCTGGGCAATGACATTGTCTTTTGTCGCGGTCAGCATTGGGTGAGCACCACCCGTCACCTTGGTGGAAATAGAGAAATGCGACGCGAAGTTGAGCTGGCCCAAGTAGTCCTGGCACTCGCGGAAGGCAACGGCGGTATCGACTCCGCTGATGGCGTCTTTGCTCCCCAGCAAGGCGTCGAGCCATGGCTTGACGTCTTCGGCCGACTTGTAGCCCTGGTCTGCGTTGAACAGAACGGTACCGAAATAAATCTTTGGCGCGGCCATGGTGATCTAGACGTTGTAAGAAGGGCAAAAAGTATGATAGGGTTTTGTCCACGCTCTGGAAATACCGTAGAAAGTGATGATGATCTCTGAAGATTCCACTCAGATGTCAGAGGAAAGACGGGTATTAAATACGTCGAGGCATTGCCTGCTTGGCCAGCATACCCCCAGCCTCGTCCAAGATGTCTTCATTCATTCGAGCCCTCTTACTCCATCTCCCCACGCACTGCAGGACGTCGTGTCACTGCAGTATCTATTCTGCGTGTGGCGCATTACAATATGACATGCGACTGCAGCGCTGTCGGAAAGCAAGTCCGGACGTGTTGGTCGGGCACTCGGGGCTTCGGGCACTACCACGGAGTAACAGAACCAACAAATTCAGTGACTGGAGACCGTCCCATGTTTCCCGGGTCTTGGGATCAATTCATTGTAGCAACATGCCTGAATCTGTCGGTGAGGCCTGAATTTTCTCAATTAACAAGGTCAAGAAGCCGTGCTTGCCAGGTTTCATGAGGAGGCGATCAGTAAGGGGCCTATTGGTACGAGAGATTGAGTGTAATCCCTCGAGTTTGAGCCTTAACGACGATTGGCTTGCTGCATATGCAAAAGATGGTTGGTTGGTGGTTTAGACGGCAGACCCCTGAATCAATTTGACTGAGCCACTGCAGTTGACGTGGTGTATCATGCAAGATAATTTCCTCGTTCGGCCCCCAAGGCTGATTGAATCCCGTGTTACCCAGAAATTGCGGGCAGAATTCTTGCGAATCCATGTGCTGGTTCAGCCTATGGCTCGAACCTACTGAGAGCCTGAGCACGGCGATCATTGCGGTTGCAGCCGTCTTCGCCGGTGCAGTTCTGCCACGTCTCATATTCTGCTTCACTACTTGATGATCATCTCTCCTTATGCATTTTAGTAAGTTATCTGATACCATATCATAGCAACGTCCTTGCGCAGAAAGCCTTGCTGTTGGGCACGACGCCGTGGCTGAAGCTCAAGCCAGATCTACTCAATAGGACTACAAGTCCGTGTTGGCATTGGTGGGTGCCAGAGAGCTTTGACCTGGTGAAAAACATGGCGTTGAATGACGATACTCATTTCACCATGTAGTATCGAAATACAGGACAGAACAACACGCAACTTGGTTGGCAGAACGCCCTGAGCTGGCTGTCACATTAGGCAAGGTAAGCTCACAAAAGAATATGCAGGGCTGCCAACTTGAATGCTTCCTGCACAGCTCGGAGCCGTTCTAGTTTGGTATTGGCACCTTAAGCAAGTTTTGCCAGGTTCAGCTCGCTTTCTCCTTCACGTACGGCACCGAAGTGGCCATTCCTGCATCTGTAACTGACAGATTAATAACTCGACATATCACAACAGTAACGCCATTTATGTACCATCATAGAGCTAGTGTGCGTCTTCATTTGCGGATGTCTGCCAATAATACCAAAGCTCTTCCAGGCCATGAGAAACTGGAATTGGCTCCAAGCTACTGGTCTTGGATCAAGCGGCAATGAACAAGGGCCAGTTCTCGCAGGGTACCCTCAAGTTTCAACAACCGGATGCATGATGCATCTGCCGAGGGCACCGAGCGGCTCGAGCTGGGCAACACACACGTCTCCCATGCGTATCGGCATCAGTCAGGGTGTAACGCACCATCGAGGAATTGCCAGAATCTTGCTCCGCAGAGCTCACTGATTTGGTCAGCCAAATGTCGCAAAAACCATCCAATAAACAGGAAACACACCTTAGAAACCGTGTAGTATAGAATCAAGGCAATTCTTTTTCCATTTCCCAGCACAAAAACGATGTGATTGACGTTGATGCCCGTAGAAAAGACTGCCAAGAAGCTCTTTCAGCAGAGCGCCGTGGTTTGCAGTCACGTGGCTGCTTCTGATCAGTGATGATGGGGCCAAAATTCAAGCAGCTCAAAACACCTCTCGGCTGCATCTTCCAGTCTCGGGACCGGCCAACAACCCGAGGCATCGGCACCCACAATGACAGATTCCATCATCTGCAGCAGGGGTATGTTTGGTTCCACCAAGTACAAAATATGCACTCCAGACACGCATCTCATCAGCCAAGCCACTGCTGGTTGTAACTTGTCAGGTAAGTCGATTCCCGAGTCTGACCGGTCACTGCATCTCTTGGCAATTTGGCCTCGACCTTGGCTTAAGCTAATGGCTGGTGCCACACAGTCGAGACTCGACATGATTCTGATTGCGAGGGGAAAGACAGACGGTACGGTCAACGTCAAGTCGAAACTTTGTGCAGTGTACCAGCCGGGTGTCGCCCGTGTTACGCAGCGTGAGCTTCGCCATGCAAACCATCTATAGCATATTCGCGACACAAATATGCGCAAATGCATTTGTTTTTGCGGCAGGGGCCTAGACACCGCCATTTTCATTCATCGTGGTTGGAAGCGAGGCTGAGATGATGCTGTTGGGAGGCGGGAAGCCAGAAATGAAGCAACGCCAAAGACACCGCTTTTCTGAAAGCCCATGAAAGGGGACGACTTACCTGATGCCAAAATGCGAGATGAATCCAAATGAGGTTCAATCAGTCCTCCCCTCCTCCACCATGACTTTGGACCTTCAACGAAGCCTTAACTCGAATTCCACTGCCGGCACAATAGTAGTCAGCAGCACTCTTCTCATGCTCTTGCCCACACGAGCTCAACATCATAGTTCAGAAAGTCGCGAGCCAACGCCTCCTTCAACGTCTTCGCCACAAACCATCTCCCGGGGCACGTATGGCGCCCTTAGCTAGCGATTCCATCGTCACAAGCTGGCGCTCCCCCTTTTTCTTTCCCTCCTCAAATGGTCGGGTGAAGCGGAACGCATCAAATCATCGCGGCTCTCTGTGATTTTCCGGATCCAGATGTATATCCTATGTGGAAAGCACCATTTGAATTGCAGCTCCAGCGTGTAAGTTGTTTCTAATATCCATGTGTCCGAGGGTCCCGCGGTGACGTCGCGAAAGACTTTAGGAACGGCCACATCGGAAACTCACATCAACTCACGAGGCGTCGAGTCTCACCGGTGAAGCCTGTCGATCGCCTCATGGGCCTTAAGGCCACCATGCCTGGCTACTACTTTCAAGCACACTACCCCGAACCCTAAACTATTTCCTTCCGGTATTTACTCCCATTTATATTCAAGGCACAGCGAGAACAGACAAACCGGGTTGCAAAAGAGAGCAGAACAGGCATGCTGGCCAGTCTCCAAGCCATGCGGGTAACACCAATCTGGTCCTCGTTTGGCTGAGATCGGAATCCTTCATTACGGGAGGGCGTCTGGCACTCTGCTCTGCCGGTCTCCCACGTGCGAATGTGGTCCTCCCATCATGTGACTCGGCATCTTGACGAAGCACGCTTGGTAGTAGTTGGCGTGTAGTGCTATCACCGGATCACCAAGGGAGCCAAGGAGGCGGGAAACAATTCATCATAGGACTTCCGACGAGCAATGATGTTGTGGAGCGTCGCGATATCTCAAACAGTCTTATTGCAGCTGAGTGGCACGCCTATCACAATACGCCAAGAAGCCCGATAGATAATTCGATCCCATATGTCCCAGCTAGTACCTGTCTTCCAGTTGGGATCACTTCCACAGATGTCGAAGATTGACCTGGGTGACTGTTGTGGCTGCAAGACGACCCTAGGACTTTTTGAGCTATCTTGCGGCGCAACACATTGAATTGCAGCAACTCCTCCTCGTGTATCTGCGGGACGGAGATGACATAGGTAGTTCACGTGTCTCGATCACGCCTTTTATGTTGGTTGGCTTATTGCCCACTCACATGTTCGGGCGTAGAAGTGTTGGAATGGATGAGGGGAACATGAAAATATTCCAGCGCTGTTGATGCTGGCAGAAACTTGATGAAAAAACCGCGTTGAGCAAGTAAAGATATAAGAGTCGCCACCGTCGGTCGGCTCCGAATGTCTGGGAATTCTACATTGTGCGTGCCAGTTTTGTTTCGGCCTCAACTGTTGGTAAACATGAAGACTTGACGCAGTGCAGGAAGCTTGGCGTGGTGTCAAGGCAAGAAAGCAGGTGTATATTTAAAATCACATGCACAACACATGCGCCTCATCTAGTCCGGAGCGCTCCTGCAGCCGGAAGGCCTTACAACATGGCCACATCGTCGCGAATGTGGAGTCCGGGGATCTGAATCCGGGGCTGTGTTTGTCCTGCGGGCGATCATGTCACGATACATGCAGGTTCCAGACTCGGTGCTACATGAACAAGCCACGCGCCTGGGATCTAAACCATGCATTACAATATCGTGTGCGGCTTAAACATACAGGCTGTGTGAGGGTGAGTTGGCTCTCCCCATTAAGGCACATCTCCCGGTACGATACTAATTCCTCGCTGGATCCAGATACATGACGTTTAAACATTATACACTTAAACACTCTTCGCCGAATACTCTGGCTTTATGACTGCTTGAACCCACGGCATTTGTCAATTACATATGGACAATGTCTATTGTACCTAGGTACTTGAGTTCTGCTGCGCGACTTTATAAAGACTGGGTAGAGCCGCTCATTCTACTTCCCAAGGAGATGGCCATTCGATTCGATCGAAAGAAAAGATCCGGTATCGAGCATCGGTTCGCAAATCCGCTACCCACGGAGGAAGCTCTGAATCAGACCAAGTTGAGAGCGGAGGAAAGTGTCGAGGCACGGATGGTCATGACTTCTCTGCAACATCTGGCTTTATCCCTCGAGGACACTCATGAAACTATTCAAAGGGTTGGATACATCGGCGCAATCAAGAAAGCTGGTAAAGGCATACTTTGTTGCCAACCACGTTACTCACAATCTCTCTGAGAAAGTTGCTGCCGGCCGATCGCACTAGGGAGTGCCAGTCAGGGATAGAACATCATTCTGTATTGTCGCTTACCATTGCACTTTGGAGTAGGTGCACCTCCTTTTTCGGGTTCTGTCAGTCTTTTGGAGAGCAATGGGCACAAAAGCTTGACCGACGAGTCGCATCCGCCGTTTGGCATGGCTGTCCAAACAACCGATATTCTCAACGTCTTGCCCTACAAGCACCCTGAAGACCTTGATAGCTTCAACGATTCTATGGCGTTGCGCCGTACATCAGACCTGACATAGCTCTCGATAAATCCTGTTCCTGACGAAGCTGTCGACTGGCCTGCCGAAAAGCCCGCGACCTCAATGTGGTGGCGTAGATCACCAGTATGCTCAAGTCGGAGACAAGTTTACAAATCTCCCCATGCCAGGACTCCTTATCCTGAAGGATACGTCGTATCCAATTGAGAGAGCGTTGTCGGCGCCCGTCGTTCGGGACATGGCACGCGACTTTCCGTGGCCCTGAGCAAAAGTGTAAAGTCAGACTCGCAATGCGACAGTATGATGCAGCTGTGACTGACCTTGTGCTCTACTCCTTTCATGGCAGTCATGCATAAAAATATTTGTTTTAAATGGTCAACATACCAATACCTCTGCCTGTCAGTGATTAGTTGACTTGGCGTGCAACCACGCTCCAGACACGGGCGGCGCAACCATTTGACTCGATTTTCGTCTCGTCCCGCAGAGTCCGAAGCCTTGGGGCTTTTTTAAACGCGTCGTATCCGCTCGGCCATATTGCCGGTGAGCTCAGCTCTCAGGAACACGTCTCCCAGCGGACACCAAAGCGTGGTCGGCTCCGTCGACCTCGAACAAAAAAACCTTGGTCCACAAATTCAGACTTGTCGGGTCTTTCAATGGCGCCAGCCGGTAGGACTCGGAAATGCATGTGGCAGAGAGGGTCCTCTTGAACAGCTTCACAGGTCTAGGCTCCTCTAATGGCCCTTGAAGGTGCTAGTCAAACGTCAACTCTGCTTCACATCAGGTGTCTTTAGGTGCTCACCAATGTGGCGGCACACGTGGGTGGCTGCTGGAGCGAAATGTGAACAGTCTGGTGGGTCAATATTGTACATTGACAGTCGAAGCGTTTGCGGGCATCGCATGTGTCGTCTCATTGCTACATCAAGTGGCGCTGGGCTTGACAGAAGTCACCAGACGTCTTTGCGTCTGCATCTGGCCCCGAATTTGCCGGGATTTGCAACTCTTGATGGCAACTAGGCAAGGCAAGCACCCCAGTCACCTCCAGCTCATCAATCAATGGCATTGCTCGTGCCTTGTAGATGAACTGGCCTTCGTCGGCTCGTTACTAGACTCTTGTTCAATTCCTCAGGCCACCGCCGCTCACAGTGTCGCCCGACGAATTCGACGAGACCAAACCAAGGCACGCGTACGTCAGTTGCGAGTATTTTACGCGTCGTCCATAAATCGACATGGGCAAACGGTTCGCTCATAATGTGGCATCCGCCTGTCAATTTCATTACCCTCCATTGTAAGTAGACGTAGGAAGCGCCGAGATGCTTGCTCGGCATCAAGAAACAGCTCGTGCTAATCGCTCCAGATGCCTGGATACTGTCTATGGGACTTTTATCGTTCCCCGTCCTATACACATATGGCAACCTGGCAGCCATCGATGCTTACTTTTTCGGAGCGAGCGCATCCACTGAGTCCGGACTAAACACGTAGGTTTTCCTCGGCGGGCGTGAGATGAGATGGCTGTAAGAAGATGAAGTATGAGTTGCATTAACACGGCATCTGCAGCGTCGACATTAAAAATCTAGCGCTCTACCAACAATTGTACCTGTATTTCATTCCCATACTTACAAACATGTGCTTTATCAACATTGTCGTCGTCGTAGTCCGCCTCCATTGGTTCAATCAGCACCTCGACAGGTTCGGTAAGCTTCTAGCTTTGCCAGGGGTGGCTGGGCTCCCTGTGACACTGACGGCTCTCCATCCCGATATGTTGAGAGGTTCTTACAGGCTAATGCTTTGCCTTGCTGGACAGGCCCTGCCTTGATCCGCGTCAAAAGGCGCAAATCCGGCAATGGGGGGATGCATTCGGATCCTGAAGTTGCTGAACCCACTGAAGCCTCATCATACACGGCTTCAGCTGCGCTGTCTAATATTCCCAGTCATGTAGGCGATCAGCTCAACAACCAAAGAACTAACCCGCCTTCTGCAAATGACGATGGCGGCGGCATCGGCGAGATTCGACCGGAGCCGGAAACACACAACCATGCCCTTGAGTCGTCGTTGGAACCGACTGAGGAACCAACCCAGCGCATTGCCTTCCATCCATCGGTGTGGGACAAGCCTTTGAATTCCAGGAGAGATAGTACACTATATATCCCTGGCCCGCGTGAACGAGACAGAGGTTTGTTAGATGACCCCAAACAGGCCGTGGATATTCATGCTCACTTGTCCCCCTTCTTCAAGGAGATCCGATTGTTGAATTGAGAAATCGAAGACACAGTGGTTAGTTCACGACGCCCTAGATGGCATCACTACCCAATATATTACGTACTTACCGAAACCACAGGCATCGATGCGACACCCACACGTCGCCCCAGCGTCGCAGATGCAGAAGATTCCCGACGCCGCTCGACAAGAGCCAGGTCATTTGACAGGGCTGCCGGCGCAGCTGGATCCGTTTTCATTATTGGAAGAACTGCAACCGTTCCGCAACTTTCCAGAGCCCCAACATTACATCGAGCAGCAGCCGACCAAATGCCGTATCTCTCAAGGAGAGCAACTATCGGACGGAATTCACGGTTTCATAATCTGACAAGCCGAGACCGCCAAGAATTGGGAGGAATCGAGTACAGAAGCTTGCAACTCTTGCTCAAAGTTGTCGTCATCTACTTCTTTGGCCTGCATATATTCGGAGCCATCGGCCTCGTTGGCTGGATTCTGCACGCCAATCCCAAGTACGACGCCTATCTGCAGCAATGTGGCCAAAACAGCATCTGGTGGGCATTCTATACCGCCCAGAGCATGATGGACAACCTTGGATTCACCCTCACTCCCGACTCCATGATATCCTTTCGCGAGGCAGAGTGGCCGCTGTTCCTCTCGTCCTTCCTAACCTTGGCAGGAAATACCCTCTACCCCGTCTTTCTCCGACTCGTCCTCTGGACCATGTCCAAGACGGTGCCCCGAAAATCAGCCATGCAAGAATCTCTACAATTCCTACTCAACCACCCGCGACGCTGCTACACGCTGCTCTTTCCACGGGGCACCACCTGGGCCCTTTTCGGCATCATCTTCATCCTCAACGTTATGGACGCATTCTTTATTCTGATTCTGGACCTGAACAACGCCGAAGTCGCGTCTCTGCCGCCGGGCCCTCGCGTCATGGCTGCCATTTTCCAAGCCGGATCGTCACGGCATACGGGCGCTTCCGTGTTCAACCTTGCCAATGTCAGCCCCGCCGTCCAATTCAGTCTCCTCATCATGATGTACATCTCCGCCTTCCCCATCGCGATGAGCATCCGCGCCTCCAATACCTATGAGGAGAAGTCATTGGGAATCTACCAAGTAGACACGGGGGAGGATCTCGACGAAAACAGCGGGCGGTCCTACCTCGTTCGCCATCTGCAGTCACAGCTGAGCTTTGACTTGTGGTACATCTTCTTGGGGATTTTTGTTCTGAGTATTTCGGAGGCCGGCAAGATTGAGCATCTAGCACAGCCTGTATGGTCATTTATTCCTTCCTTCTCTTCGCTTCGCTCTTGCTTGTGCTAACCGTGTCAGTCGTTTGGGTTGTTCCCCATTTTCTTTGAGGCAGTTTCCGCGTAGTAAGTTGCAACAGCGTACCCACGGGCGACAAATGACCCTTGTGTTTTTCCTTTTTTTGTAAAAAAAGTTTTTGGTGGAAGCAAACTAATGCTCTTTTTATTTCTCTAGCGGCAATGTTGGACTGAGCTTAGGATACCCCGGCATCAACGCGTCGCTGTCGACTGAATTCTCGACGTTTGGCAAACTTGTCATTTGTGCCATGATGATACGGGGGAGGCATCGGGGGTTGCCGTACACGTTGGATAGAGCTATTATGCTTCCGGATGAGCATCTCATCGGGGCTGCTACTCGTGAACGGATTACGCGGGAGGATGAATAGTGGATGCGGAGATGGTCCTGGTATGACTTGACGTGAGCGTTGCGTCGAAAGGGCGTCAGGCGATTAGCACCTGGCCCGCGCTCAACTTTATACTTGAGCCAGATAATTTAATAGAGGGCCCGGGTCCTCGTATACAAGAGGTACCTTGCAATGGCGGCAAGCGTACTGGAGGGTGCCGCTCAGAACTACAGCCGGGCTGGCTGCTCCATTACGTCTTATCGAGGACGGCAGCTATCCGTGAGGCCAACAAGCTCAAATGGCCTGGTTCCTCATAACGGAAATGCCTACTCAAATCGTCTTTGTGGAAATAAAGCTATTGCCGTGGGCGCAGCTTGGGCGTGTCCAAGCCCATCCCCGGATCTGAGTGTCGTCTTGGCCGGCTCCTACAGCTCTGATGGGTCATAAGTCGCCCTGCCAATGCCTAGCTATCGCGATTCATCTAATAGTCTTAAATAGGATGAATTGTCAATGCATATCAGCCGCCCCAACCATTTTCTGCTGTTTAATGCCACTCGCCCATATGCGTTCTCGCCTCGCCACGGCATCGCCTTGCTCACAACTCCATACTTGCGGTTTTCATTTGCCGGCGACTGCAAAATGATGAAACAACCATGTCAAGTGTGCATACTTCTCTCACGGTATACAATGGGAGACGATGCCCACCTTGACAGGGCTTCTAACCTCGCGGCACGCACACGGTTGAGGGGATGATGGGGATCCTTACGCATCTACAGTGTTGTGTTCCTACCAGAACAATTGATACAATAACTAACATTTAACGCGCACACCTAAGTATAGAAAGAAGATCTTCATTTACTTTTACAGTATTGTAGTCGGATCAATATTGTGTGTAGGAGGAGACGCTCTGAAGAAGCCAGGCTTATACATGCTAACATGTTCCTCCTGTACATCGCAAACCAATCCAGATCGCTTATCAAATTATCAAACGACAAACCCATTTTCAAACTCAGACAGCTTTAATGTTGTCTCCTAGGCCGGTCTTCCTCGCACAGATAACCCGTAATACGCAACACCCTCGCACACGCCAACCCCCATCAACTCCACGCTTCAAACATCACGGCCACGCCTCACTCCCCAACCGTCTCGGCATCCGAGCCCTCTGGACTCTCCGTCCAACTCCCCTCCGGCACAGGCATGACCGCCGACTTGGTCCAAATGTGCCTGGCCCCCTCCAAGGTGAAGCCCTCCAGCGCACCGCCCTTCACCGTGAGCGTCGGTTTCGGCGTCCCATCCGGCAGCAACGGCCTGTGCAGCACCCTCACGCCGCACTCGTTGCAGAAATAGCACTCCAGCGTCGTGCCCTTGTCCGAAATGCGCGTCCACACGCCCAGCTTGGACCGCACATCATCGGGCAGAGGCCACATTCCCTTGGCGGGGAAGAGGGCAGACGTGCCGAACGCTGAAGAGGATTGCTTGCGGCATTCGGTGCAGTGGCAGGCATATTTTGCCAGGGGCTTGGGGCGGGAAGTGCGAAAGGATACGGCGCCGCATTGGCATGTTACTTTTGGGTTGGAGTCGGCCATTGAAGATCGTGACTTGGTGAGTTGACGACGATGGGTCGCCTCAATGGTGATTGTGTGATTTGTGCTGCGTGTAGATGCGTGTGCTACTTGGGAAGATTTGTAACTGCTTGGTTTGGAGCTTGGTTAGACTGGTTACATCTGTAAGCCTGCCAAGAGGGTTTCATGCCCTTATTTTTCTTGCTTCTTTTTGGCGCATGGTGTGTCGTGATTCACGGCTTTTGAATGATGCTCCGCCAAGTTGGGTGGCCCAGCTTGCTTGTGGCGTGCGCCGCGCGGGGAAGCTTGATTTTGCTTCGCACGTCGACAACTTGGCCCTTGCAACTGCTTTGTTCTGCACTTAATATCCTAGGCATTATCATAGAATTATAAGCCATGATAGAACAAAGAACAGTCGCTTATGTATTCCAAGCCGGCAAGAGCCGTGCTCATCTCTCGCACCCGAGGTGACATCTCTCTCGTAGCTACCACACAAGGTAGTGAGAAATGCTGGCCGTGAGTCTCGGAACTGGTACGCTTTCCATCCAAATTACGTCATACTTTCGCATCGCCACTGGTAGCCAAGGGTGAAATTAAAGGCTTCCCAAAATAATAAATGCAAAGGCGGCCAGCAGCCACCTATGTTTAGCTTCATGTTACTACACGCACAGTAACTTTGCCTGTTATTAATATATAGTGTACGTGAATGCGTTGGACTTGCGCCACTGCGCAATCTCGTACATCACCTTGATTCATTGAATACAATTATAGCGCCGCTTTAGCTTTACTCGCAATTAGCAGTTTGTCGGTTTGTTGATCACTCCCTCGAGAAGATTGACACTTCGCATCTTTGTATCACAACCTTGTGTTGTGGACCGCCCTTGGGCTGATGATTCCTACTGGAACGTTGGAATATTCTTCATATGCTATTGGTATTTATACTGGTGCTGAAAAGTCTTTTAGTCCTCGGCGTGCTGTGTAGAACAGAAGTTGTGGCACGTACGAAAATCACATGCCTTCCAAGCCCCAGGGTAGCCAACGTGTTCGTGAAGGCAGGCCAATAGCGTTTTGCTCTCAGCTGGCCCAATCCGAACCGGACACTTGAGCTGCCCCACGTCCGACGGTGTGACGTACTGCCGAGGGACACGCAACCACGAGGCGCTTTGATGTTCCTGGCGACGCGACCGCAACTTTGCTCTCAATCTTCGTTACCTATTCTGTAGCTCACGATGCCGTCGCAAGGCAGTTTGTCCACCAGCCTGTACGGCAGCCAGTCCATTGGCATAGACGCTCGCTCGCTTACCGACTCACGGCCGGCCAACTATGCCAAACGGGCTGGCATTGCGGCTTCATACCCGTTGCGCGGTATATGGTACTTCCTACGGAACAAGGAATTTTGGCCCCTCTTCAGTGGGAGACTCTTGCCCCTGTCTCTGATATCATTCCTCGTGTACTTTATTCTCTTCACGTTCGCCTTTTTACCGCAGTTTGCATTCCTCGCCATCTTTCATGGTTGGGGAGCATGGGTCAACGCCGTGGTTCTGACGTTAGGCGAAGGGTTGATCATCATACAGGGTCTTTTTGAAGGGTTCTTTGTCGATGAGTGTCGGGTGGACGTTTTTGACGTAAGCTATCGCAACGCGATACTCGGTCTAGAGACTTGCTGGTCAGCTAACGCCCTCATTAGGCAACGTTCATTAAGCTGGGCTTGAAGGACCTCGTTTCGCCTCACCGAATTCTCTTCAATGAAGCACCGAATCCTGTCAAAATGCTTGGAAAACCGACAAGTCCCGCCATATATCAACCCTGGAGCATCATACAGATTGTCGAGTTGGTTGTTTTCTTGCCTCTCAACCTTGTTCCCTATGTTGGCACGCCGGCTTTCATCATCATCACAGGCACCAGACTTGGCAAGCTTTCCCATTATCGGTGGTTTCAGCTCCGCGGGCTTTCAAAGGAAGAACAAAAGAGAGAGATCAAGCTTTTGACCTGGGACTATGTCTGGTTTGGTACTGTCGCAATGATTCTCGAATTGATCCCTATTCTTTCGTTCTTCTTCCTCCTGACGACAACGACGGGATCAGCGTTGTGGGCCGCAAGAATTGAGGACGAGCGAAAAAGGACGGGTGTCGATTCGCTTATTGTCAATGAGCAAGTTCCAACTGAAGCCCCACCAGAGTATTCCGACAATATGGCATGATGACATTGATCCCTTTTTTGAACTGCATGCTTGTGCCCGTCTCATTCCACCACACGCACACATGCCGCGCTCTATTCGATAATCGGGACCTGCATGATTTGCGGTCTGCGCTCCGTGGCTACTGTCCTCTCTTTGGTCTCGAGCCTGGCCTGCGACCTCCATTGGGGGCTTGCACACATGACTTTCCTCCATGTCTGTCAACCGTCTGGCACTTCTTGGCGGACCTGGCAGCTGTTCATTAGGAAGTTCAAACTTAAATCTTGGCTCGGCATTTATTGCCGTAATTTCTCAAGCTGTGATAGGACAGCTTCCTTCTGTCAAATCTTGGCTTGTGATAATGGCGTGACAGCTATAGACTAGGCACAACTTGTGGGCTGAGATTGGCCTTATTTCTCTGGTTTCCATGCAGTATTGTGTTCACGGGAAGGAGCTCTGGGTTTTCTACGTACTGCGCAGCATTCAAGCTTTGGGCAATGTGGAGGATTCCATGGAAGAAAGAACCTTTACACTGGCCCGACAAGTCTATTGATATCCCGTCGCAGCGATCATGGCATCGTGCATTTCCCATCACAAACCCAATTCTAGATGTCATAATGGACAATGGATAATGTGCTTATTAGACGTACTGTCGAATACATCAAGATTGGCCGTTGGCTTGACTGATTTTTTCGCTGCGAAAGGGCCCTCCCCGGCGCCTGGCAACTGTTAGCCTGCTCCTTCCTCCGTTGACAGATGTCGGCAACACGGCACGAGATGTCGGTCTCAACAGCTCTTGGCTATTCTATGACTTTCCATGGCTTGAAACCCTGATTCTGACCTGCCGTTTGTGCCGTTCCTGAACTCTGCCGCCCTTTTCTGTCTCGACACCTGAATTCCTTTATCCTCTCGACACCATTTCTCTTTCATCCGCCGTTTTGTACTCTCCTTACTACCGCCGACCCTGTTTCTTGATTCTCGTATTTCTGCAGAAATCACTTGTTTGAATCATCAGTTTGGCCGCTGCTTCGTCTTGTTTGAGCATCTTCAATCCGCCGACCGCCATGCGTGCTTCCCTGACTTTCGGGGCCGCGGTGGCCAGCAGTCTTCTGTACCAAGCTGCCGCTCAAGCAACCTATGGGCAAGTTCACCATGTTCTGGCTGCGATACTTGGCTAACTAGACGAAACAGAAATCCTGATGATGGCAATGATACCGAAAACTCTGCTGGCCAAGTCGACTCCCCACAGAGCACAGTCACCGTGTTTGACAATAGTGGCGAAAACTCCAATGGCTTCCCCAGCGGGCAATCTTGTCAGATGCAGGGCACAACAACTGTATTTGTTACCGTCTATCCTACTGGTCCTGTCTCCAACGGCAATGAGTCCCCTGCAGCCATCACCGGCACTGACGGAACTCCTGATCACACTGGTTATCGGACCATTCAAGTTTCTCCATTGGATTCTTCCAATGGAAACCGACCAACAGTCCAGGTCTTCACTACCCTGACCATTTCAGATCTCTGGAGTGGTGGTTCTGATTCTGGAAACAATCCCACTTCTGTTGCTTCAGACTTTGGCCATGTCACCAGTGGATCTCTTCCTTCTGATGGTTCATCTCCTTCCAGCTCTGTTACATATGGCAATCCTGCTTCAGCTTCGGACAAAGGTCCCGTCGAAACCGATGATTCTGGAGACAATGGCAGTGCTACTCCAGGCACTGTCACTGTCCAGAATGTTCCATCCAACTCGCCGTACTCGACAGGTAACACTGGCCAAGTGACTGCCAATCCCAATAGTGGTGATGGTGACAACAGAGGCACTGTGGTGCATCCCTCAAACCTGTACACAATTGTCACCGATACAAATGTTGAGTGGGTTACCGGCTCTGATGGAGGCCCAAGTCCCGTTACTGTCATTTCTGAGCATACCATCACTCTTGGCACCGCTGCAACTGAAGCCATTTCCGGAGCAGGACCTGCGGTGACTTGCTGGACTGTTACTGGCACTGATGGTAAAGAAACTGTGATCGAATCAACTTTGAACACAAATCAGGTCAATGGCGGTGCACCAACAGTTACCTCTGCTTCTGTTACTGGACCTGATGGCAATATTTCTCCCCAGCCTGTTTCTACCGCTGTCGGTCAGCAAACTCCTGTTACAACCATCACGGCCGGCGGCGCTATTCCTGATTACACAGGGCCAGGAACTGCTAGAACTACAGCCATTACTGTCCTTGGAACCGACGGGACCGCAACTGTTCGTTATTCCACCTGGGTCATCGAAACTGGCCTTGTCACTGTCGCATCTGCTGCTACATTGCCAACTGGAGTCTCTGTTTCCCCTGGAGCTACTCAAGCGCCATCAAATGATCGGGGCATCACTAGTTGCACTAGCTATACTGTCATTGGACCTGACGGCCGACCAACTGTGATTGAATCTACCTTGGTGGTTCCTGCATCCGTTGTTTTGGCTACCGAATTGCCCCAAAATCTCCCAAACGGTATCTCCGTACAAGCCACAGCTGTTCCTGGATCTCTGATACCTGGTGCGGGGGCGATCACCACTCATTCATCCTACACAGTTATTGGGACAGATGGTAAACTCACAGTTGTCGAAACAAGCTTTCTCATTCCTGGACCTTCCGCCACACCAGTTGCGACGATAGCCCCATCCGGAGTCATCACCGGCGTTCCTGGACAAGTCACTGCCGCTCCAGGCCAGGTTGGCTCTGTCGAGATGGCATCTCAAGGGCTGACTACTTGCCTGACGTACACAGTTCTTGGCACAGATGGCCTTCCTACTGTCCTTGAATCTACAGTTGTGATGCCCAACAGTAATGTGTTGCCGACTGGTACCATCATTGGTCTTCCATCACTTGTTCCCGAGGGCCAAACCAATGGGCTTCCTCAAGGTGTTTCTATCCCCGCTCAAACTGGTTCAGGCTACACGACCTGCATTACTGTTGATGTCCTTGGCCCGAATGGTGTTGCAACCCCCGTCGTGGAAACAATTGTATTGACAACACAGGAATCGGGACTGCAAGGTGCCACTGTTCTCGCCACCTCACTTCCGTTTCCTTCTGTTGTCCCTCCGGGTTTCAGTGATCTCCATCAAGGGGTCACCCCATCAGAGACTGTTTCTGTAAGCCCAATTACCACTGCTGTTACCCTCACTGTTGTCGGGCCGAATGGAGTCCCTTCACCTGTTGTTCAGACGATTGTTATCACTCCCCAGCCACAGGCGTTGACCTCTGGAGTCACAAACGCTGTGACTATCCCGGAGGCTGCTTCGGCCGTTTCGCCTGCCTTGGAAGAATACGGAACAGGATCCCCGGCCACTCCCACTGTACTCTCCCCACCAGTAGTCAGCTCTGAACTTGGCGGTTTGCCTGTTGGAACAGACGTTGGCGCAAAACCGTCCATTTTCACCATTGTTACTGGCCCAGGTGGTATCCCCGTCCTGTCGGTAGTCACTGCCATACCCCTGTCTGTTTACAATAGTCCTGGAAATGCCGACAACAAGGGATTGCCTGTTTCTGGTCCTGCACCACAGGGCACGCCCGGCGAATATGGCTGGCAGCCGGCCGGTGCTTCTCCTGCTGGATATGGTGCCTTATCATCTTTGTTCAATCCCCAGCCCAGCCCGATTGCAACCTCTGTCCAAACAAGCACCTGGGTCAATGTCATTCCCGAGCCAACCACAACATATACCATGAAGTTTGCCTTGACTACTCTCACTACTGTTACTGTTCCTTCCAAGGTTTCTGTTGTGAAGCGCGCTGTTCAGCCATTGAAGAAGTATTAATACCCCAGTGAGTTCTTTCGTCGGAATGGATTTTACTAACTCGCAGACAGGTTTGTCTCCCCCGGCGCTGGCTGGGCCAATTCAACCTCTACGAGTCTTCCGCCTTTGACTGAGAGTGCAACATTGGTTCCTCCTCCTTTGGATCCTACCCCAGCACCATCAACCCTCAGTGTTGCTGCTCCCCCTCCTGCTAATGTAATGTGCCCAGCTGGCGGCAAGGTCGGCAATACTACAGTAAATGTGGGTGATCCAATAGAGCCTCGTTCAACTTCTAGTGCTAATTGTCTACAGTTTGATACATTGAAGCCGGGTCCTCTTTTCAACCCAGCTGCAGACTTCTGGTTCTCAGAGGGATTCCTCGTTGCGCCATTGTCACCCCAATCTGTTCAGGGGTACATGGCCTCATCCGGCGGCCAACTTGTGGAATTTGTCCCGCCTGCTCTGACTAGTCCTGCATCAACGGGGAGCAGTGATACGGCTGAGATTGGTGTTGGGCCCAACTCTCCCAATCCCTGCTTCCGTTTCAACCTGTACAGCGCAAATCTGGGATGTGCCGCTTTGGGTACCGAGCAGTGGTGCGAGTTCGAAGTCTCTGCTTACACTTACAACCAGGCCACCTCAAATGAGATGTCCATTGCATGGTCAGAGGTAAAGCGCGTGCCAGCCTGTCCAAGCTTCCCTAATGTCCCTTGCCCTCTCACCCCAGTCACATTTGATGGATTCCAGAACATCACATCTGTACTTGTCCGCCTTCATGTTGGGCTTGAACTTCGCACCTGGTGGGCTGATGACCTGCAATTTGGCTGGACTGATAACAGCTGCGAAGCTGCCCAGTGTCGCCAAGCAGTTACACCTCAGCCAGTCAAGCGCGAGGTTGTCGAATCTGCCCTTCGACGCGGTGTTTGGCGTTGGACTCCAACAGGCCACGAACGAATGGGAGAGGAGTATGTTTGGGACGCTTTGAACTAATATATAGGAGTGGAAGTGAGGTGGTTACTTACGAATGATTGCTGCGGGATAGATATTTGCTTGTTCATGAGGACAAATCATGTGATGGTAATTTTTGGAAGGCGGCGTAATTGTAGACGGCTGAAAATTCGGGGTAACTGCAAAGAGATTATGGGGACAAGACCGCGTGTATCATGATAGTATGTTATTATCCAATCAAATGTAAATGTGTCACAAGGACATCTGGCGTGTATTCGGAAGTGAGTCGTATTGAGCGTCGGTTCATAAACTGACTGTCCTGAGGCTCAGGGGAACCACATGCATCTGCGGTTCCGCTCCGGTCAGATGATATAGCCCAGGTCATAATGCTTATCCCAGGGGCTACACTCAGCTTCACAAGCTTCAGCAAGTGCTGTTTCCAAGTAATCTTCGACCATTGTGTCAATGCACTTATTCTTAGCCCCTGCTCCTGGGACGGTGTGCTTTCAGCTTCCAGGATGGCTAGGGCAGTGACGGGATAGAAGTTCCTCATGTTTTTTGAGCAGAACGAAGTGGTGTACCGGGATCAATCCTAGTACTGAGATATAGATTTGGGGTGGCTCGATAGCCGGGACGGGGCTTCCCGGTGGCATATTTTCTGGATTCTGGAGACGTGAAGGGCCCCGTGAAGTGCCGGTTGGACTGGAACTTGCAACCTGAACAGACGAATCGGTTGCTCGCCCAGTAACTGCCAAACATGAATGAAGACGACTAGAGGTTCCAGTTTACAATGCAATTGCTATTTTTTTTTTAGAAGCTAAGCTGTACATGGTGCGTTTGCTCGGTCGTCATGGCGAGTGTGTGCCGTCGCACGGCCACAAGTCGCCTTGTACAGACCGCGTCCTCATTCCCCCTTGAACCCATTCTCGTTACGTGTACATGTCAAAACCAAATATCCCCCGTGTATTAATTCTTCTTCAACCGTGTCGCTAAATCATGCACCGGCTGGGCAGAAATATAAGGCGGAGGCGCCTCCCCAGCCGAAGGGCCGGCAACCGGAGGCACCACGTCGGCCGGAGGCACCACGGCAGCCTCGACGTCCGGCTCGTCCACTGCCCGGACGGGTTCGGGGCGTAAGTCGACCGTCTCGACCTGGTTCGGGCGCGCGCGGTTCCAGGTCCGCGGGGGAGCCTGGTGAGCCGCCATGATGGCCGTGATGCGCTCGTTGCTCGCCGTGTCCTTCTCCTCCTGCCGGAGCAGCTTCAGCTCCCTGCTCACCGCGACAATCTGCCGAATAATAAGGCTGAGGGTGTACATGTAGGATAATCTAAGCAGCAGGCGTCAGCACAACCTCCCCGCGTCCCCGCGTCCCAAAAAATAAAAAAAACATACATGAGAATAATGGACAGCCAAAAGGTGGTGTTGGGCACGGCGCAGAAATTCGGCGTCAGTCCGCGGCCACTCTCACCGACTACAAAAAATGCGTGTCAGTAGCAGTCCTCTGTTTCTCTCTCGCAGACCCGCGAGCACTCACAGACAAAGGGGTCATTGCCGAACGCGATGCCGTGGCAGTCGACGGGCAGGCCGGCCGCCGCCAGGACAGCAACCACGGGCACCTGCAGCCCCATGCAGAGCAGGTCGAAGAAGATGAAGAAGATGAGGCACCCGCGGCGCCGGTAGCCGGCCAGGCGCGTGCCGAAGCACTGCTGCATGCCGGTGAGGATCAGGGTCAGGCCCGCCTGGCGGGTTGCGTTGTGTTAGCAGACAGTTCCTGAAGTTTCCTGGGCGGCCAAGACTCACCGCCGCAATGGCCAGCGTGACGCTGCCCCCCAGCCCGGCGTCGTTGGAGATGAGCACGGCGAGCAGGAACGCGCTGATGGCGATGATGGTCACGTTGAGGACGTACTGGCCGATTCGCAGCCAGCGCAGGCGCCGGACGAGCGGCCACCTGCCTTTTTCCCGAAAGATGGCCATGTCGTTTTGCCCGTCTGCCAGACGTGTAGTCGCGCGAGACGAGGGGATGAGTTGTACGGGAAGGGGGAAAAAAAGGACATGGAGATTGGGATTGGGGGGAGGATTATGCTCTCGGTGACTAGTTTTCAGGAACCGCAGGGATCCTGGCGTCCCTCGTGTCTGCGGTTTCACGCCGTGCCGCAGCAGCAGCCCTACACACGATGCGGCTGTGCCCTGTGGATGCGATCGGGGGTGGTCAACTTGGGAGGGCGGCCTCGCCCTCCGACTGGGCGGTGCTTTTCGACGGCGGGCCAGCGCCCAGGGGAACCCGTCTGGAAGTTTCCTATTTCGACTAGAGATGGCATCGCGGTGGGGCGAATGCGAGTGGTGAAGATGCAAGAATGCTTCGAAGTTGGGACGGACAAGGCTTGGTGCAGGCTCGTGGCGTGAGGACTGCGAGGCGGTTGAAAGGGGGGTGTTTTGCCTGTGAAGCCGGTGGTTGTCCAAGAAGAAGGGCCATAAGTACTACCTACCTGTAGGCATATAAAGCTAGATATGTACAGTGCCCCGACAAAAGTCACAATAACCACAAAAAATTAACCTATTTCGCCACCTAATATATTAATTTAAATATTATATTTTACGCTTAAATTTAGCTATATTAATTAATTATTTTAGGATTTAATTAATAAATAATTAAATTATTAATTAAATTATATTAA